CAGCTTCAGCCATATGCAGTGACCCACGATGAAGACCCAGGGCCACAGCTTCAGCCGTATTCAGTGACCCACGATGAAGACCCTGGGCCACAGCTTCAGCCACAGGCAGTGACCAACAATGAAGACCCCACACAAGCTACAAGGAGCCATACAAGAGCAGGTTATACGTCACTGACTAATGTCACTAACCAACGGACAACAAACGTCAAACAACTGGTCACCCAAACAAGGAGCCAGTCACTGCCAAGATGCAATACAAGAGTAGGTTATACGTCACTGACAAATGTCACTAACCAACAGACAACAAACGTCAAACAACCGGTCACTCAAACAAGGAGTCAGTCACTGCCAAGATGCTATACAAAGGCAAATTATATGTCACTGACAAATGTCACTGATGATGATGAAACAATCATCAAACAACCGTTCAACCAGTCAGAGGGTCAGTCACTGCCAAAAGATGTAAACATTGAGCCAAACTATGAGAGAGGCTGTCCATCAACAAGAGAAGGCAGGGGTCCATATGGAATGGACGAGGGAAAGGAGGTCCCAAGTGTCAGTGGAAAGCTGTACCAGAGTGGCTCACAGCACACTGGTGAGCACAGCTAAACTCACATGCTGTAGGACACATACATGCAAAGCTCAAGGACAGATGGAGACTTTAGACAGCACATCTCAAAATCACTATCCTTTAGAACACAGCTCACGGAAAGCCAAGAGTAAGGACAGCATATCTCACATAAACACAGCACATAATCAAGGACAGCCCGAGAGTGAAGGCCCCACATCAATGCATGCTTTAGACACAGCTCACGGACAGCCTTGGAGTAGGGACAGCACATCACAGCCATACTGCTCAGCTCAAGATCATCATGAACAGCTTGAGAGTGAGTACAGCACAGTTCATATGCTTTACATTACAATACAGCTCATGGACAGCCAGAAATCTAGAGTACGGACAGCACACCTCATGAGAGGACAGCATATACCACATGCTGCATAGCACAGCTCAAGGACAGGAAAAAAAAAACGAAAACTTGAAAATCTATTTAGAAAGATTATCATGAAAATTCATCTATGTTGGTAGTAACCATAGTAAAATGTTAAATTTTATTCCAACACAAGGGTTACACAGATCAAATTTTCAACAACCACTGTAACTTTCATCAGGATAATTAATGACCAATAACTTCTGAACATAAACTCTGTAAATTCTGGTGTTAATAACGTCACGTGTCTGTAAGTTGTAACCATAACTCTCACAACTTTTCATTTTCAACTTTTCTTTTGCTGTCCTGTGTCTTTAAGGTAATATTTAACGGTGTCTGAGGACTTTTTAGAAATACTAGTATAGAAAAAAATACTCTGACATATGGTAGACTTTTAGGTCTATTTTTATAATCTATGATATTTTCTTTGCCAATGCCACATTTTGACTGCGAAATTGAACAACAAAGTTCGCAATTTTTCCTTTGCTGTGCTGTGTCTTGAAAACAAAACATTGGAAAGATGACGCAAGGGTTAAATACAAACCTCCTAAGCAATTTTCTTCTCCTTGAGGGATCTCCTTCGTCCCAAGTGCCCTCGGGCCTTCGCGGGTTAAGTATGCTCGGTACCCTCCTTTTGAAGGTTTCTTCTCAACATCTTGGTCAGTGTCCTTCGTTGGTGACTTCTTTGGCGATGGTGTCTTCTCACTCTTGGCCTTCTCTGGTGAAGTTTTCTTTGCATTTGGTTGATGAGCTTTGGTTTCATCCCCATCCTGTTGTTAGGATAAGTGGTAAAAACAGTGTTATTTTTGTACTACAATATAATTGTTCTAGAAATGTTTAAAGTCTTGTTCAATATGCAATAAGTCTTTTTGTAAATACACCTGCTTGTTTTTTAAAAGGCAAAATCGGCAAATTTGACAGGACTATACTGAAGTAAACTGTCAAAAAAGAACTATTGACAGAATTTCATCAACTATATACATTGTACAGTATGTACAAAATATACATTAATTTAACATTTTAAAAACAAAGGACTCTATGATATCAAATTTTTCAAACATTTTTCACTCCTAAAAATATCCATTGGAAGAACCGTAAAATTAACATTGAAAAAATACCTGTGATTCCAGTTTGATTTTCTTTTTCATCTTAAGATCATCAGATGTCTTGTCAAAGTATTTGCTCTTCTGTGGACTGGTCTTCTTTGGGCTACCTCTTAAGGGCGGGGATTTATCTCTTGTTTTCTTGGGGCTGGTTGCATCTTCTTTTGTCTTGGTTGGTTTTGCCTTCTGTGAGCCATTTTCTTGCTTCTTCTTGTCTAAAATGGTAGAGGGTTAAAAAAGAAAAATTGTACAAAGTTGAATTATAAACCTCCTACAATTTGTCTTCAACTGACACTAACTAACCAACAAGCTATCAACTCACCCTCTAACCTATCAACTAGCTAACTATTGATACGTAACTATATCACTCAAACAGATGAATCGTGACATTAATATTCAATTTGTAGTATTCCCAGTAACTGTCCCTAACCGAATAAAATGACCTACCTACCAACCATCTATTCACCAACTTACAAACATATATATCTGAATATGTGACAAAGACAATAACTAACAGTAATCTTTCTTTGTCTTTGCAATGCTTCTGACTAACCAACCTATTAACCGACCAGTCAACCAGCCATCAACCTACCTATATACCTACCAACCAACCATTCACCACAAGCCAACTTACTGCTATAATACAGACTTCTGACTATTTTATGAGATTTTCTGAACTTTATATTTGTGATTAGAACTGAACTTTATATTTGTATTGTTTAATGTTTAGCTTAAGAAGCGGATTTATATAGGCTATATAGCCTCTTTATCCGACCATTATTATGTTATGTTATGTTATTTTAAAAATTGTATCACAATATGATTAAGTTGTGTTTATAGTTAAAACTTTTGATCCAACACAAAGAAATCTCTCACCTAGAGCTTTCAACCAGTCACTCTAATCTTCCTCAGTAGACTGACCCAGTGAAGCTTGTCACGTGGCTTCTTTGAAGTGTGACGTCAACACTGGGTCAAAGATATCTGGTAGACGATGTCGACCCCTGTCGCAGTTCAATGAAGGTTGATGGGCCCTGATGTATATGGGTCAGTCTACTGAGGAAGACCAGAGTGACTGGTCGAAAGCTCTAGGTGAGAGATTTCTTTGTGTTGGATCAAAAGTTTTAACTTTAAACATGTAACTATCAACACAGATGAACTTTCATGATAGTATGATTAAGTTGTGTACAAATATATTGACATACCAGGAGACACTGATGTAGCTGCTGCTTTCTTCTTGTCCAGTTCTGCCAACGTTTCCATAAAGGCTTCATCATCATGGAACTCCTAACAAACACAAGTGGTGAGTTTATTATCATAAACTATAGTGTGAGCCCTGTTTTTAATACCACAATGTTGCATGAAAAACAGGGCTCGAAATCCTTTTTTCTGTATACCTGCAATGGTGCTGGCAACATTCAAAATTACCTGCACCAGACAAATTTTACCTGCACTACTGTTTAATTTCCTCTTACTTAGTTCATAAAAAATTACTTAAATGTACATGTACAGTGTATGGCTTGCCTAACCTTGTTAGTTTCTGAGTCCACAACTTTTCCTGCATCGAATCCCTGCAAATCCAAGCAAATAGATGGTAAAGAAACAAAATAGCGGCAAGTTACAATACAGACTGCCATTTAATGCAATATCTAATACATTGGTGTGATATTCAGTTGAAAGGACACATACAATTTCTACTTGTCGAGTGACAAAAGTGAAAAATGAGCAATCTGTCTTTAACTTAAGTTTAAGCTCTTTGTTTCAACTTCTTCTTTATATCTACATACCAAACATAAGTATCTTTTCGTTTGTGGTAGATAACAACATTCAAGATACGTTCTCAAATATAGAAAAGCATCTAAACCCATAGAAAAGCATCTATAACCCATTTTTTAACTCTTTTCTATACAAATGAATCTTGCCAAGTTATTGACTGTCACAGATTTAAACATGCATTGTTTGAGACTTACAGTTTTCTTTTTGGCCACTGCAGTTGTCCTACTAACTCGGTGAGTTGGTGATGCGGCGCCGAAAAAGTCAGCAGCCGATGTTGGTTTTAACACTGGCTTTGGGTCTGACTTCTTTCTACTGGGAGGGGTCTTTACTTCTGGAAGGCAACAAGTAAATTTTCTGGTCATTTCTTTACAAAGTAAGTTGAATCAATCCCACTCCATTGCAAATACATTATGTAAGTGCCATAGGTGCCAAATATGAGCCTTATGACTTAAAAGCTGGAAACACAGCTGTCAGCCTTGTTTGTTTACATCCTGGTATTTTTTGGTGGTGCCACAAAATGACTGTGCATAATTGTGTGGGCTTCTTTGACATAAATGTCAGAAATGTGAGATACATGTAATTGCATGCACAACTATATTCAAAGTAGAAGCAATTTATCATAATCACACAATAAGTTAGAATATTATAACTTCTTGATATAAAAAGTAAAAACATGTACCTTGGAATGAGTTTTTGTTCATATAATTTGAGTAGGAATGTCTATACCTTATTTTTAAGTGATAATTTAGAAATACATGTAGTAGCAAAGTACAGACTGCACTGTAGTATTGTACCTGTCTTGTTGGGTTTTGCTGATTTTGCCTCTGCAGTTTTCTGTTGCTTGACAGGTGGCACTTCTTCACCATCTGAATCTGGTAAGACAGACATGTACATGTGTGTGTGTAAAATATTATTGAAGAAAAGCAATGTAGAATAATGGCTATCATACTGTATGTATGTGTATTAAATGGCTATGGTATGGCAAGGGGAGACATATACGATTTTATACTGTATTACCTTAGACCTTTGTTCCTCCTGCAACTAGTTGCATTGGTCGACTTGCAGACTTAAAAAAGTACTCCTCCATAGGTTTCTGTTTTGTATACATATGACTAATTTGTACTTATATTGGTGTAAATGAGCCTTTAAAAAGTTATGTTATCATTTATTTATATATCAGAAAGACCTCTAACCAGGTAGAAAATGGTATATTACCTGAGTCATAGATCACTGCTGCTTTCCGTTTGGTTTGACTACTTTTCTTCACACCAGCTTTCTCCTGTATTGTTTAACAGAAATATTGACATTTATTACATTTAATTTATAGAAGTAGTAAAATCATTCTTTATTAAAAAATGTAGAAATTCACCTTAATCCCAGGTCACCTCAATCATAGAATTATTACAAAAATTGCAGTCTCCTCATCTTAAAATGTGTTAACCAATTATATCCCTTTTCCTTTGTTTGGCATTTTGACCTGTCATTCTGCCTGTCAATCTCTACCCCGTGATACCACATGCTGTCAACCTACTCTTACATTCACCTCATTATCCTTGTCTGACCTTTTGTCAGCCCGTGATTCTGTAAATCTCCCCACCCACATGCTATCAACCAATACTCTGTCTGGACAAGATACATGTACACACAAACAACACAAAGCCACCCAAAACAATACTTAGAAGTTATAGTAATAGGTAAGTTACTGTATTTAGCATTTCTGTCTCTTTCTAACAAACTTTATAGGCTTAAACATCTTGGCAGTCAAATCCTTGACTGGCTGAAATACCTTAGCTGAAGATGAAGTCTTCTGTGCAGGTTTGGTCTTCCCTGCACCAGGCGCTGCTCCAAAGAAGCGCCGAATATCCTTGGAGAGATAAAACATGTTATACATGTAAATCTTATTGTAAAAAGTAAAAGTTACAAGATAACATATAAGTTATAACCGTTACATTATGTTTAAAAGTGTGCAGGCCTCAAAACATATGTTTCTAAACTACACAATACCTAATCATAATCAATCATGATATAGCATGAAATATAGGTTATCAAAACACATACTGATTTAAGGGACGATCCATTAAATGTAGTGGGGGAGCGAAAACCAATCAACGAAGAAAACAATACACTGGTATACCCTCCCCCCATCGAAAAAAAAGACAGAAAAGGGATTGTTTTAAAACTTTAACAAGAGAAACTACTGGAAAAGAACCTAAGGTTTAAGCAAACCAACATTTTACCAACCCCACCCCCGGCCCCCTATTAATTCTTCACCCCTTCAAAAATTTATGTGGGGAGGGGGATGCTTTCCTGAAGAAGTTGCCGCCAAATCTAAAATGTAAACCAAAAATCTACAAACTAAACGACAAAAACAGTTATGCCAACTGGTCTAAAATACTTCATAGCTGTTATTTTACTCACCATTATGTTGATTTCTTAATTTTCCATCTGCGTTTTCTTGCAAACCCGCCAAAAATTAGTTGCGAAGAAACTTGCCCGTGCCTGCAAATCGCGCCATAAATAAGGTCACAACCTTTAACCTCTGACCCTTATATGCTCAGTGTAAACATAGCACTACGTTTTGAAACAAGTCATACGAGCTACAAATTATACAAACAAATGGCACATATTGATCATAAAAGGTTACATATTATGTTGTTTTGTCGTCAAAATGTTTATAATGTATTACAGTCAAGTACAAAGAAAGTTATTTATTCATCTTTACATAAATTCGTCCGATTCGAAGATCATTCGAAGACGAGATGAATAGTCTGCTAGCTTTTTTTGACTTTCAAGATGGCCGTCTGAATTTTGTAACAGAAACACAGATTTTTGCACGTGTTTTATTCCAATTTCTCAGATTTCTGACATTTTTCGACGCCAGGATGCCTGTCGGACGGAACTGGGCGAAGCTGCTGCGGTCCTGGAACCCGCAGTGGGTTATCGGGAGAGTCGTGGGGGTCAGAATGGAGCAAGTGGCCAAGGTCAAATGTGTCAAGATGGTTCTGGATCCATACATAGTCAAGGTAGGCGTTATAAATTACTAGTAAAGATATAATAATAATCTGCAAATGGATAAATGGTATGATTTGTTTCTAACGTAATTTCTCGATATTTGGTGTGTTTGGAAGCATTATAAATTATATAGAAAAACGTAACCAGAAATGTAGCAAAAAACCTGGAAAATGTAACATCTGTGCTTGTATTTTCATAAATTTTGTTTTTGTTTAATAGAAAATAATGTGTTGTAAAGTATTTGTTTCATATATTTATTCCAGGGTGAATAGCTGGCAAAATTATTGCTAAAATGATAATGCTCTTCTAGTTACCAGGATGCATGCAAGAATCATCCCAAAATGGCCCTGAATGAACATTACTAGTAGATTTTTTTCGTATAAAAAAAATGTATAACTTTCCTTTCCAATATACTTTTCTCCCTGCAGTATTTTGGGAAACCTAGAATATTCTACGCCTACGACCCGGAGAAGAAGTGCACCATGGGAGATGTTGTTCTACTGAAGGCTCTGCCAGAACCCGCGCCAACGAAACCTCATGCCTCTACACACAAGATTAGCGAATTTGTCCATCAGGTTTGTTCATAATAATTATTATTTTGACCACTGTTGTTGACAATCTATTCACAAAGATATTTCTGTAGTTAGTCCAAATGGCAACAAGGAAAGTTGCTATGCATTTCTTTTGTACATTGTGAATTTTTTGCTGATTATGCACATAGTAGTATATATGTCACTTGCCACCACTTAGTACCAGCCTATGGAGAGACTATTTTGGCTTCCAATTTGACCTCACTTCTTACTAATAGGGAGACCATTTTGACCTCCAATTTGACCTTCCTGTCAGTCTGCGGTTACACCATTTTCCCCTCAATATTTGTGACTGCTGTATTCAACCAATCAGACTCAGAGGGATACAAGAAAACCTCCATGTACGATGGTCATGATCTGTCTGTAGGTTGGGAGAATATATGATCCCATAAGAAAAATGATCTGGTCTGTCTTTCTGTAGGTTAGGAGAATTTGCAATCCCATGAAAGTACTCTGAGTAGTGATCTGTTTTTCCCTTAGATTGGGAGAATATAGGATCCCATCAGAGTAATGATTAGATATTCTTGTATGTTAGGAGAATGTGATCCCATCAATGATCAGTTTTCCTCCATAGGTTGGGAGAATATAAGATCCCATCACAGCAATGACTATTGTTTTTTCCATAGGTTGGGAGAATATACGATCCCATCAGAGGCCAGCGTTGTGAAGGCACAACCCTCCTCCCACCAGACAAACACAAACTTCCCAAACAACCAACTACAGGCCGACCCTACAGCGAAATTCCTGCACCCGACAAGTCACCTTATGAAAAAATCCTTCCGGACACAGAATATTACCGAAACAAATAAGCATGTACATATCTTAGAAGCATTTAAGAGCATTACTTTTCTTTTGATAAAAATAACTTCTCTTGAGCATAAGTTTAAAGAGTTGTTCTTCTGTGTATTTTCTTAAAAGTTTTAAGATTCCACCACTAGTAGTATATCTGTTTTCAGTCTCTTGGTTAATTATACGATCTACAACTTAGTAGTATAATAAACAAATGAAATATTTGGAGTATTATGTAGTTTATTCACTTGTTCACACAGAAAAAGTACAGAAGCATCTTGTGTCAAAAATTTTACTGGTAGCTATGTGTAACAGTTACTGTAGTACACAAACGAAAATGCAAATTCTGTTCTTTTTTAAAAAAAGCCAAGTCTGCAAGATTTTTGTACGACTCCAATTCAGGAAGATAGGTGTTGAAATAAGTAAATGGACTGTAGTTTAATATTTCATACTTCACTCCTGTACAGCATATATTCATTCAGATTCTATACAATACATGTATAGTACATGTAAGTATGTATTGTAATCTTGGGGTGGATCATAAAAGACAAACCTAATTTGATTCAAATAGAAGCAACGTTTCATACAATAAAGGTTCTACTTCCAGAAGAATTGTGTCTTACCATGTATGTATAATTATGTTCACATTATAAGCTGACAGTATAACACTGTTAAGTATGAGTTACTGGGCTATGTTTTAAATGCAGGGTTAAGCAGAGGCAGCTTGTTTCTTCTTGTGGTAAGCTTCCATCCGAGCCTCTAATTCAGGACGGAAGTGGCGAATCAAGCCCTGGAAAATAAGAGATGAAAGTTTACTGACACGTATTTGCAAGCACTGAAAGAGCAAACTTGTAGGTCTTTATTAGTGAGTCTACTTCCATATTGGTGTCCTTATTTGCATACTATTGCCCTCATTTGCATATTTGTGTCATTACTTGCATTTTAATGACAGGTAGGCTTGAGATGTTTTTGACATTAGGAGATCTGACAATCCAATAATATAACCATGTGTCAAAAGAAAGATTACCTTTTTAATTTAAACCTCACTGAAATGCAAATAAGGACACCAATATGGCTGACAGTATTTGCTGTCCTTTTCATTGATTACGCGACATCCACATAGAAAACCTTAGTGGAAAGTTGACAAATGAAGAATAACAAGCATCTTCACAACTAAATAGCATCTTGTAATACCTGTACAGGCCAGGCTGCTCCATCCCCCAGAGCACAAATGGTGTGTCCCTCAATCTGCTTGCTGAGTTCATACAGCATGTCGATCTCGTCAGGACGGGCATTGCCTTCCACTGTAACATGTTTGAACATACTCGCAGTTAGAAACCACATCTGTACAGGCAAAACACAGTGTTCCTCACAGATGGTTCTTGTACAGAGCTACATATATAATATATCACTATATCACTAGAATAACAAGAATTTTGGGACCTCAGGCCTCCATGAAACCAGTTGTAACTTTTTAGAAGAGGTTGGAAAATGAAAAAGGGCTCCATTGGCAGGCATACAACTATTTTGTAGACCATTTTGACATCGAATTTGACCTTCCTATCAATCTGGGGTAACACCAATTCCCCCATGGCTTCTTGTGACTCAACCAAATTCAAATAACTACAGGCAAACAAACACTGAAATTCAAAATACTATACGTGGTTATTGAAATAACTACAGGCAGACACACTAAAAACACTATACATGTAGTTATTGAAATAACTACTGGCAAACAAACACTGAAAATGCTGTTGTTATTCAAATAACTACTGTTGTTATTCAAATAACTACAGGTAAACAAACAGAGAAAACAAAACCTCCATAAACGGAGGTAACAACTTGGTCTTACCAAATCTGTACATGATCTTAGTCATCCAGCCTGTGCCCTCACGACACGGCGTGCACTGTCCGCAGCTCTCGTGTTTGTAGAACTCGATGAGGCGCGCTATGCCCTTCACGAGGTCCGCCTGCTTGTTAAACACGATGAGGGCGGCCGTGCCGAGGCCGGTCTGCGCCTGGACCAGCGCGTCAAAGTCCATCATCACGTCATCACAGACACTGAAGGGGAGAGAAAAAATATCAGGGGGTGTGTTTGCAGCATTCAATAGCTGCTGGCTAAAATATCAGGGGGTATGTTTGCTGTATTCAATAGCTGCTGGCTAAAATATCAGGGGGTATGTTTGCTGTATTCAATAGCTGCTGGCTAAAATATCAGGGGGTATGTTTGCTGTATTCAATAGCCCCCGGCTGTACACATCTTTTACCCTTTAGCACACTGAAGTAGCTGTTTGGCTACTGATTCTCTGCTGGTTATAGGGATAGGCAGCAGGGAGAAGGTTATATGTGAAGAAAAAAATTGTAAACAAAGGGATGTACAAAAAAAAATAACTTGTAATAATAACTTGTAAAAATAACTTGTTGTATCATTTATTACCTGTAATGTTAATTTTCACCTTTGTAAAGACCTACAGGCCAAAAACATGAAAATCCATTCTTGACTTATTCTATTTCAAAGTCTATTACAAAAACACCCCTGCAGTTCCAAAGAAAACCTTGGCAAAGGTACTTTGTGTTGTTGGTAATAAGCACCACAAACAAACATTTCTTACTGTTTGGGGATGAGGGGGGTGGAGGACCCCCCTGGGATGACGGCCAGCAGGTTGTCCCAGCCTCCGATCACCCCCCCTGCGTGGCGCTCGATCAGTTCCTTCAGGGGGATGGACATCTCCTCCTCCACAGTACACGGGTTGTTCACATGGCCGGAGATGTTGAACAGCTGGGGAAACAATACAGGATACATCAACCCCAACACAACAAGGACCTTGTAAATGTCTCCACTCCTGAGGCATCGCCAAAAAATATTCACAGATAAAGTAAACGAGAAGTGTGAGATATTGAACAGTTGGGGAAACAATACAGCATACATCAACATCCCAACATAAGGACTATATGTCTCCACTCCTAAGGCATCGCCAAAAGACACATTGTACTTGTATGTACACAAATAAAATACATGTGAAGTACAGTGAGATATTGGAGCACAGTAACTTCATTGCTCCTTGTACCAGTTGTTAAGGTTCGTGTGGATGTAAAGTACATGACATGTATTCTTATCAATGACATCATGTACAATGTATCATGCTTTCTTTGTTTGCATTTCAGCCTGAGGAATTTTATATCTGGATATTCCTGAAACACTTTTTCCATTAACTTTTTAACATACACATACGTGAACAATACAGTACACATGTAACTGTTAGGATATCGTACCTTAGTACCAGAGTTCCTCGTACGGCCCATACCAACAAACCAGTCTCCACCACGACGGCATATGGTCTGAAAAAAATTACACATAGAAACTTAGTATTCACCTGGGACCAACTGTAGCAATGCAACAATGTACAGTACATACTAGTAACTGACTTTCCATGTATGGGCATTAGCACCCCCTAGTAATACAAGAGTGAACTAGTTCTGAACTCCATGCAAACCACGTGTATGTACTGTCTGATAGCAATACCAGACTTGCATAAATGAGTAATTTTCACTTACAGGTGCTACAGCAACAGTTTCCACGTTGGCCACAGTTGTCGGACAGCCAAACACACCTGTAACAACAACCAATCAGCATCAGGCTTACTAACAGGATAAAGGGTTCCAGTGTCCACACTTCTGATTGGTAGAAGAAGCACTAGAAAACATATGAGACTTCTAAGTTTTCCAAAATAGTAATACAAGCAAGTAGAGCTACATGTATATTAAGAACTTGAAGCATTCAATATCATTGCAATCAAATAACAATAGGAATACTAGTACTCCTCCCATATCAGGGCTACAATCGTTGTACAATGTAGCAAAATAAACCCTAATCAAATACTGACCAATGTCGGCAGGGAATGGTGGCTTGAGACGGGGTTTCCCAGCCTTGCCTTCAAGGCTCTCAATCAGCGACTGGCAAACAGAAACAACAAGAAAGTTTTGACTAGAAAGGTAACATTTACCTTCACATATGGTCTGCTCTGTTCATTCTTACTCAAACACATTCATATATATGGTCAGACAGGAGTCTAAATCCCTCCTGCTATAAAATTGCAACATGATGTAACCCAACACTAGTAACCATGGTGACAGACGTCTGGTTCAGGTCATAAACCTTACTGGTTCGGAGAAGAAGAGGAAACAGAGCAAAAACAAAATGTTTTCCTTCGGTGAACATAACAAGAGTTGCTCTACATATATGCATTCTACCAATTTAAGGACAACAAAACTGCTAACAATATTAGTCTTTTAAAAAAATCCAAAATTCTTTTTAAATGTCTCTGCGCTCCTGAGGTGTCGCCAAAAACAATCCTAACTGTTTCTTCTCCACAGATGTAGGCCCCAGCTCCACGGTGGACGTAGATGTCAAAGTCATAGCCAGAACCACAGGCATTCTTGCCGATCAACCCTGCCTTGTAAGCCTGGGGAAAGATACACAGTACATCAGTGCCATCTAGTGGTGCCTAACAAAAATGCAGTCAAGTATGACATTGTATTTATGATTAAGACATTTCCACATCTAACATCGCTTACCTCTTGAATAGCGACCATCAGATTGGTGCCTTCATTGTAGAACTCACCACGGATGTAGATATATGCTGTATGAAAATAAACACATAATAAACGTTAGCACATTGGCATATCTGTCAATACAAAAAAAATACATTTTTCATGAAATGTATGCACTAGCTCAAAATGTCTACATGTGTATGTCAGAAAGGACTGAACAGATTCTTTCGTATGTAACTCAGTAAAGTTAAGATCCTCCTTGTGGTTAAAAATGGAACTGCAGTAAAAAAGTATCATGTGCAGTGAATATTTGGATGTTTCCATTACAACATGCATAAGGACTGAACAGACTCTTTTCTATAGAGCTAAGATGCCCCCTTGCAGTTTGTTTAGGAACTGCACTAAATCAGCAGCATATGTGCAGTAGTGAACATTAGGGATGACCACACTGACCAGCCCTGGCACCCATGGCCACTCCTACAAATGAGTAGTATGTGCAGTGAACATTTGAATATTACCATTACAAGGTGGGTTTTCAAAACAGATTCTTTTCTATAGAGTATAGATGCCCCCTTGCAGTTTGTTTAGGAACTGCACTAAATCAGTATCATGTGCAGTAGTGAACATTAGGGTTGACCCCACTGACCAGCCCTGGCGCCCATGGCCACTCAGACTCTTTCCAATAGAGCTAAGATGCCTCCTTGCAGTTTGTTTAGGAACTGCAACAAATCAGTAGCATGTGCAGTATACTAGTAGTGAACATTAGGGATGACCGCACTGACCAGCCCTGGCGCCCATGGCCGCTCCGGCCACTAGACATCCCTCCACGAGCTTGTGCGGGTCGTGGCGCATGATCTCGCGGTCCTTACACGTCCCCGGCTCGCCCTCGTCAGCGTTCACTACCAGGTACTTCGGTCTGGGCGCAAAACAGTCACATGGTCAAAAAGGGATTGTTCATCTGATTCATTAAAAAGCTGGACTTGGAACTAAGACAGTTAACTGCTTACCATAAATCCAATAGTCTAAACTCGCACAGTTACAGGAATTTCATTACACTACATACTATACACACTATATATATTACATAATAAACCATTTCTATGAATGTGTCACTGTGCCTGCCGCCATGTTGGTGTCTCTTTTTGCATTTTCAGTGAATATAGCTAAAACAATAAACAATTTTGGACATTCAAAGAGCTGATCCTCCCAAATCACCGCTATCAAAATGTCTCCAACAAGACAAAGAGTACCATAAGAACACTTAAAAACTCCCGGACAAGACACAAAAACACTGGGTACATTTGACATGTAATTAATTGAAATGCAAATAGGGCCACCAACATGGCAGTCAGCACCTATCTTCTTGAAATTGTGTGCTCTACAGATGCCTATGGCACCACAAGTAACCTGTCATCACTGTGTGTGTTCATGAAACTATAATACACAAAAATGCTGGGTACACATGACCTACAATCCATTGAAATGCAAATAAGGACACCAACATGGTGGTAAGCACTTCTAAACTGCCTATGACCTTCCCACTGACCTGCCATCGCTGGGTTTGTTCATGAAGCCCCACTTCATCCCTGTAGGGAAGCCCGCACCGCCTCGACCACGTAGACCTGACTTTACGATCTCCTTCAGGATCCAGTCATGACCCTTCAGGATGATCTCCTTTGTCTTGTAGTAATCACCCTGGGGAATAAAGTGGCAATAAAGATTAATTAAGAGAACTGGAAAGCTAAGAAGCTCAAGATAACATTTGCAAAGCAAATGCATAATGTTTACCTTTGCATATGGTCTGCTCTGTTAATTCTTACTCAAACATATTCATATATATGGTGACAGGAGTCTAAATCCCTCCTGCAATAAAATTGTAACACAATGTAACCCAACACTAGTTTATCTTTTTTGTCTAGTTACCATAGTGACAGACATCTGGTTCAGGTCATTGACCTGATTTGTTTGAAGAAGAAGAGGGAGAAAAAAATCGAGCAAAAACAATATGTTTTCTTTTTGCTAAGGTAGCAGCGCCACTAAACCTACCCTTGCCAGCGCTCCTTTGAGTTTCCAGTCATGCCGACCGTACAGGTTGGTGAAAATGCGGTCTTCATCACTCAGAGGGCCGTATACCTATGTATAATGTGTTAAAAAAAACACATGTAACAAGGTTATATATGTGAGCAGTTTATGTTTTTGTTTACATCATATACAGGGTTCTAGCTAGTGCAAAGTAGCGTAGGGGCCCCCTACGCTATAATTTTGACCCCCTACGCTAAATTTTCCCTCCTACACTATAATTTTGACCCCCTACCCTAAATTTCCCCCCTATGCTAATTTTCAATACAGTATAGGGGCATTGTGACTGTATTTCTTTGTTTGAGAATTCCAGATCAAATGTGAAAAATCAAAGATACATTGTAGATTGTACATACTTTAGAAATAACATGTTTTCCCTTTGGGTATCCCTCAAATGACCTCTTTTTAAGCTCAAATCTTTAAAAGCTCCGCTTCGCTCCCTCATCATGCGGCCAGTGCCACTACGCTAAAATTAAATCCTAGCTAGAACCCTGATATACATGCAAATTATTTGAAGATGTATGCAAATTAATGGTAGTCAAATCAGCCAACTGGCACTCGCTACTTGCCCACCACTCGCTTGCCGTAATGTCATGGCGATCACTTATATTGTCCTACATGTTTAGAGTTAAAACTTTTGGTCCACCACAAAAAAGTTCTCTCAGTCTCACCTAGAGCTTTCGACCAGTCACTCCGGTCTTCCTCAGTAGACTGACTGGTCGAAATCTCTAGGTGAGAGAACTTTTTTGTGTTGGACCAAAAGTTTTAACTCTAACATGTAATTACCAACACAGATGAACTTTCATGATTATATTGTCCTACATTGTCCAATAAGGTTATCCATTGTCCTACAGGCATGAAATCAGATGGATTGAACATTTTTCTTACACATACTAGTAAATAAAAAATTAAGCAACAACCAAATTTGACATTGTAAAAACACTTACTCTAAGTTCTAACTTGTAAGACTACTAAGAGCTAGGTCAATTTGTATGGAAGTCAACTGAGTCTTTCAGTCATTAGACCGTGTGACGTACGTGATAGTTGTAACTGATTGACTGTCTGACTGGTTAATTGATTAACTGGCTGGTTGATGGATTTATTGCTAACCAACCTTGGCAGGTGCCTCTTCAGTGGAGTTGTGCCTGATGCTGACTGAAGAAGCTGCAGCTTGTTTAGACATGAGGCCACCTGGAAACAAACATGTACACAAGTCATAACCTGTGACCTAAAAACAAGTTGTTCTTATCTAATTACAAATTTGACACAAAATGTAATTTATTGGCAAGACAGAAATTGTCTATAAGTTCCGTGGTATGCTGAATTGGCATGGAATAACACATTTTTTACTTGTTCCTGGCAAGAATTCCTACAGGTCAAAATTACCTAAATATCGTGATTGTAAATGTAGGTGTTATTCAATCCTATCTAGTTTGGCAAAATTATAGATTCACATGACAAGTGACAACGATATAGTGTTACCGTAAGAAAAATTATCTTTTTCCTCATGAATTAAGAAAGTTCATATTAATCTACTGTACTGTTCTGTATGACTCTGAGTAAGGGAAAGAATCAGAAAGTTTGATAATTTTTTGTTGTTGTTGCGTAACAAAAAACACAACGTACCGCCCCCCTCCCCACAACTGCGTCTCTGAAAATTGCAAAAGATTTCAGACGTTGAACTCACCTAACCGTGCCCTGCACGCCACCGCCTGAAACTTACAGAGCGAGGCCATGGTCTCAAATCTCTGTAAAAGGCGACGAATGTCGGAAAACGTCAGATTTTGGCACTTTTCCTTCGTCCTTCCACCGCTAGACTCCCTTTTCTATCTTCGCTGTGACCTTACATAAGGAAGATACCAAGTATGGAAAATAGGGAGTTTACGTAATAGTGACGTTAGAAACATACATAACGCCTTCAGAGATACTACCAAAATTATCTTTATGCTTTAACATCAAATAAAATCAATATCAAGATGCATCTTCAAGGAAAATTCCGTTAATAAATGTATTAATTGCAGATTTGATTATAGTCCAAATATGATGGAATACCTGGTCCCTGTAATCATAGTGGACCAAACTACTGTATTCTGCCTAATGGTATCACAGCGCCTCTTGCGAAATATAATCGAACTGCAGCAAAGGGTAGTGACCGAAACCAAAAGAAAATGTTGCACGTTGAAAGCCTTTCTGTTAAGATCTCAAGACGTTTTGCAGCCTCCCTTAAGATGTGAACTTAAGGAGGAAGATTTTCTGCGCAGAGACAACATTTTGAATTAAGAAAATCAGGTTGGAAACTTTCCTTTTTATATTATTAATAGAGAACCGTATGACCATTTGTGGGGAGGGGGGCAGGTTATAAATAGGCTATACAGTCCAGATGACATCTATGTATTATACATGTATCTGCCAGTGATATCAGTTTGAGAGGTATCTTTTAGAGATGTCTTTGAAATTTGATGACGTTAGAAGTTTATGTCCTACCTGGGCCGCGATTACGTTCGATACGGGTGTTCCGGCCCGTGTGATAACTAGCGGTACGGCCCGGGGATTATGCGTACGGCCCAGCCCTTCCAAATGTTCCATAGAAAGATTCGAACGCGTTTCTCCCTAACCGCGCGCAACGCTTTCGAAAATTCAACTGCAAAATTCGGACGTTGGAATTGACGTTGTTGCGTTTTTTGGGATTAGGGACACCAAATTTTTGCTCATTTTGCATTGAAAGGCGTGTTTTCGTGGGTGGGTATGACATAAATAAAATACAACACGGTGTATTCCGCATCACCCTCGGTCCCAGCCCTCCCGTGGATCGGATCTCCCTTCGGCCTTCGGCCGTCGGGCGATCCGACGCGCGGTCGGGCTGGTACCCCGTGTTGTATTCTATATGTATCTTATGACTTATACTATTATAGTATAAGTTATACTGTTATACGGTTAAAACCGTTAACGTTAACAACATATAATGTCTAGCTTTTCCCAGCACCATGGCTGTACAGAAGTTTGTGAAGAAAACCGTGCGACTTCTGGAGTTGGAGAGACAGGCAGAGATAGAAGAGACAAGGTACTGTGATTGTGTGTGAATTTACTGTAAAATTCTCTTGCAACAGAAACACTATTTGTTTTTCCTATGCCTAACGTTAACTGCTTTGCTTTAAATTTTAAAGTTAAAGTGAATATTTCCCCCAGACTTCTCCAGGACCAGGTGTCACCTAAGGAGCTCCAGCGGCGGGGAGTGTGTCTGCTGAAGCTGGGTGTGGTGGAGCAGAGTGTGGGACTGTACGGCAGGTCACTGCTGACACTACGACCTGGACATGCCGGCGGGGCAAGGGAACTACCCTCACACACATTCACTCCTGGTAGGGTTAATTTGCATAAAAGGGAAAACTGGTATGGATATTTTGCATAAATGGGAAAACTGCCTATTACAAATGTTGCATACATTAAGGATAGTTTGTACAGTGTGCACAAGCTGTAAGAGATCCGAATGCTATATAATGTATTTTCAAACGTTTGAAATTCAACCGTTACAGTTAACTGTCACAGCTGGCATTTTTGAACATTTGAAATAAAACAGTATGAAGGAACATATAGAAGAAGCAGCTTTAATAAGGCAACAAAAGTACAGCAACTTTAGTATACAATAAACTACAAACTACAAGTACAAAGTAAAACATGCAAGTTTATGTGCCTGTGAAGCTGGTGTGTTATAATATACGCCAAAGGGCGGTTATACTGATATAGATACAGAAATCAGTTGTATTTGAGCCAAGAACATATTAAACTGTAACTTCTGTGCTCCTCCCCAGGTGATATTGTGGGTCTGACGCTGTCATCAGAAGCCCGGCCAGGAGCGCCCCAGCTGTCGGGAGTCGTATCGTACGTCACGACCGCGGCCATCAGCGTCGCGTTTGACGAGTCTGTAGACGTCCTGTCATTGGACGGAGATGCGCTCTACAACGTAGTGAAACTGGCCAATGATGTCACCTACAAACGTCTGAAGAGGTTAGTATGAGTTTTCTTGTAATTATGTTATCGTTTTTTATGTCTTTGTAAAGATTACAGTCTAATAAAGCTTAAGATAGTGTAGAAGAAGTGTCTATTCAGAAAGCCAGGTTTAGAAATACTGTAAAAATACTCCAATGTAGTTTCAGGTTGGTAAAACAAAATGATTTTTCTGAATGAGGAAATCTGTCAGATACATGTAATTGTTTTTTAATCCAGTTTTGCTTCTTTGAATGTCTTTTAGAAGAAAGTTGCTTGAAAATCGTGATGAACAAGTTTTTTTTTTATTCCTTAGAGCCCTGAAAGACCTGGAGACCTATGAGCACACCTGTTCCTGCCACCTGATACAGGTGCTGTTTGGGGAGGCAGAACTCAGCTCACCTCTCACACAACTCACCTTTCCAGGTGCCACCTCAGGTGAGAACTGACCCTGTAAGGCCACATGTACACTGACATTCTCTGACATTTATGGATGACATCCTCTGAAGAGCAAAAGGAATTATGCAGCTAAACCACAGAAATACAAAAGTGATATGGCGAATTTGTGGTAATACATAGCAATTTTTACAACAAGCCCGGCACATGCTGGCCTTTTGCGGCATTTATGAGTCGGCACTGCACTGACTTCTTGAGTTCCGTGGAGCTTCTAGCCTGGGTGCCTTCCTCTGTAGTTACCGCCAACTCCCTATTGTCACAAGCTACCATGAACAATGGAGGATGGCACCCAGGCCAGAGCCCCAAGAGGTGGTGTTTTTTTTTAAACAACAGGCGAAAATCAATTACAAGAGGTCTTTTCTTTCTGTATTTGTTCAGCAGATGTGATAGATTGGTGTAACCCGTCGCTGAATGAGTCCCAGCGGGAGGCGGTACAGTTTGCGTTACGCCAGCGGGAAGTGGCCGTGATCCATGGACCTCCCGGCACAGGGAAAACAACCGCCGTGGTGGAAATCATCGCCCAGGCTGTCAGGCAAAAACTCAAGGTACAAAGTTGTATCTATTGATGGCTGGCACTTCGTGTCTGAAGATATCTATTACAGTAACTGTATCTATTACTGTAACAGTAATTGTACTTCTTCCATAAAAGTTTAGGATAGTCTTGTTTTGTTCTTATATATAGTTATCTTCATAATTACCTTCATGAAATAAAGCATACTTTTCTACCATGTCATTTCATGCCATTGTAGACATGTGGTTTAGGTAAATTTTGTCATCTTGCAATCTAAGGTCGCATTTTTTATGATGAAAAGACAATTATGTTACTATTAATAGTATACCAAGCATACATGTGTATGTTTGAGTTCAAAGTCGAATTAGTATTACATGGATATAATACTATACTAGTATATAATTGCTTCAACTGCAAACTTGTTACTTGATTGTTGTATTTATGTTGTGTTCACTGTTGTTTGTATGTCTTACTGTAGTGAGTGTATGAAATATGTACTGGGCAAATTATCAGCTAGTAGCTGATGACTGGTGCCCATATTGTATTGTCTTGCTGCTACATTTTATCTCAACAAAGTCCAAGTCTAGTGCAAACTCTTGAGTTTCACAATCTCACTCACTCACTCACTCTCTCTCATAGCTTAGACAGCCGTTTTGCAGGAATTTACAAAATATAGAAATTGCCACAGACTTAACTGATTTTTTGTATTCTTCTGCATGATTGTTGCACGTGTAGGTTCTTGCAACGGCTCCGTCCAACGTTGCGGTTGACAACCTGGTTGAGCGGCTGGCAGGGTACGGTGTCCACGCCGTGCGCCTGGGTCACCCCGCACGTCTGCAGGAGGGCATCAAACACTTCTCACTGGACGCTCTGCTCGCTGGAAGTGACGGTGCCAGAATTGTGCAGGACGTCAGGAAGGACATGACTAAAACACTGGTAGGTTTCTTTATTTCTGTGAATAGTTTCATCAGGTTGCATTGGTAAGACACTGAGTAAACAGACTCTTTTTCCACAACCAAGTCTTTTATTCTGAATTTCAGCCGCATTTCGGTGACCGTCTTTCACCTTCCTCAGGGCAATTCTGTCTGGTTCATCTGTGCTGAAGACAAGTGCAAAGTGGCAAATGTTGGCTGAATAAAAGACTTGGTTGTGTAAAAAGAGTCTCTTTACTCAGTATTTTTTCAATGTACAGGGGTAAAGCTCTTTTAATTTTTTAGCAATTTGACCACAGTTATTTCAGCTACCAAAGTTTCTGTGAAAATATTGTACCACCCATGCCATACATTTGTACAGCCAATGCAATCTAGCTCTCCATCTATCTACATTCCTACTCTAACAAGTTGTAGCTTGACTTTAGTGGAATGGGTGCAAGGGACCCATAAAGTTGTTTAAAACAGTTTACAGTTGTTTGTATGGCCAATAGTGACTCCAAAATGCCTCACATTCTTTATAGACTATTGCAGTATCCTTTTTAATTCAACAGAGCAGATTTTCAAACCTGCTAGATCAAAAGACAAAGAAAGAGTATGTGACACAATCTCTGTGTTAGATAGGCTGTCATAGATGTACTTTACGGAGTTAGCCAAAAGTTTGGGTAAGTCCCAATTTACTTAGTGTCTGAACGTTAAGTTTTTCCTTTTGGTCAGAACAAAGCTTTTGCTTTTTCCCCAGTCCCAGATGAAGAGGTGTAGAGGTAAGGCTGGGGAGTACCAGGCACTGCGGCAGGAGATGAAACACCTGCGCAGAGAGCTCCGGGAACGAGAGGAGAAGGCGTCGCTGGAGATCCTGGGAGGGGCGGACGTCGTCCTGGCAACCAACACGGGGGCGACACCCGACGGACCTCTCAGGCTGTTACCACGGAAACACTTCGACTTGGTCGTCATCGACGAGTGTGCACAGGTCAGGGGGGATTTTCATGATTGTGGATCATTACATTTGTATAGTGTACAGCATAGTCTTTACGTTAACCTTAGGCTTCTACCTGCTGCCACACCAAAATTGGTACACATGTATTACTATCCAAATGGCTACTTTGTTACACATTTGCCAGGTGCTAAAACTTTTGTTTAACTTTAAGTGTTTAAAAAGATATTATATATATAACTTGGATGTTAATATATTTTATTATTAGCTAAAATAAAATTTTATTTTGTGCATCCAAATTTCTCTCTGTGCAGCTAAATTTTTAGGTTTACATAGTACCAGTGTATTCAAAAAATGATTTTCAAGCCCTGACAGGTAACGTTACACTGTATGTTGTCTGTATTGTATTTCCGTAGGCGCTGGAAGTGTCATGCTGGATCCCATTGCAGTATGCAGGACGCTGTGTTCTAGCTGGAGATCACCTACAGTTACCTCCTACCATCATCTCACACAAGTATGGTCTAAGTTCTAACTCTACATCTTTGTCACTTATTGATATGTTCCAAGCATTTCTGTTTTGTATAACAGAGATTGAAGATATTTTGAAAGATTAATTTGATAGATGATATAGAAATGCAGAGAGATTATAATGTAAGATAGGAAATTCCCCTAGCTCTTTTTGACAAGCACAATGAATAGTGAACCACAGCTTAACGTCCCATCCTAGGGACTGTGAGTGTGATCCTTTCCAGTAGCATGCATGTCGGGTGAGTGACAATAGTCTGGATTCAAACTCCCAACCTCTTGGTCCAGCGGCAGGGTCACTAACCACTAGACTATGCATGCTACTACTACTACCAGGCAGTATTGCTGATAATATACACCACACATTACAAAATTTAATGTACACTGTCAGTTTATGTATATTACCTATTAGTACATCATTTTATATTCCAGAGCTGCTGCCCAAGGGCTGAACGTGTCGCTGATGGAACGTGTGATCAGTCTCCATGGTGACCAGGTTGTGCGTATGCTGACGACACAGTACCGTATGCACCAGGACATCATGGCCTGGCCCTCCGCTCAACTGTACCAGGGCAAACTGGTCGCTCATCAGTCGGTGGCTTCTCATCTCTTATGGTTTGTGTAACTTCGTTTTTGTGGGGGGAGGGGGTTGTTGGTTTGAGATATTTTACATGCAACTTAAGGTAACATTTGCAAGGCAGAATGCATAATGTTCACACTCACATATGGTCTGATCTGTTAATTAATTCAAACACATTCATATATTTGATCAGACAGGAGTCTAAATCCCTCCTGTTATAAAATTGCAACATGGTAATGTCTGTTACCATGGTAACAGACAGTCTGGTTCAGATCATACATGGGTCAGGATCTTGTAGAATCGGCAACTGATAGTCTCTACCCTGACACTAAGGACCAACAAACTTTGTTTCTTGTGACCTTGCAGTGACCTTGCCCCTGTGGAGGAGAACGAGGACACGTCCCTCCCCCTCCTGCTGCTGGACACCACCGGCTGTGACCTCTGGGAGATGGACGTACCCAGCGACCAGTCCAAGGGCAACAAAGGTCAGGGGTCATGGCAGCCATGTTAGAATCAGAAACTTAATGAATTGAAGTGTTTAAACAATGAATGATGAATATGAATGCGTGTGTTTAAATATTGAAGGGAGGATGAATGAATGAGACAATGAGTATAATTATGAATGAATGAATGAATGAATGAACAAATGGATAGATGGATGGATGGATGGATGGATGGATGGATGGATGGATGGATGGATGGATGTTTGAATGAACAAATGGACAGATGGATGGATGGATGAAGGAACAGATGGACGGATGGATGGATGGATGGATGGATGGATGGATGGATGGATGGATGGATGGATGGATGGATGGATGGATGGATGGGTGGTTGTGTGGATGGACGGACGGACAGATGGACGGACGGATGGATGGATGGTTGGTGGGGTGGGGTTTGAGTGGGTGTGTGGATGGACGGACGGATGGATTGACAGATGGATGGATGGATGGATGGATGGATGGATGGATGGATGGATGGATGGATGAATCTAGGCACTTTTGATGAGGAATATATGTAGTGGTTTTATTCTAGTGAAATAGCATATAGCTGCTGTTGTAAACAATTGTGTACATTGTCAAATAATATACATTGTATATAATTTCTGCAGGTGAAGCAGACCTGACTAGAACACATGTGGAGAGACTGATAAACAGTGGAGTCTGTCAGGAGGACATTGCTGTTATATCTCCTTACAACCTACAGGTGAAGTCATGATTAAATCAAACTTTTCTTTACACTAAACAACTTTCCCACTAACCATTACCACGAGAAAACAACTTTACTACTGAAATCAAAGAGCCCACATATTGTAGAATAGGGGGTAAATTCGTCATCCACTGCCTCAAAAGAGGTAGTCAAACCCAGCAAAACTAGTACAAGGTACATTGTATGTTGTAGAATGTAGTATAATGTTATAGTTTACGTAGTCTCTCATACCATTTGCTTTGTATTGTACATAATACATGTATGTATTTGCTTTTTTCATACATGTTGTTTGTACCTACGATTAGCCCTCAGGCATGTATTTGCATTAAACTTTTATTAAATTGGGGTGGCTTTTCATGTTCATGTACATAATGTTAACTTGGCCCAGTGCGGTTAAATTGATAAGTTTTTTGGAACATCTGTGTTAGTTGTGTAGTAACATTTATGTACATGAAATAGACTGAGTGCTGAATACTGTATTTGGTGCTGTGTAATGTAGGTTGAACTGTTGAGACAACACCTCTCCTCCAAGTACCCCCGTCTGGAGATTAAGTCCATTGACGGATTCCAGGGAAGAGAAAAAGAGGCTGTCGTCATCTCACTGGTAAACTCTTTTCTTATTATTTTTGAGTAACAGAGTGGAACTACAAGTACAGTAGGGACATTATTATTAGCGTTAGATGTTCAAAGGTTAGGTGTAACAAGTGAATTGATGTACTGTAGCCAGCTGCCGCTGTGTGGCATGCCTGCGAAGCTGGTGTGTTATGCCGAAGGGTGGTTATACCGGCTATATAGATACAGAAGCTGGTGTGTTATGCTTAAGCGTAGTTATACCGGCTATACCAATACAGATACAGTAACTGTGCCTTAGACACAATGGATTAACAAACCACTGCCCCTACATCCTCAAAAAGGCTACATAGAAATATATGGCAGGTGTGTGTATGTAGTTCAAATAATTTAATAAATGCAAAATCCTTCGTTTTCTTTCTCTAACCTCAGGTGCGTTCCAATGAGAACAGAGAAGTTGGTTTCCTCGCTGAAGATCGCCGTATTAACGTGGCGATCACACGGGCACGCCGACATCTCGCTGTCATCTGTGACTCCGAAACTGTCAGTCATCACAAGTTCCTGTCATCCCTCATGGACTACATGTCTACACATGGAGAGGTCAGGAGTGCTCACCAGTATAGAAATGGTGAGTATAACAGAATTCATGTCTACACATGGCCAGGTCAAAAGTGCTCACCAGTACAGAAGTGGTGAGTGTAGTGGACTACGTGTCTACACATGAGGAGGTCAGGAGTGCTCACCAGTACAAAAATGGTGAGTGTAGTGAGCTACATGTCCATGGAGAGGTCAGTCACTATAGTGTAGTGGGCTACATATCTACACATGGGGAGGTCAGAAGTAGTGAGTGTAGTGGACTTCATGTCTACATATCTACACATGGGGAGGTGAGGAGTGTTCAGCAGTACAGTAATGGTGAGTATAATGGACTCCAATTGTACATGTCTACGCACAAATTGTGAGTGTAGTGTTTACACGTACACGTTTTGTGTAGTGAACTACATGTCTACACATGGGAGGTTGGTAATGGTGAGTATAGTGGACTACATGTCTACATTGTACATATGGGGAGGTCAGTAGTGCTTACCAATACAGTAAGGGTGAGTTTAGTTCACTACATGTCTACACGGAAATGGTGGGTATAGTGTACTACAATTGTACATATCTACACAGAAATGATGAGTGTAGTTCACTACATGTCTACACATAGCCATAGGGAGGTCAGAAGTGGGGTCTTACCAAGACAGTATGGTAAGTGTCGTGAACTGCACATCTTCACTGTAATACTATATCTGCTCATGTTAACTTTCAATTAAACTGTAAATATGTGTAAAGATTATGTCAAGAAACAGTAACTGTTGATCTTTTCTGTTTTCTCTATGGTGTACAGAAAGCGAGGTGACAGTGTCTGCAGACTACAGCAAAGTTCCAGTCAACGTGACCAGAAAACAGGCCTCAAAAGAAACATCAGGATCAGCACAAACCACAGAGAATAATAAGGCAACTGAAAAGGCTGATGTTGCTGCAGAGGCAAAGAAGGAACAACAGCCCTCTGCAGAAGTTAGACAACTAGAAAAGAAAGAAACTTCAGATGAATCAAAAACAGACCCACACCTTCAAAAGCAACAGGTACCTGACAATGTATTGTAGTTTGAAATGTCCTTATGTCTAGTCACCATTGAAAAAAACTAACTATTAAGTTTTCTCTTAGCAATGAACATGACACTGTCAGTTATCTGTTGAGATTTGACATTATCCTTCAGTACAATGTGCTTACTAGCTAGATCTTTTCACCAAATTGTATTGGAAATTGGTTCATTAGCAGCAAAGTTAGAAAGCAAGGTTAAACTATGAACTTGAGTAGCATGCATGACCCAGTAGTACTTTATGATTCTGCCTCATACAATGTATATATAATAATATGTTCTATAGGTCAGGGGTTTGAATCCCATCTGTCATGACAACTGTAGAGGTGGGATGACCCCACTACTTTGACACCCTGCATCATACATCTCTTTCTTCTTTTGAAAAAAAAATATTTCAGTTTGCATGTAACATACAATTTCCTTTTTTTTTAGGTTATCAATAGCACACAGAAATCAAATGATCCAAACGTAGACCTGGAACAAGATGGCTCACATCAAACCTGTGACGACACCATCGGAGGAGCCAAACCAAAGAGGAAACGAAATAGAAACAGAAACAAGAACAAAACTAGCCAAGAAAATAATACTGATAACAACACAGCAAGCGATCAAAAACAAACTATAACAACAGCAAAGGAGGAGATAGAAACACCTACACCAGATTTTGCCACATGTGAACATTGTGGAAAGAACCTGCCAAAAGCTAACCTAGAGCTCCATACCATGCACTGCCAGAGAGTAGCAGAACTAAAAGGAAAGTTACACACAGCGTCCGCACCAAAAGAGAAACCACATACAGCTCAGAAAAATTCGTCATCAAGGCAAGAGAACAAGAGACGGCCAAAAAGCGGAAAAAAGAAACAAGGCGGTAAAAACATGTTAGATGACAAGGAGGATGAAAATGATGACTTGGATGCACTGCTTGCACGTGTGGTGAAAGAAGACCACAGTTGTCATTATGAAAGGTAACAACTTTCAATTATGTTTTTGCATCTAATCTTGCTGCTGCTTCTTCTTCAAACTACTAGTAAGAAAAAAGGTCAATGACCTGTATCAGATGGCTGTCACCATGGTAACTGGTGATGTAGCAGACACCTTAAGCCTGTGGTGTTAGATTACATTATGTAGCAAGTTGCAGGTCACCTGTCCATATATATAATGTGTTTGAGTAAGAATAAACAGCAGTTTGTCTGTTTATCTGTACCATCCCCATCATGTGAAGTTTATCGCATTTGTTTCAGAAATGTTTGTTTCTAGTTGATAAATGTGATCAGTCAACTTTGCAGAAGTAAGATGATGGTATCCTAGTAATGACACAGTTAGGAATTAGACTGGATTTTTCTGTTGTCCAGGTGTAAGAACAGTGTGGCCACGGTTGGTCAGTTCTGTGTCCACTGCCGTAAGCTGTACTGTCTGAGTCACCACATGCCAGAGGTGCACGGCTGTGGGGCGGACGCTCACATGGAGGCACGGGCAAAACTGTCCAAGGTAAGGCTGACATAACAAAGGATAAACAGTATCAGTAATATATACATAATACATGTATATACACATATATGGCAGAGAAATTTTGAATCTGTAGACATGTCTGATTCTGTGGACAAGTCTGATTCTGCAGACATGTCTGATTCTGCAGACATGTCTGATTCTGTGGACATGTCTGATTCTGCAGACATGTCTGATTCTGTGGACATGTCTGATTCTGTGGATGTGTCTGATTCTGTGGACGTGTCTGGTTCTGTGGATGTGTCTGATTCTGTGGACATGTCTGAATCTGTGAACGTGTCTGACATTGTAGATGTGTCTGATTCAGCAGAAGTGTCTAATTCTGTGGACATTTCCGATTCTGTGGATGTGTCTGATTCTGTGGACGTGTCTGATTCTGTGGACATGTCTGATTTTGTGGACGTCTGATTCTGCAGACATGTCTGATTCTGTGGACGTGTCTGATTCTGTGGACATGTCTGATTCTGTGGATGTGTCTGATTCTGTGGACGTGTCTGAATCTGTGGTTTCAGATTTTGTAAGATTCATTGTTTTATCATCCCCCAGGACACCATTGTGGAGGGTAAACTGTATGCAGGTTCAAAGAAGAAGCTGAAGCCAGAGCAAAGAGCCTATCTACAGAGGAAACTGGACAAGAAACTGACAGACATGGAGGAGAAAAGGCAACCGAAGAGACCAACAGAAAAATAGACTATTTGTAAAATTAATGTTCTTTTGGAAAATTGCTGCCTGACATACAAGTCATACTGTAAAATCATAAGGATTTTGAGTGCCTGTCATTCTGTTAGGTGATTATGACTTCAAGCATAATTATCCAACAGAACAGTCTCCATGTACATGTACTAGTACTGTAACATTGTAACAGTGTAACAGTGTATTGGATAAATTCACATTACCATAACTTGTGCTCTGACAAGCTATAATAAAACACCTTGACAAGTTTCCACACCAACAATTTGAAGAAATTTTGCCTCTTGCACACCATATACAAGGTCATCAGTATTATATGTAACATTGACAGTACCATACCAATAATGTATCCATTTTTTCGTGCATCAATGATATAATACCAGTAACTGTTGCTCTTTTGCACCAATGTATTGCATGCTATAGTCTTCACCAGACTCCTTTACAGGCTGAATAATTAGTAGAAATTGGCCTAAAAAAGGGACATACTAGTAACTGACCAGGGAAATTAGAGGGTTAGATGCAGGCAAATTGGACCCTCTATGGCCAGCAAACTACCCTAGTCAGTTATGTCCGTTTTAGGCCGATTTCTACTATTTATTTATTCAGCCTGGAAAGGACACTGTTGCATGCGGTGTCCCGCGTTATGGGGTATTAATTTTCCATTATCTCTATTGAGTACACCTTTGTGCCACGTGACTAACCCGGGACAAAGGAAATATACACAAAAGCTGACACGCCCAAATGACTAACGGGTCATCATGGGTGTGGTGAAAAGGTGTTTCTCAGAATTACTGTGAAACACTGATGTTTAATTCCATGGTTTGTCGTGAAGTGAGCAGGACATGTCATGGAATTGTAACGTTTTCATGACTTGCATCATGAATTTTTAAAAACGGACATCGCTGCAAGTATTCTTCTGTACGTTGTCAGCAATTTTACCCGGGAAAAGAAATTTTGGAGCGCGTAAAGGAATATTACGTCTTCATCAACCACCGGATTAGTCCAAGATGGGAGACGATGTGGACACTGCAGTCGGCCGTCTTGCCTTTTGGACCGTGCTATGCCTTTTTCTAGGAGGAGGTAGGTGGTATTTAATATTTACTGTAACTACAGTCTTACCTTTCCCAATTGCCATACTGATAAAGTATGATATAAAACCTGGAAATAATCATTCCACCGTCTAATTTCAATTGTATTGTGCAGTTTCTTTCATTTGGTCGCTGTAGCTCAAAATTTGGTCCAAATTCCGGCACATATTTGAATACTGAAATTTGATCTACTTGTTTCGGTCCCCCATTTTTAGATTTGTCACAAATATCATATGAAAACTTGTTTTACCGTTTGCTTTGAAGCTAAATTTGTATGTGCAGTTTCTCTGCCCTATCTATTAGATCGTTGTAGCTTAAATTTTCCTCCAAATTCCTGTTGCGTATTTGAGACTGCAATTTGTCCTACTACTGAATTCACAAAGTGATGCTTTTTAATATTTAAACGATCATACTGCAACATGGACAGGTCCCCGTCTCAAGCTTTTTGTTATTCTGTCGTGGGAATGACAGCTGGATTGTCCTAAAAAATGCTGAAAATAGAAAAGCCCCTCTGTGGATTGCGTGTCACCCATAGATTATGATGTTACAAAGGCAGTTGAGACTACCTGGAAAGGCACAATACACTGGTATGTCGCATCAACTGTCATACATTCCTTCCCAAGTGGGAATTATTAAAATATACATTTACAAAATTGGAGGCAGGAAATTAAAAGCTGGCAGCTAAGGAAGCGGCTACTTGTTCATGAAACAAGTAGTGTGGTGACATGTATCGCCATTTCCTTGAAAACAAAATTCAATGTGCGTTCAGTTTCTTGATATCGGGATCCTCTTTCTTCCACGCTCTGAATAATATATTGAACCATTTCGTAAGGCTAACGATTTGGCATAGAAGAGAATTGGGTGTTAATTGGACATTAGGTTTTGCTTTTGTCATATCCAGGGCTCAAAATCCCACCAGTACCATGCAGGTTAGTTGTAAAATTGGAGCTAGGCAGGTATTTCTGATGTCTACCTGCACCTAACCTGCACTAGTCCATGTACTGGGTATATGCAGGTTAGTTGTAAAATTGGAGCTATGCATGTATTTCCGATGTCTACCTGCACCTAACCTGCACTAGTCCATGTACTGGGTATATGCAGGTTAGTGCAGGTAAAATTGGAGCTGGCAGGTATTTCTGATGTCTACCTGCACCTAACCTGCACTAGTCCATGTACTGGGTATATGCAGGTTAGTGCAGGTAAAATTGGAGCTGTGCAGGTATTTCTGATGTACCTGCACCTAACCTGCACTAGTCCATGCACTGGGTATATATGTACATGTAGGTGTATACATGTACATGTACATGTACATGTGGATTTAATTTGCTGCATTGACAGTTAGGATTGCATGCATGCAAATCACTTCCGCTTGACGCTCACTGGGCAAGGCCATATCATAATATCAACAAAGCATGCTCAGCCGTGCGTTGCGGTACAGTGTTTGTGATTGGTGGAGCGGACTGAATCATATCACTTAGTCATAATTACTTCGAGGATACTTGACTGCAATGCGCATGCGGTCAGTCATGCATATTTTAGAAAAGCTGCTGAGCCTTTAAAATAAAAGCTAAAATTCCCCTAATTGCCCTATGTTTGTATGGTAATAACCAATGTGTTTTTGTTGCAGTTCTTATGGCGTTAACAGTAATAATAATGTCATACATATCAAATACATGTAACTGTCTCTAACTTTAAGCAACTAGGATGGTTTGTCTCAATCATGCAGGTGTTTAATATTAAATCGTTTTTTGTGCAATTGATGTTGCATTTTCATTTCTTAAATGCTACTTTTGAGAAGAACTGAAACAATTTTTGGTCATTATTTCTATATTTAGGAATGGTCCAGGCTGTAACAGTGACTGTCACACCTGTTGAAGACTTCGTGGCCAATGGGAACAGCTATAACTTCCGCTGCAACTTCGCCCTCGACGACCCCACAAAAGACGCCATCGCTGATTGGTCGTTCACCAACCAACAGGGCACGACGTTTTCCGATCTCTACAAGAATGCGGGAAGCCTTGGAGAGTACTTTCTTCACGGTTACGAGACTAGGGCTAGGTCAGTAGTGTTAAAGTATGGTACAAAACGTCAATTTTATGGTCATTTCTTTACAAAAGTGAGTTGAATCAACCCTACTCCATTCGGGAAGTGTAGGTATAGGTGCCAAAATATGACGCCTTGCGAGTGTGTTTATATAAAAAGCTTGCAACACAGCTGTCAGCCATGTTTGTTTACAATCTGGTATTTTGTGGTGGTACCTCAAACTGAGTGCGCCTGCATGGGCTGTTTTAGTGCCAACCATAAAAGTCAGAAATGTGAGACGCTTGTCCTGGATGACACATGCATGTCACAACAGTAGCTGCAGTTTAATGCAATACGCCAACTAGCGACTGTCTGCTCTATTGATCCTTATCATAACTACAAGTTTTGAGGCGTTGATGTCACCACCAGGTTTCTAGGCGACATGAGCGGCGGGAATGTTGAGTTGGAGGTGCGGGGTCTCACCACGGCTGACAGCGGGACCTACACATGCAGCGTCTCGGTACTGGGCGAGGGGAGGGCCGAAGCATCGATAGATGTTACTGTACTGGGTAGGTAACGAGCGGTGTTTGTTTGTTTGTTTGTTTCAGAAGCTAAGGCCGCTTTTCATTGAGGTCATGAGGGAAGAGATAAGGGTCAGCTGTCACATGTCAAGGACGTCATGTAACAAAAACACCTGTGAAAACACCCAGACTGCACCAAACCATATCCATTATAACCTGACTTAAGGTCCATGTGGAAACACAGACACACACACACATACACAGACATACCAAAAACAATACCTCCATTTTTCATGAAGTTAAATACCCTTAACATAAGAAGTCTCTTTGTAGTATTCCAAACTAGTAGTCAATCATTGGCTCACAGCTGCCAAAAGTTGAAGTTATAACTAACTTACGTAATATAAAGAGATTGACTTGAATTTTGTTGTTTGAACATTTCAGACCCCCCGGGTGTCCCCCTCCTGTCCATCAGCCCCAACCCAGTCCGTGAGAACCAGGATGTACAGCTGACCTGCGCGATGACGTCAGGAACCGCGCCCTTCACCTACAGTTTCCACGTCGATGACGTCATGCTGACGTCGGGGAGTTCAACGACCTATGACGTCACCAACGTCCAGAGGGACCAGCGGCGTTATACCTGTAAGGTGACAGATGTGCTGGGAGACCAGTTTGCGGCTACCAGCCTGCAAGCAACTTTGGACGTGCACTGTGAGTCAAATTTTATAACTTCCCATTGTTTTCTCTTCCATGCATGCATGCATAGAGGTACAGTCGCCATATTGTCTGGTTAAACCTTGAGTCAGATCTGTATGAGTTTGCGAGTGCACAACGGCATAGATATGTTTCTGTGACAAATTTACATATTCAAATTTACGAGGTAAATTCAAAGTGTAACCATCCAACATGGCGGCCCATATTTTAAAATATGTCATAATCATGTGAGTGCAAATACCTATAATCTTGCCTTTCTAAGACATGTTCGCATGTGTTTATCTCATAGTATCTACCCATGCCACCTTATGATATCGTGGACTTGTACATGTATCTGTTTTGTATAGATGGTATAACCGCATGCATGCAATATATTCCTCCGTACTACAGATATTGACACACCACAACTCGCACCAAGTAGTCCCGTCACAGGGGTGGAAGGAGACGAACTGAGCGTGGTGTGCACCGCCGAGGCAAATCCCTCCGCCACCCTCGAGTGGACCAAAGATGGCGCCGTCCAAGGTCAGGGAGCGACCTTGGTGAAGAACCCTGTCCAACGCAATGATGCAGGAACCTACACTTGCACAGCAACTAGTGCTGGGATACTGGGAAGCCCCTCATCTACCAGTACACAACTGGATGTGGACGTTCTGTGTAAGTTTGTCAATATAGTTTTGCTCAGTTTCTTCCTCTTCTCCAAACAGTGACCTCTGACCTGGTCAAAGACCTGAAATAGACCGTCTCTCACCATGGTAACTGGTTTTGGGTTACATAGTGTTGCAATCTTATAGTAGGAGGGATTTAGTCACCATCTGTATTACCTCAATATGAACAGCAAAATTCTGAGTGCAGTATAGTTTCAATTACATAGTTTTTAATGTTTTACTTTGGTCTATATTTTGTGTCAATGTTTAATTTTTTATGTCTTTTTTGTACCCCAATATAAATCTTCATTTGCAAAACCATAATATCATAGTATGAAAAGGTTTTTAAAATATTCAGAATGTCTATAATTTTGTTGTAAATACGTAGATCCTCCGGATGGCAACCCTGTCTGCAGCGTCACAACATCCGGAAATGACGTCATGCTGAACTGCGAATGGCAGGGCGGAAACCCAGCAGCGGAAGTGACGTGGGCACAGAGCGACGGCCAGCCAATCGGATCCGCGCAGCAGTCGGCCAACCAGGTGGCTGCACCTGTCCTGGCACACGACACGGTTTACACCTGCACAGCTGCAACACCAGCACTTAGTTCAGCACCAAGGACATGTACCGTTACTATTAGTAAGTAGGCAAAGTGCATGCTTTGTAGCCTGGTTACCAGACCTATTATAGCTCCCGAGTCCTAAATCCTCTATTTGCGGAGAGGATGTAGGACTCAGGAGCTATGATAGGTCTGGTTACCAGGCTATGCTTCGTTCGTTAGCCTGGTGTCCAAACCCATTTTAGCTGCCGAGTCTCTTTTGAATTTCGTACTCGCGCATACACGCACACTTTCCATGATTTTCTAGCCTGGAGTCCAGTCTTCTTAGCCACTCCCCAAGATGCTGGCTAGCGCTATAGAGGATCTTGCAGACTAAAGACTGGACTCCAGGCTATGATTTTTTTTCCAAAGACTAATATTAGAAATAAGAGTGTTCTACACTGAAACAACCTTTCATAAATATATACCTACCTTCTAAACCTACAATTTAATACAATTATAGATGAAGTTTACCATATTTATTTAGCGTATATTACTCTTTTGTAGTTGCTTATTACAGTCTCAAAACCTTTTTTTGGACGAAGGTCGAAGATAGATTATAATCTATAAAATATGTATTTTCATTGCAGGTGTCCCGAGTGTAACAGTCACCCCCAGACCCGCGTCGACCGTACCTGCGGGCACACCCAGCCACACTCTGTCCTGCATGGTCAACCTAGACGTGCTCCCACCAGTCCAGGGGGTCTCCTGGACTGGACCTGCCGTCACTGCCGGCAGGACAACAGGTGAAGCTATAACATACGTGTTAGTTTGTCAGACCAAGGAGGTTTAAAAGAGGTTTTTAAACCTCCTCGGTCAGACTCATGCTTCCAACTGTTACGTTTACTGACATATTGTTTTTGCTCTGTTTCTCTGTTTCTCACATATCCTGGATTAGTCTTTGTCTTGATTGTATACTTACGTTATTATCTTTAAGTAGAGATAGAAAGTTAGATTAGTAGGTCATATAACTTCATTTTAGCATATAGTTTTATACCACTACATTCTGTACTCATCGTTCTTGTCAATGTCTGTTTGCACTCAGCCCTTGCAATAAAGAACTCATAAAGAGCTTGTTATTGTTGTCTCATATAAGATTGACCCTTTTTGTTTTCCAATGAATCCATGTTACAGGAGGTACCCTGGACACCCCAGATCTGACCATCCTTAACGTGGAGACAGCAGATGCCGGAAACTACAGCTGTTCAGCTGTCAACCTGGCCGGAAGTGGCAGCGATTCCCTCACCTTGGATGTCCTTTGTACGTTCGATACTTTATTTATATGTACTTTTCTGCACATATAATACATTGAAAAAGTGTGTGCCTTGCAAAAAAATCAGTCTTTACGGACACCTTAAACAGTGCGTAAATGTTCCATTTCATCGTTTGCACATTTACGCTTAAAGACATTTCGTTAGCTACTTACCTGTACTGTACTATGTGCATTCCGTTGGTTGACAATTTTCCGGTCACTGAGCTTGTAATAACAATAGCCTGGACCTGACTGATCCATCTGGTAAATTGCTTTGAAGCCGACCAGCAAAGTTGTTTATCAGCGAAAGGTTGTAATTTCCTTTTTTCAAACGTAGTCGTGAAAACAATGTGAAAAGACGGTGTATCTCTTTGGATTTCTAAAAGTAAATCATACATTTATCTTCTTTAACAGATGCACCTATGAGTACTGCCATCACCCCAGCATCAGCGGAAGAGAAAGAAGGCGACCCTCTCACCCTGACCTGCACCTCGGACGGTAACCCTGTCCCCACATTCACCTGGAGCAAACAGGGCGGGGCAGGGCCGCTGCCGGCCGGGAGCATGGTACAGATACAGAGTCTGTCACGGGAAGACGCGGGGACGTACACCTGCACGGCAAGCAACGGGATTGGCAACCCACAGGCGGCTACCAGTACTGTGGACGTGCTATGTGAGTGTCCATCAATTATAGGTTCTGGGTATAGAACTGTCCTATCTTTAAGCACATCTTTAAGCGAAAACGTTCTGTTGTCCAACTCCAGTAAAGAAACAGACATTTAATGCATGTTTTATGGTGTACTTAAAGATGAAATGTGAACAGTGGGCGGTTGAGGCGTGTGTGTCTGTTCAGACAGTAGGTTGACAGGGTGGGGAAAAATTAACAGTCAGACTTGGAAAAAGGGAACATGAAAGTCTCAGAATCTGGTCAGCAGCCGGTGGTTGTCATGAGGGAATTCAGGAAGCCAAGGATTGCATACTACAGATTTTGAAATCATGTAGCAATGGCAAAACGTGTATTGTTTTACCCTGAAGTCAATGGGCGCCGCCATGTTTTTTGTACATTTCCTTACACAAGAGTTTCCCCCCTTCTCTGTTCTAGATCTTGACACACCAACCATCAACACAACTTCACCAGTCACCTTGGAAGAAGGGAAGTCTACGGCCATCCAGTGTTCAGCAATGGCCAATCCAGCAGCCAGCTTCAAGTGGCGCAAGGACGGAAGCGGTGACCCGGAAGTGAACGGCAACATCCTGACGTTGTCCCAAGTCAGCCGGGACTCGGAGGGAACATACACGTGTGAAGCTTCCAACACGATGAAGGGAGCTCTGGAGACAGAAGAAGTATCTGTGAACTTAGTCGTGAATTGTAAGTAATACGACATTTGAGTGTATCCTAGCTTTTCACTAAGATGTTGCTTCATCAGGCATTCACATATTTATTGTCCATATCTGTGACCTTTTATAATTTGATCGGGAAAGACCTCATTTCTGCAATACCTTTTTCTGTGCAGCTTTTCGTCACTGAGCACGGTCAATGGTCCCTAAAACTGCTTATCAAATGATTTATTGAGGCCCGTAACCAATAAGTGGTTGGGTCAGTCACTCTGACGAAGGATGGAAGTTGAAAAATTCATTGTTTCCTAATTCCTAGTGTTGCAAAAAAAAACTTGTGTATGTGTAGCTTTGTTACATGTCTTTTTGTTTGTCTGATACTTTCTTTATTTATGAGGGAGCAAAGCATGACTTTCAATTAGTGAAGTCGATTCCCCAAGGATCGATACTAGAACCCCTTCCTCATTGCTATACATGTATGCCAGAATGCCCTTTTCACATAATTTGATTTTTTAAAAATCTCCTTTCTTTCTCCAGACCCAGCCAGCGTCACCGTCTCCTCCGCCATGGTGACAGTAGATGAGAATGATGACGTCAGCCTGAGCTGCACTGCTGACAGCAAACCGCCTCCAACCAGTTTCACCTGGACAGACACGAACGGAACACCCCTGGACAGCCAACGTGATGGTTTCACCCTGCAGGCTACCATTCCGGATATTACGTACCAACAGGCCGGAAGTTACACCTGTACAGCAAGCAACGGAGTGGGGGATGCTGGGACTGCTGAAGTTGACGTCATCATTGAATGTAAGGCTAGGTTTAAATTTACTACTAAATCTGTCTTGAGCATGCCTTGAAAATAACCTTATAATTAAGAAAAGCTCAGAACCTCATTGGCTTTATAGGAAGAATTGACTATCATTAGTCGTTTAGAAATGTGTGTGGTCATAAAGAAAAAGACATGATTCCAACTTGGACATAAAACACAGAAGATTGTTTCAATTGATGTGAACATTTTTTTACCAAATTTCAACATGGACAAACCAAATGAACAATGGGCGAATATTACTTAGCTTTAATTACTTCTTAACGGATTTAATAATTTGTAACATTGTGTTCCCCTAGATCCTCCGAAGTTTGACCACAGCCGAGACCCGTACCCCGTCGCCACTGGTGCAACCGTAGCCCTACGGTGTTCAGCATCTGCCGTACCCAATGAGATCACATTCTCCTGGTCACGTGACGGGAGCCCCGTGTCAGACGACCGGTTCACTGTTACCCAGCCTGCACCAGGCGCCTCCCTCCTCACCATCAGCGGGGTGCAGGTGGAGGATTATGGGACATACCGCTGCACGGCGACCAATCAGAAAGGAGAAGAATCAGACAATATCGTCTTGCAACCATACGGTATGAAATTTCAGATAAACTGCTTTGTGTATACACAACAAAATCTTCAAATGTTTCAAAAACATTCAAAACCGATGTCTTCAAAATATGTTGAGATGTTTTGGTCAGATAAGTAATCATATATGTTTGCTTTGTTTGTACTTAATCAATTTAGTACAATTTTTATGGAAAATTATCACTTTTTATCAACCCATTATCCATGAATAGACATTTACATTTTAGCCAACAAACGATTTATTAGAATGAAAGGGAATTAAGTTGCTAGTTTTATGTTCATTCTTCCACCAAAAACATCCACACTAAGAAGCCTTATTTCGTGATCCCATCCCAGGTCCCCCTCACCAACCGACCGGGTTGCAGGTCTTGTACAAGGACGCTGATTTTAAAGTCAGGATGCGCTGGACCGGCGGCTTCAATGGCGGGCTGCCAACCACCTACACCATACAGCTGCGGAGCAAGGGCTCCACCGCCTGGAAAGACGTGGGGACGCAGCAGGAAGGTATCTGTATCTCACAGCTTTATTCACCGTTTTCTTCATTCCCAAGATGCATAGCGCCAGGGGAAAAATTCCCAGGTTGCATAGCGTCAAGGGGTCGATATCTGACATACTGTTGATGTTTAATATACAGCTTGTTTTTAAAGTGTGTTTTGAAGAGTTGGAACATTTTGCGTGTAAAATAAGATGACATGCTACAGGTTAAATTTAACAACAAATAGAGTTTGACATTCTTGCATTTTTCATAAACATCATCATCACCATCATAAACATGGAACGTCTGGTTTATAACGTTGGTAACGGTATAGATAGAAGATACAACTATTGCTCAAAATAATTTAACAAATGTTGTAGTATATAGATATGAAGGGAGCAACTGTCATTCTGTTGGATTCTATCATCAACGAAAGTCTGTTTTGTTTATGCAAGGTATGGATGAAAGACGACGCACTTTCGAGAAGACCGTTGATCTGAAGAACGAAGACCCGGGAGACTACTACCTCCGGGTGACAGCCACTAACAGCGAGCCGGGACAAGCGTCGTCTGACTTTGTGGACTTGAGATTGGAAGGTACTGTAAACCGTTAAACATACACACTGGTTTCATGTTCCTGTCTGTCAATGCTTTCTCTTCCTTTGTGTTACTATGGTTGTTTCAACCGCGGACTCAGCACACCGCGAAATTTATAGTCATCATTGTTATTGCAGGTCGACAACGGCTCTACGGCACCCTTACATCAGACCAAGAGTGGGAAGAGGCGCTTGGAGATCCGGCCACATCCAAATACAAAGACGAGGCCAAAGGTTGGGAGAAAAACGTAAGTACCAATTTGTTACCAATTTAGGAGGGGGTTTGGTAGTTTGTTATTATTTCATTCCTTTGTTGGTTTCATTCTTAATGACTTTGTTAATTGTTTGTTTTAACTTTTCAGTTGGACATGGTCTTCGACCGGTTCATCGGATATGAGGAAACAAAAGTATCTAGCTTCAGGTAATTACATTTCATTACTGTAAATACTGTACATTTTAGCATTTGTCTTCTCTGTTGTCACGACCAGTGCGTCGGATTAGCTCTTAAATTAGCAAAAAGTGGATCGAGAACACTTTCCTTTTTTTCTTAGTTTCCAGGTGGGTAGTTTTGTGACGGTTGTGTTCTTGTTTCCAGGTCGGGTAGTGTTGTGGGAAGTTTTGTGACTGTCGTGGCCGAGTCGGAATCTCAGGCCGCCATGGACGCGTACAGAGCACAGGTGCAGAGAGGAACTCTGGGTAACATGACGATCATTCCCGACGGCTCCACCATTACCGACAAAGAACCGATCACAAGTAAGTTATACAAGTCATGTACATTCAGAATTTATACATGTGCATATACTTGATAACTTTATTTTTGTGAAAAGTTATACTTTTACAGTGATTTTTTTTTAATAATGTATCTCTTTTGTTTTTCTCCACTCTTCCCTTGGACCTAGGTGAAAGAATCGGTGAGTGACCTTTTGATTTCGACTTTTTCGTTGTCATTCATGATCATTAGCATCATAGATATAATTTATATAACACATTTCCAACGATCTCCAAATTCTAGCACATTTTGTCCTTCATAGCATACACCAGGGCATACTTGGTTAGACCGATGTCTCTTTCAATCATTGTCAATGAAGTAGTGGTCGTCTATCTTAGACCTTCATGAAATATTTAGATCTTGTTTGATGGTGACTGTGTCCTCTTCTTATTCACCATCATGGTGTCTACAAGTCTTTCTTTATCGTGCAAGTGAAACAACATTAGCTGTCAAGGAGGTCATGTAACGGAAAACAGCAAGGGCTACAGGATGTAGACGTGACTAATGACTTTTCCCTCTCAGACAGACTGAACCCAACCATACCCATTACAACCTGACCTAAGGGCCATGCAGAAACACACACTAACACACACACGGACACACCAAAAACAATACTTCCATAAAAAATATTGTACCTTTTTCAAATACTTAACAACTCATAATTTTTCCAATAGGCCCAGGTTTCACCAACGTGACTTTGTACAACTTCTGGAAGAGCCCGTTGGTCCTGGCCATCATAGCAGCCGGAGGAGCGGGCATCCTCATTATCGCTCTCATCACCACCATCATGTGCTGCGAGAGCAAGAAGAAAAAGAAGATGAAGAAGAGGAAACAGCTACGCCGAGATGTTGAAAAAGCAGAAGAGGAGGAGACGGCAACTGTAGGGGAAGACAACGTTGGGTTCGTAGATGATGCAGCGGAGGTACAAACGCAACTAACCGAATGCGATCCTCTGGCTAAAGACGAGGAATCTTATGAGAACATCGTCTTGCGAGAGAAAGACAACTTTGTCAGCACTCAGAATGGTGAAGCTTATCACCACAATGTAACTGATGAGGAAGATAATGTCCAAAATGATGATGATGGTGAAGATCGTCTTCAAAATGGTTATGGAAATCTTCCACGAAATGATGAGGAAGATTATGTCAACTGTGGTGAATTTTCCCCCCAAAACGACGGTGAGGATTTCACCAAAAATGATGATGATGATGTTTTCGAAGGAGATGATGAGGATGATGATGATGACGATCGCCCCAAAAATGATGATTATTATATTACTGGCCTCTAGATATACTTCTCTTTTGCATAGCCAGAGAATAACCTTAACAGTGTGCATTTAACACACTGATTTTGAACTGTAGGTCAGTGCTGTAGGTTCATGTTTAAGGTTGAAATGGATTGTTTTAGTGTTACTAACGTAATGGGCGATGTTGAATTACAGCAAAGAGTTGTGTGTGTTCTACGTACTAATCAATGTTGACATTAGTTGATACATTTTTTGGAACTTTAAAATTATATAATACTTTGTGATGGTATTACATGCATTTATATTGACCAGAAATAGTGGCTATATGTACACATATACATGGATATACATTACTGGTGACTACATTCTGAAAAACTTTGTTATAATGCATATTATTTCAGAGAATGGGTAGCTATATGTTAATTTTATTACTACCAACATCAGTTGATTTACTGATGCATGCCCAGATATAAAATAGCTGCTAACGTGAATTTGATTTGATATATGATTTTATTAGAATTATGACAATACAATACACGTGGGACACAGGCAGCTGTTGTTGGTGCCGTGACCCAAATGTAGAATATTACAGAACTCATAGCAATTGCACAAATCACAAACAAGATTGTCACAATAAATTCGATCTGAAACAGCATAATAAAATACAGCCTAACCACTAGATATAAGTGTCAGTCTAACTTGAAAATTGGTAACAATTGACTCTCATCTAAATAAACATATTACCAAGTGTTAATCATACCTAATATGTCATTCATACTAATTATGTGGTTATTTTATTGATATGATATTATGAAATTTATGTGGTGCAATTCTTTATATCTAACATTTACATCTTTCATGCTCTTTACTCTTTACATCTTTAATGCAATGATCTTTAGTGAAGATGTATTCATTTACAATTTCTAGTTGGATTGTTAGTATAGATCAGATATTGTATTCATTGCGTTTCTGATCGTTTTGACATAATAAAACATCTCAATTTCACAGGCTTGGTTTGTTTTTCATAGAGATGTAACACTAAATATACAATTAAGTCAGTGAGGATCACATGTGTCTGTACTAATTTATTTGCATGATAACGTTTGTTACAAGTAACAATCTGCCCCATGCTTGATGTGCAAGTTATACTGAACACTGCTTAGTCACTGTTAGCACAGCATGGAGCTGTCACTTCACAGCCCATCATTGCACAGCACAGGTGCCATGTTACTATTCAGACCACACCTCCATGCATACATTTGCATAATTAGCTGTCTGTGGCTGTGGCGTGCACAATATGCAAGTCATGTAACAGACTGCCTAGTCATAAGCACAGCACAGTACAGCGTAGTTATAGTACAGCTGAGCAGTCATGGTACAGCACAGAACAGCATAGGTGACCGTACGTACAGCAAATAGTAGACAATCTTCAGTTGTTGAGGCAAGCTCCAAAAGGCACCGTAAGTAGCATTTGTTTCAAACAGGGTCCAGTACAAAACTTGTTTAAAACCTTGGCCATAAATAGTAGCATTACGCCCTGAAAGAAAAATATTACGGGTCAAAATTAAAATTTAACTCCTAAAAGCTTCTGTCTTTTATAAGTTTTCTGCTGAGTAATTAACTAAGGATTGTAATACGGTGTTGGGATTCGGTAAATGAGCTTAACTCACTATCAGCCATTTCAATCACTCTGTCTACTTGTATTGAAAATATTCTTCACTACCATCTAGATCTTGTGTGTTTTCTACTAGATAGACGTTATGCACGATATTAAATCGTGATATACACGATTGTTTCAATAGTATTAAGATCTATTAACGCTGTAAGTTTTATTTACAGATAGGTCGTTGTGCTTATAGCTTTATCATCTCTTTGCCTGACCTTAAGTATCCGGTGACCATGTGGACTGTACCTTTTCGTACAATAGGTGTGGGTGTTGGGTGACCCAACAACTTCGTCAACATAATGCTTGTATGCGTGCACGAAGTGTGTACATTAGGGAACCGCCTAGGTTAGGCTGCAAAGACATAAATTGGCATTTGTCCAAGGTTCGTGTTTTTAACGGTATTGCTCAATGCAAAGCCAAATGACCGCTTCTAGGCATCGAGTGTGGTGATACAACAAACGTAAGACGTTTGGCAGACACTTGAAAGCCCAATACCTGATCAGAAACTCCAGGATCTTTCACCCCCAACATCTGCTTAAAAGATTAGATAAACTGCACCATTAGCTGCAGCCGCCAGTCGGCGCTGCTGCACTGTCATTGCCAAACCCGGAAGTTAGGTAACTAACACACACAAACACATGGCATGGCGAACAAGGTACAATTTTCTGCCTCTGAACTTTCTTGTGCGTTAAACTTAGAGTCTACGTTGTTTGTTACATGTTAGCTAGGAGTGTTAGGGAAGTGTGTATTGTTGGTTTGTATGAAATACGAACTTTTGCAGGGGTTTCTTTGGTACTTTTTCTTGAGTATCTTTCGAAGCTTTCTTGCACCCGCCCCCCCTCCCCATAAAAGTTTTGTCGATATAACGTTACTATATAACGTTAACTGTTATATGTAATTCTGTAACTGGGACCTTAGAAAACGAAATGTTCTACCTCTATAACTTTCATACTATAACTTTACCCTCATAATGTACAGTGTGACATGAGTTATAATGGGGTGAAGTCTGCCATCTCTGCTTTTAGTGTATACTGTTATGTCTGGTCACAGTCTGGACCCTTTATATTATCTAAATCACTAGTGATGTGTGAGGAATTGAGAAAAATCAGTCTTAATTTTTACTGTCAAATGTAGAATGAATTGATATACATTTTAATACAGATTGTTTTTATTGACATCACAGTTGTTATATTTAGTGATTCCTGTGTAAGAATTAGATTCCCAATTCATTGCAGCAGCATATCTGTATTGACTTATTAAGACATGAATGTTGACAACAGATATCTCTTCTCTCTTCTAGGTTACTTCAAAAACAACATCACCCATGTCAACCAATCATAACTCGCTTTCCTGATGATGTCGTAATTTGATCAACCAATCATGGATGACCATCTCCTACAGAGTCTTGTATGCAACTTTACCAGTAGTAAGACAAACAACGATCATCCAACATGTCTCCCAGAGATGTTGAGTTGCGTTCCGCATGCGTACGTCGCGTTGGTTGCCATAGTTATGGGTATAACGTATTTCTGTCGAGAAAAATCGAGCCACGTTACGCCGTGGTCGCACTACTCAGGGCATACCTTACGCTGGATGCTCTCTATACTACTGCTACTGTGTTACATGTGTGCTATTGGCGCGGGCGCAATTTCAGCGAACGACTCGAAACAGCCGTGGCCGTATTTGTACTTACCGTCCATCCTAGGATTGGTCAGTACCCTCTTGTCGATCAGCCTGTACAACGCGTGGGAGACCGGAAACTATCGTGTTCCGTTGCTGACGCTGCTCGTGTATTGGGCAGGCATCGGGGGACTTCAGGGGTGGACGGTGTGGAGAATGGTGCATGCTGGGTTTGCCGGGGACACGTACGTTAGGTTCTATGTCACCGTCGTGATCGCTGCTGTGTACGCACTACTGATGCTGATAGAACTATACCTACTGCTTACTAAGGTATGTCTAACTTTCAGGTTTTTTTACCTTCATATTTAAAAGTGGCAACATATAAGTTATGTCGCAACAGAAAAACTTTTTCTTGGACATTCAGAACCAGTCATGAACCAGTATAATTAAAAAGTTTTATTTGTAGTTCTATGGTCCAACACCCTATGTTCTGATGGTCCTTATGATACCCCAGTACTTCTTCAACATAGTGTTTCAAATTGTTTTCTCTCCGTGAGCTACTATATGATTGTATATTATCATCATGCATGTACATATATTTTCATAAAAATCAATAAGGATGTTAAATTTCTACTGACAGGAGACAGTGATGATGACTCTTCTTATAAATGTCAGACAAACAACTGTATTAAATCCAAAGCATCATCATCAGAAGAATTGTATTTACACGTAGCAAAGCTTAGAAAGGGAATGCTACTAGTACAAATGTACATGACATAAAAGAAAATTTTAAAATAAAGTTTAATAATCTTTACTCTAACACAGAGGTACTGCTGTGGATCATGTTGTGTAGTGCCCCCCTCCCACCCACCAAACGACCTTCAGGACGAGGAAATGACCTTCTACCAACCGTTTGTCAATCCTGTATCCATGGTAACCTACTGGTGGCTGAACGGTTTCCTCCAACTGGGCTACAAGCGACCTCTGGAGATGAGCGACTTGGGAAAGTTACCCAAGGTAATTACCTCCGTGGAAAATGGAGGTATTGTTTTTGGTATGTCTGTATGTGTGTTTGTGTGTTTTGTTGTAATGGGAACACGGACAAGACAGGCAATATACAATCCCTCATATACATTATAATACATTATTTTGTACCAAGCAAAGCTTTATGACTGCCAATTTAGAAATGTTTCAAGAGCTCACTGACCATGCAAGTAAGATCCTCATTTGCATGAATTGCAGCTTGAAGTTTCAATCTTTTCTTTCCCTTTTTCACCTAGGAGCATCATGCAGCAGTAAACCATAAGCTACTGGGACAAGCATTCAACAAACACATGGTATGTGTTGTGATCTTACTCTGTTCATTATGATACAAATTAGTTATAGTTATAAATGTTTGTACAGCTAGTAAGAAGGAAAAAAGAGAAGATTTGGAGAACACTAAATTTTATCACAAAACATTATTCAGTACCAAGGACAGGGATAGCCATGTTAGTGTGAACATTCAGTACCAAGGACAGGGATAGCAATGTTAGTGTGAACATCATTCAGTACCAAGGACAGGGATAGCAATGTTAGTGTGAACACTATTCAGTACCAAGGACAGTGATAGCAATGTTAGTGTGAACACCATTCAGTACCAAGGACAGGGATAACAATGCCAGTGTGAACATCATTCAGTACCAAGGACAGGGATAGCAATGTTAGTATGAACATTCAGTACCAAGGACAGGGATAGCAATGTTAGTATGAACATTCAGTACCAAGGACAGGGATAGCAATGTCAGTGTGAACATCATTCAGTACCAAGGACAGGGATAGCAATGTCAGTGTGAACATCATTCAGTACCAAGGACAGGGATATCAATGTCAGTGTGAACATCATTCAGTACCAAGGACAGGGATATCAATGTTAGTGTGAACATCATTCAGTACCAAGGACAGGGATAGCAATGTTAGTGTGAACATCATTCAGTACCAAGGACAGGGAAAGCAATGTTAGTGTGAACACCATTCAGTACCAAGGACAGGGATAGCAATGCTAGTGTGAACACCATTCAGTACCAAGGACAGGGATAGCAATGCTAGTGTGAACACCATTCAGTACCAAGGACAGGGATAGCAATGCTAGTGTGAACATCATTCAGTACCAAGGACAGGGATAGCAATGTCAGTGTGAACATCATTCAGTACCAAGGACAGGGATAACAATGTCAGTGTGAACATCATTCAGTACCAAGGACAGGGATAGCAATAGCAGACAGTAGTTAACAACAAATTTCTTTCTTTTATTTCCATCTCAGACCAAATGGACCAGTGCCCATCCTGCTAGAAGTCTGTGGGCATCGTATCTCACGGTATATGGGTGGAGATTTTTCCTGGGCTGCCTGTTCCAGTTCGTTGGATCGTCCCTTTCATTTGTGGGACCCATCTGTATAGACCGAGTTGTGCAGTATGTGGAACTCTCTCACATACCACTGAACAATTCAACAATTACAGAGGTTAGTCATTGAAATGTCATATTTTACTTATTCTGGTGAAATTCATACATTTTCTTGAGGTTTCCACACTGATATGATTTCTTGTTGTTTGATTCACTGAGCAATACTGTAACAACAATTCTGCAGGTTAGCATTGAAATGTCATTTTTAACTTATTCTAGTGAAATCCATACATTTTCTTGAAGTTCCCACAGTGATTTAATTTCATGGTTGTTGGATTTATCGAGCAATACAAGAATTCCAAAGTTTTGCATTGAAATGTCATTTTTCACTTCTGTTAAGACTCATTCTCTGGCAAAATCCATACATTTTCTTGAAGTTGCCACGCTGATTTAATTTCTTGGTTTTTTGGATTTACTGCACTATTTTTCTGCTTTGAAAAAGGATCACATGTACAATAATCACATAGGATCAGGATATGAATCAACCCCTTTAAGATCCTCATATTTTGGCACAAACAGTTGAACAAAGTCCTTTTTCTTTTATAAAATACATTTGTAGCTGTTGTAGTTTTTCATGCATTAAAAGGCCAGGTCTGTGGTAACATTTGGGTCTGTCATAGGATAACTTTTTTATTTTTCATTTCATTTGACAGGCATTTGCTCCTTTATTTCTGGAAGACATCCAAAAACCATGAAATACAATTGTAGTGGCCTATAAGAAGCAAGAAGTTCCATATAGAAGCTCAAAAGTTCTCTTTTTGTTCAATTTTTAGGAAGTGAGCTTGGTGACCTTTGACACATTCATCCAGAACGGCTTTGTCCTGACTGTTGTCCTGTTGATTGCCTTGGTAACGAAGGCGTGTTGTTTACACATGGCGTACTACATCGTGATGCGGGAGGGCATCAACGCTAAAACTGGCTTACAGGTGAGTACATATTAGCATGCAGCAGAATGTACATTATTGTACAGTCAAATAGCAATTAGTAAGTAGTAGTATAAAATGTGGACCCACCAAAGTCTACTTCTGTAGGTGGCCCATCTTCATGGCCAGATAAGTTTTTGCACCTGCATAAAACCTGTAATGTATTGTCCATAGCACTTTGGCAAAAATTCTCATTTATCATAGTTGTATTAGCATACTTAAGGATGACCGATGATCCTGTCTAGAATTTTCAAATGTTGTGTCAGAAGAGATATTCTTTGGAACAGGTAAAATTCTGATGCGTTGACCAAACATCCAACAAAAACTCCCAAAAAGTAGGGTTTTGCACAGACACAGCATGTTGTGCCAATGTGCTGTGCATGCTTAGTACATACTTAGATACTGGGCTTTAGACAGCGTAGGTTAACAGCCCATGGGAAGGGGATGATTGACAGGCAGAATGACAGGCATTCAAATGCCAGACACAGAGATGGGGGTGAAATAAAAAGTCTAACACAAAACAATTCCCAGTAGTCTGAAATCTCCGAATTCTTGTTGTTCACTGTTTTGTTTTGTTTTGTTTTGTTTATTTGTTTGTTTGTTAGGCCATGGTGTATGAGAAGACCTTACGTCTGTCCTCGGCCGCCCTAACGGGAGGAACCATGACGACAGGAGGGGTGATCAACCACCTGTCCATCGACGCAGGAAACATCATGGACTTCTTCTTCTACATCTTCTACCTCTGGTCTGCACCAATCACGGTACAGCTCATTTACATATTATCTGCACCAATCACGGTACAGCTCATTTACATATTATCTGCACCAATCACAGTACAGCTACTTTACATATTATCTGATACACTGGTAAGAAATATAGCATGATTTTCCTACTCATCTACTTGATTTATCTAACTTTTTTCAATGTATTTATCCCATGTTGGGCATGAAGTTGCAATTGTCTTGGTCTTTATTCATTTGTTTGCAGTCGTGGTTGCTTGTGGTTTCTTGATTTCGAACCTAAAGGTTCTGGGTTCAAATCCCAGTAGCAAGTTTCAATTTTGTGCCCTTTGCAATTAGCCTTCAGGCATGAAATATTAACCATTAAGTTTTTCTTTTATTACAATTAGGATGAAAAGTTGGAGGTTAATGAATTGTGTTTGTGGGGACCCAAACCTCAAAAATAAACAATTTTATAATTTGTAGATGTTCTACATTGTGTCAAAATTTTCACTGTTGCAATGATGACTCTGTTTTGTTTTTGTTTATCTCAGCTGGTGGTTGCCATGGTGTTGTTGTACCTGTCGCTAGGGGAGGCTGCCCTGGCGGGAGGGGGGCTGATGATCCTCCTGGCTCCTGTCCAGTGGTATCTGGCCATGAAGATGGGCCGCCTACAGAAGGAGACTCTGGTGAGTCAACATCTACTACTACTAAAAAGTATATACACTACTGTTACAGTAACAGTACAGACTACACTACTAAGTCTACTAAGTTTACTTTACTACTATTGCCAATTTCTAATATGCAATTGTGCAATACAAATGGGCAATGAAATTTGTGTTGCAGTCATTTTGAATTCATGTACTACCAAGAATTATTTAGAGATAAATAGATAAAATAGTGATTGATATTAATTAAATGCTTCTTTTTACATGAAACAGGAACAAACAGACCAGAGAATTAAGAAATCCAATGAGATGCTACAGGTGGGTCATTTGTAAAATCCATACTACACAATATTTTAATACATATCTTGTACATTTATTCTAATATTCTGTAAGGAAAAAATAATTGTATGCCTCAGGAAAATGCCTGCATTGTTGTGACTTTTTGACTTTTTGGAACCATCCATAATATGGCAAATATGGCACACAGTAAATCTCCCATGACCAATCCTATCAAGATTAGTTATCATGTAACATACTATAAAATTATTATTTTTTACACTGATGATATTGATAACTTATTGGTTGATATTGTGAATATTGTTAAGCTCATTTTACGCACTTATTTAGTTGCCTATATGTTAACTGTGAAATACTCACTTGTTTAGTTGTCTATTTGTTAACTGTGCAATATTTGTTTCTCTGTTTTTAAACACTAGCATACAATTCAGCGCTACTTTTTTAGTTGTGCTGCCACATGCTAAAGATTGTACTCATTGATCAATTAATCAATAAACAATAATTATTATAATGTATTATGTGATACATGTACTTAGTTAAGTCTGATTATGTTTTGCAGGCTATGAAGCTGATCAAACTGTACGCCTGGGAGGATATTTTCTCAGACATGATCAAAGGAGCCAGGAGAAAAGAGCTCCGAGTTCTGCTGAAGGGATTTCTGTATGGTGTCTGTGTCTGTAAGTGTTCAATACATGGTGTAGTGTGATATACATTGATATGGTAGCCTCCCTCACATTCGTCGTCGTCAAGTTTGTTTGCTTGTTTGTTTGGCATAACTGGTAAACCAGCAGGTTTTTTTTTTCTATCATATGTTAGTGTAAACAATAGCCTGGATTGTAACACTCCTGGCTAATCATTGGTTTACAGCAAAGTTGCAAAGTTCTAGCTACAGGTACACTGTGTCTTACAGTGTGTAGCAGAGATGTGAGGTGACACCTTTTATTCTGTAGACACTGACAGAGTGGCAGAGTCTTATGTTAGTCAGCTGTCTGACATAACTGTACTTTTGTTTTAACCTCAAAGATTTTTTGTGTTTTTTGCAGTGTTCGTTACCAGATGCACACCAATCCTCTCGACCCTTCTGGTAAGATCTCTTTTAATTACTATGTGCATTGTGCATTTGTATGTGTGTATGTGAATGTGCATGTGCATGTGTGTGTATGTGTGTGTGTGTGTGTACGTGTAGATTCATTATCATTATTTATCATTGTTTTTAAACACACAAAAAACTGACTTCTGTTTTTCTGTTGACAGACATTTAGCCTGTATACTCTGATCACTGGCCAACCACTGACTGCTGGGAAGGCGTTTTCCTCACTAGCTCTGTTCAACATCTTGGAAGCCCCACTCTTCACATTACCCATGGTCACCAGGTAAATTGTCATCTTTCACACAATTGTAAAATATTCACAGTGGTCTTATTAAAGCCAGCTCTAGCCAGCTCAATTTTTTTTCTGTCAACCTAGCTTCATGATCCAAAATTGTCTTCGCTTATTTGCATATCAATCAATAGTTCATGCTTATAAACCTGCATTTCTCCTGCAGTCTCTTAGTCGCACTGACAAAAGGTAGTGGATGCTACTTAATGTCTGACCGTTTCCAAAATCATATCCAGTTGCTTGACTAACTTTTTTTGGTGTGTAATGATGGCATTGCTTTTAACAGCTAATATGCAAATAATGGAATTATACAGGGTTGCAGTGAATGCCATAGTAAGCAACAGACGACTGGGAAAGTTCTTTGTTGCTCCTGAAGTGGACAGTACTGATCTGGAACCAAGGGGAGGTTCACCGTACACTGTTAGGGAGGTAAGAAACAAACAACACTTATGGTAACTCATTGTACAAGTAATGTGGCCGACAAAATTTATTTGTGGTATTTGTCCCCATTTCATGTTGTATTGATGCAAGGCTTACTTATTATTTGGTTATTATTCTATGTATTGAACATTTCCACAGTTGCAAACATGGCTGTTTGTCATATTTTGGGACACCTGTATTATAGATATGATTTTGGTAATAATTAATTTGCTCCTTTTTATACAGACCAGTTTTGCAAACGAGTCTCTACCATCAGAAGACCAAAGAAGCCATCTTGTCATCAATGTCAGTCAGTTGGGATCTGAGACTTTTGAGCTTAATGACAACACTGCCATTCAGGTAGGCATGTGTACTACTGTACAGTAACTAATTACTACTTTTACTAACTCCAAAAATTCAGTACCTCATGGTAATACTAACAGTAAACCATTGCACTAGCCATTAGTCTGGAAAATTGTATTTGGGAGGACACCGATTCATACCAAAGATTTTTAAAATGGTACATGTTGCTTTCTCTGCTGAGCACTTATGAGAAAGAGAATGATGGTTGAACATACATGTACACCACTACCCATGAACTAACAGTGCTTGCCCAACTGTGTGGCCCAAGGGATAGACAAACAGAGATGAGCACTATATATCAAAAGGTTTGGAAAGGATTTGAACTAACTTCTCTTAATACTAATGCATGTATGTAATGTACTTTAAAATGGAGACCATCCCTTGAAAGCCATAAACTTGACAGTTTCAACTTTGTTAAACGTACTACAGCTACAATTTTGTGTAAAATCTCTGTATATTTCCAGGTTGAAGAAGGAACATTTGCCTGGGATCTGGAGTCTAAACAACCCATCCTCACTAACCTCTACATCAACATACCCAGAGGTTAGAGCTTAGGAACTCTCAGTCATATAATTTAGTTCAAAGAAGTAAAAAACAGTGTAGTAGCCTGCTCTCCAAATATTCTTTTCATTGATTTATAGTTAATATAGGACTCAATTTTGGGCTGAGCCATCCAATGCGTGACTGCAATGAGTGTTATTCAAAGTAACTTACAAGATTCCTACCATATAGTAAATATTTGATGACACCATTTCTAAAAGTTACACAAATGTGTACTGTCCATTGTAAAAAAAAAAGATTTTCTGATTTTCTGTGAAAATGCTAATTGTTGGTTTTGTTTGTTTGTTTGTATTTTAGGTAAACTGACTTTCATCGTTGGGTCAGTTGGTAGTGGGAAGTCGTCATTACTGAATGCCATACTGGGAGAGATGACAACTATCACTGGATCAGTCAGGTTTGCCAGGTTTGTATATCATAAACTTTCATCTTTTTTTTTCAACTTGAACTTGCAGTTCTATTTCGAATTGGGACATCTAGTTACCTTAGTTTGAGTGTGGAAGTTTTGTTTTTGGCATGTTTGTCTGCTCGTGTGTTCATAGCTACTTGAATACAGTAGAATAAAAGGAAGTGAGGGGAGAATTATATAACCACAGGCTTACAGGAAGGTCAAACTTTAGGTCAAAATGGTCTCCCCATATGCTGGGAGGAAGTGACTGAAACATGCACAGAATTGGTGAAAAATCCACAATTTCAATGAATAAATCAATATTCACAACAATGCTATATGTTTCACAGAGGTACAAAATCTTCAATTTCTTGTTACAGTTGTGAGGAGCACAGATGCTGCAATACACTGTCCAAATTATGTTGCAACTGAAAACTTAATAACTTTTTTATGTTTTCTACAGTGCCCATGACTCAGTAGCCTATGCTGCCCAAAAACCTTGGTTACTGAATGCATCCCTGAAGGACAACATTCTGTTTGGTTCACCGATGGACAGGAGGAGGCAAGTTCACTTGTCAAATAGCTTCATTTCTATTAGTACTAACATTTTCAGTACAATGGATAGGGACAATTCTTTGTATTGTGCCAATAACCAGATCCAACTAGCTCTGTGGTATCTTACCCCTAATAAAGTATTGTAGGAAGCAGAGCCCATCCCTGTATTGTATCCCCCCAACCATAGTCAGCTTACCCATTGTACACCTGGGTGGAGTGAGGAAAGTCCTGTTAAGTGCCTTTTCGTGGCTCAGATCACGGTGTCTAGCCAGAAATGCCAATAATCAAACCTGTAACCTCTTGATCTTCTGTCTGCTAGCCTAACCACTTGGCCATTTGACACTTCAATGAACAAGTCTAAATCCCCCTACTACAGATATTCAGCTGTGATCTCAGCCTGCGCCCTTCAGCCTGACCTTGACATCCTTCCAGCAGGGGAGGAGACTGAGATTGGAGAAAAGGTCAGTTTGTCTATTAGACAGTTACTGTTTTATCATGCTGTTGAATTGAGTTTATTGGGATCAACTCTTAGCATATGACACAGTAGCTATTCTTCCTGTGGACCTTTACACGCAGGAAAATAATAATACAAAACATAGTTACATTGACAGCAACTGCAAACTATATTGTTTAACTTTTTGACTTATTTTGCCAACAAAAATATATTCCTAATATCTAATATAAACTTTGAAATTGTTCCCTTTCAGGGCATAAACCTAAGTGGTGGACAGAAGCAGAGAGTGAGTGTAGCCAGGGCCTTGTATTCTACAGCTGACATCGTCATACTGGTAAGAATACATATTTTTACTTTAAATTTGTAAGATGGTCAGATGCCCTACATGTATACCAAGAATATGATGTCATGGCGTTTTGTTAGTATATTTCCAACTGATTATGGTCTATGCATGATTTAAGTTGCAAGACACAAGTTTTGTACAGTATCAGTGTATGCATCATCATCATCATAAGTCCTCTATAAAATTGTAGCAAACAAAGTTTAGGTTCCAGAGTACTCTTTGTCTTTCATTGCTGAGAGAAGTTCACGCCCTTCTAAATGGTTTCTTTAGACTACAGTGAGCATTGTGATTGTACAATCCTTGCTGCATAAAAATTTTGGTAGCAATAAGTTGAACAATGTTTTTTCATGACATTGTTATTATTGTGCTTTGCCATAAATTTTCACTTCAGGATGACCCTCTGTCTGCCCTGGATGTCCACGTGGGGACTCAGCTGTTTGAGGAGGGGATTGTGGGATTGCTGGCTGCAGAGGGCAGGACTGTGATCCTGGTGACTCATAAACTCCAGCTGCTTCCTCAGGCAGACCTGGTGGGGAGATTTTCTTATTTTTGGTGACACCTCAGGGGTGGAGCAAATAGAGTAGTACCTGAAAATGTTACAATGACCCAAATGGATCATGCATTCTGCTTAATTGAACTCCAGTGATCCCAATTTGACAAGTAAAATGATCAAAAGGACATACAATATTGTGCAATGCCATGATACCTTTTTTTTGTTTACAAAACTTAAAATAGCTACATGCTGTATGATTATAATGTTAATGACTCGCTTTCCTTTGGTCATGATCAATGGTTGGTTCCTATAACCACCGAATAAGTGGCCGAGACTGGTGGTTATAGGAATTCACCATGAATTATGACTAGTTGAATTATGAGTCACTAACACTATAATATTCTTGCATGCCTACTGTCAAAATTGCAGATGTGATCTGGAGGACACACACTTGTTTTGAACAAGAATACATAACATTCATTGACGTTAGAGGATGATACATGATCCTAAATCACAAATTGTATGTATCTAATTTTTCCTACCAGATCCTAGTGATGAAAGAGGGCCAGGTGGCCCATCAGGGTACCCTGGAGGAGATCTCTCAGGCCAGCCCACATCTGTTTGAACAGTGGAGGGAGGAGTGGGATGAGGAGGAGAAAGAAGAGGAAGAAGAAGATGCAAAAAAAGATGAAAAGAAAGATGACAAGGATGAGGATGAAAAAGGTCTGTTGGGTGCTTAACCTTCTCCCTGCTGCCTAACCCCCTAAACCACAGAATTGGTAGCCATACGGCTACCTCAGTATGCTGGAGGTTAATGTAGTGACACTGAAGTTTTGTGCAGGATGTACAAGATGTGTAAGACAAGTCAATGATAGGGTTGAACTACACACATTGGAAAGGACCTCCTCTCTTAGTAAGAAGTTTTTAAGTGTGTGTTCTTTAACATAGTGGTGTGGTTCTCCTCAAACATGAGACCTTTTGTTCTGGGCAACTCAAACCCAGAACTTTTGAATCTATGAAGATTATTGTCTTAAATGCAAACTTATTTGTTTCAAACAACTTTCTGTCATGGATTGTGTTAAAAAATTGGCTTTTTTATTGACCATGACATAATTATGCTCTGGAAAGGAACAATTGGGTTCCTGTAAAAGGATGAACTATTTTGCAAATAGTCACCCTAAACTTTCAACTTCTTAATTATAATTAAATGATCCACTTTTTTCCAGAAACAAGGGATGGAAAACTGATGACCAAGGAAGAACGGGAAAAGGGAATGGTGAAGGTGAAGATCTATTTCACCTATGCGTACGCCGGAGGGATTGTACTGTTCATCGCATCTATGCTGGCCCAAGTGGCTTTGAGGGGCTTTGGAGTTGCAAGGGACTTCTGGCTCTCTGATTGGTCCTCAGCCTCCAGCAGTCAAAATGGCAGCCAATTAGAGATAAGTTCTATGGTGAGTGAGGAAATGTAACGGGTCATCTGATTTGTTGTTAGCTATAGGGAAAGAGCAGCAAGAGCCAATCAGTAAAACCTATTTATGCAGTTCTTGGCAATGGCATTCAGTACCAAGGACAAAACCCATGTTTTCAGTGTGAATGACATTCAGGACCAAGGACAAAACCCACATTTTCAATGTGAATGACATTCAGTAGCATGGACAAAACCCTTGTTTTCAGTGTGTATAGTGTTCAGTACCAAGGACAAAACCCATGTTTTCAGTATGAATGACATTCAGTACCAAGGAGAAAACCCATGTTTTCAGTACAAATGGCAATTAACGTTAGTACCTGGACAAAACCCGTAGCAGCTAAGATGGGATAGAATACCAGGCTAATGACGTACCTAATATTGTTAAAGAGTGTTCTGTTGTTCTGTTGTCTCCTTACCTACTGCCCCCCTCCCCACCCCTCTAGTTTGGTGAAATCGCGCATCCTAATGTCACAGATGTGGAGTACTATCTGATTGGCTATGCCAGTCTGTCAGGCGGAGTTATTCTCATGACGCTGATTGGTGCTCTCCTGTTCCTGTCTGTGGGTTACCGAGCGGCTAAGAACCTTCACCAGGCCATGTTGGATAACATCGTTAAAGCTCCTATGAGGTAAGGAACTGTACTTTTACCATTATGGTAAATTTGTAAGATCTGATTGAATTGGTGCTCTAGTACACTATTATTAACCTTAATGACTGTATAACTATATAATCATTGATTAGAAATTATTATTCACAATTTGATTATTCACAAGTTGACCTTTAGCAAAACCAATAGTTATTGTATGTGAAATTCAGTGATGTTGATGATTTTGTATAGAACAAAATTTAATTCATCTTAGCTTTAAGAGAGAAAGGGATATTTATCTATAAAAGTTAGATTCAGAAGTTTCACCCCAAAAATGATGGCTACAGATTCAGAATGACATACTGAAGTGATGGCATTTTTTTTCTCTTTATGATAGGTTCTTTGACACCACTCCACTTGGCCGAATCATCAACAGATTTTCCTCTGATACACAGACTATTGACCAGGTAAGGTTTGTGACTTTTTTGTCTTCTAAAGTTGCAAATGTTTCTTGATTCAACTTCTTGAGTGAGTGAGTGAGTGAGTGAGTGAGTGAGTGAGTGAGTGAGTGAGTGAGTGAGTGAGTGAGTGACTGACTGACTGACTGACTGACTGACTGACTGACTGACTGACTGAGTGACTGACTGACTGACTGACTGACTGACTGACTGACTGACTGATCACTGATCAACATTGCTCAAAACAAGCAACAATTGATTCACAAATTGATATAGATTGTTTTATCTACTAGTAGACTTCCTCTTTGGTTTTACTTTGTCAGTGTTACACAGGACTCATGTCTTTCCACAGAAACTCCAGTCCAGTGTGATGTCAGTAGTGTCCACCACCCTACAGTGTCTGGCTGCTGTAGTAGTTAATGCTGTGGTCACACCGTGGTTCCTCATACCAGCTCTGCCTGTCATCGGGTTCTACTTCTTCATGCAGAAGTACTTCCGAGCCTCCTCTAGGTACCACTGACTGTTTTACATGTTTTAAACACTGTGTACACAGTTTTTGTAGGGGTGTTTGTCTGTTTGTTTGATTGTGTGTTCAGATCTTCATGCAGAGCCGCTTCTAGGTACCACTCACTGCTTGTCTTGTTTTAAATGCTATTTGTTTGTATGTTTGCTTGTGTGCTAATATCCTCTACTTTTTCATGCAGAAGTATTACTAAACATACTCTAGGTACATTTTCCATCAATCTTATTACTGTTTTGTCCAGAGTTTTGTGATTTTCAGTTTGTTTGCTTGTGTTTCCCTAGTTACTTGAATGCTGTAACAGTAGAGTCACAGGAAGTGAGGTGGGAATGGCATAACCACAGACTGACAAGACAGTCAAATTGGAGGTCAAAATTGGTCTCCCTGCAGACTGGAAGGAAGTGACAGTAAAATATGCACAGAATCACAGAATCAGTGATAAATTCACAATGGAAAAAAACAAGAAATTTGCAAAAATTCTAAATACTTGTAATATATGGAGGTGTATAATCTTCTTGCTATCTTTTTTCAGAGAGTTGCAGAGACTAGAGAGCATCAGTAAGTCACCAGTTCTGGCCAGTTTTACAGAAGTGTTGGGTGGACTATCCACGGTGCGGTCCTACAAGGAGCAGGGTCGCTTCTCACAACAGTTCCACCAGAACCTGGACTCAACTGCCAGAACATTCATGTGGCTGAACACAGCAAATAGATGGCTGGGAGTCAGGCTGGTAAGGCTGGATGATCGAATGAATGCTCATCTGTGTCAGTAGAATCCATAGTTCAAGCTTTGTTCTAACACAAGAAGGACGCTCACCATAAATTGTCAGTCCATCTTGTCTGTTAAAGGTTGACAAGATTGACTAAAAATTTATGGCAAGTTTCCTTCTTGTGTTGGAACAAAGCTTGAACTCTATAACTAAGTATGATTGTTATCAACCATTACAAATTCACAGACTAGAAATACTACCTGCACATGCAAGTTATTGCAGGTAAAACTGGACCTTTGCAGGTATTTCTGATGTCTAAACATGTCTTCAGTGTGAATGACATTTAGTACCAAGGAGAAATCTCACATTTTTAGTATGAATGACATTCAGTACCAAGGACAAACCCCATGTTTTTAGTGTGAATGACATTTAGTTCCAAGGACAGAGCTATATGCAATTTAGTGTGGATGGAATTCAGTACCAAGGACAAATTCCATGTTTTCAGTGTGAATGGGCAAAACTGCATTCAATTTAGTGTAGATGGCATTCAGTACCAAGGACATAACTGCACTCAATTTAGTGCGGATGGCATTCAGCACCAAGGACAAAACTTATGTTGCCTTAAAGTAAGATATTAGAGGTTCTCTTGTTGTCTGCTTACTTGGCTAAAAGTTGCCCATGTACAACAAAGTTTTCACAGGCAATAAGCCTGTAGCAATGTACCGTGGAACATACACATATGTTGATGTATAACTGTATAATGTTGATCTTTAACTGTTTTACCAGGACCTGATAGGCAGTGTGATAGTGTTTGCTGCTGCCCTGAGTTCTCTACTGGCAGCCATTTTGGGAAATCTGGCACCTGGGCTGGTAGGACTGTCTCTCACTTATGCACTCAGTGTAAGTAATTCTTTTTTACAATATCTCCAAAACATAGAAAAATTGAAGAAAAAGCAGGAGTTTTTGCAGATTTGGTTGATGATGTATTTTGGTTGGATCAAGAGTAAAATGTTATGATAGATTCCAAATAAATAGTCTAGGGTTTAGAGTTTTAATCCCACTCCCCAAAATTAGCCTGGTTGCCATCCACTGTAGATACTGCCAGCTCCCTTTTGTTGCTGGCTACCACAGTACCACAGTAGCCAGCAACAATAGGGAGCAGTTCCTCTCATCTTCCTCAATAGACTGGCCCAGTGAGATTATAAATGTAGTCACATGGATTCTTTGAAGTATGAAGTCAACATTGGGTCAAAGATTAATACCTTTGACCCAGTGTTGATGTCACACTTCAGATACACCATGTGACAAGCCTCACTGGGTCAGTCTACTGAAGAAGACCAGACAGATTGAAAGCCTTTAAACATGTAACTACAAACACAGATGAACTTTCATGATAATATTATGTCTTTTTCTTTAGGTCTCGGGATATTTGAACTGGCTGGTGCGAAGTCTAGCTGATGTAGAGATGAAGATGAATTCTCTGGAGAGAGTCAAACATTATACAGATGTCCAGATAGAACCTCAGGAAGACACTACTGGTGAGAGCTTAGGATAGAAAGGAAACCTACAAGAAAAGTTTTTCCATCCTTCTTAACCCGATAACTAATAGAGTAGCCAAACAGGTACTATTAGTATACATTGCTAAGGTGATTATATATCAAGAATTGTGTGTAGAACTATTCATGTGAAAGCCAAGTAATAGTACAAGGTCCTGATCTTTACTACCGGTATGTTGTTTAAGTCTTACTACTACTAGAGGTATAAGTGTGATAATCATTATTCTCTATTCTCTCTTTGTATTTTCAAAACGACTTCCCTAGTACACATATAGTATATGTAGTATATTTGTAATGTCTTGTCTTGTTTTGTCCAGTGGCCCTGCCTCCAAATTGGCCTTCTCGAGGTGAGGTGAGTGTGTCAGGGTTGTCCACTCGGTATGATACAGATCTGGACCCTGTTCTTATGGACGTGTCTGTGGTCTTCAAGGGGGGAGAAAAGGTAGGAGCAAATTGTCTTTGTGTGTTGGCTATAGACCTCATCCTCTCTGCCGGTAGAATTGCAGACTCTAAACTCAGATATCCTGATCAGAGTTTCTATCAACAGAGACTCCAAGGGGGATTTCTGCCAATAGAATCACTTATTCTACCAGATCAGAGTACCCTGACATATTGTAACTCACAATTTTTTTTTGCGGTACTTTTATGTTTGCAGTTTTCACTTCTGTCCATGAACTTACCAATACTGTGAGCAAATAATTTGCTTTCTTTTTTCTGCACCTGCCACCACTATGAACAAAATATAGTACTGTTCCGTGAACACATCCATTTTTCTCAGACCACAAACTTTTGCTAACATGAACAAGTTTTTCTTTATGATTGAACTGCTCTGATTCAACCATTTTTTTAACTTTCAAACACGATAACTTTTGAAGGGATTAAATGTAATGTTACTAACTTCAACACTTACAGGTTCAATTAATTTCATTTTACATAATTTGAATCATATCTCCTGAATTTCTATCTGTAGGTTGGTATCTGTGGCCGTACTGGCAGTGGGAAGTCCTCCCTCACCCTGTCCCTCTTCAGGATGATTGACAACTTCTCAGGCGAGATTTACATCGACGATGTGGACATCAGCAAGATCAGCCTGCAGACACTGAGGTCCAAACTGTCCATCATTCCACAGGACCCGGTCTTGTTTGCTGGGACTATAAGGTAATTTGTTTTTGCATAACCGGTAAACTGCCTTTAGGCGTAACATGCCAGTTTTGTACATGTAAGTACAAGCTGTGTAAGACCAGACTGTAAGGTTTTGAACCACTCACACTGGGAAGGAACCGTACTCTTTTCGATAAGTGCGGTGGGTTCTTTAAAGTGCGTGGGGTGTGGCTCTCCCCAAACACAGGACCTCCATTTAACACCCTGAGTGAAGTGAGGAAAGTCGTGTAAAGTTCACAAGATCGGTGACATGGTAGGATTCGAACCCGGGACCTCTTCGTACTGAGCCAAAAACCCATGTTTTTAGTGTGATTGACATTCAGTACCAAGGGCAAAACCCACGTTTTCAGTGTAAATGACATTCAGTACCAAGGACAAAACCAAAGTTTACAGTGTTAATGACAGTACCAGTTTTTGTGTCAAACTAAATCTTGAATATTTGTCTCTTCTTAGGTTCAACCTTGATCCGCTGGAGTCCAGGTCAGACCAGGAATTGTGGGATGCCCTTGCAGCTGCCCAGCTGAAGGTCGTTGTGTCTGACCTGCCCGAGGGACTGGACAGTCTGGTGTCGGAGGGGGGAGAAAACTTCAGCGTGGGACAGAGACAGGTGAGCCTGTGTTAAACCCCTGTCACATATTCACGAACTTCCCACGAAATATGTTCCCAAACACCAGCCAAACAGGTTGGCTGATGTTCCCTCTGTCCAGATTTAGACCACACCTACCTTTTGTGTGTGAGTCAAAACGAATTTGAGTTAAATTGGAGCCAAATTTGATCCCTGAACATGCCCGAACACTGCTGACTAATATGTGTTTCCGCTTGATAGGTGAGACAGGAAGATAGGAAGAAGGTCCCAAAAAGGTCTTAGTGGAACCATTGCAAAAAAAAGACTGAATCTCTGAAGACCCTTTTTCATCATGAGTACAATATTTTAGGGATGACTGGTCACATTTGACTGTTAATGTGTTGATGCTGAAGTGATCAAATTTTACACTGCTGTACATATTGTAAATACAATTCAGGATGCACTCCTGCGATGTTGTTTATATTAGATAAAGTTCTAAAGTTCTACTTGTACATCAGGGAGGTCTGAAACCCTTGGTCTCTTGTTTCCAGTTGTTCTGCTTGGCTCGTGCTTTCCTGAGGAAGACAAAGATCCTGATAATGGACGAGGCCACAGCATCTCTGGACCTGGAGACAGACAGTGTTCTGCAATCTGCCGTAACAACTGCTTTTGCCGACAGGACAGTCATCACAATAGCAGTATGTATTTCCTCTTTATGTTTACTGAAGGAAAACATTTTGTTTTTACTCTGTTTCCTCTTCTTCCTCTTCTTCTTCCCCAAACCACTAAGGCCAATGACCTGAACCAGACGTCTGTCTGTACATTCTGCTGACAAAGTAACATATAAAAAGATACCTAAAGCCATTAAGAGGGACATTCTCTTCTTTTTTTAGCATCGTTTGTCCACCATCTTGGATTATGACCACATCCTGGTTCTGAAGGACGGAAGGGTCGTGGAGAACGGGTCTCCTCAGGAACTTCTGTATGATACCAACAGTCTCTTCTCTGCACTTGTCAAGGGAAGCTGAACTGCTGTGTGATACCAGCAGTCTCTTCTCTGCACTTGTCAAGGGAAGCTGAACAAAACTGGCTGGATACTTCAAAAGATATTTTTCATTTTTGACTGTACAAATTGCGTAAAAAAATAAATAGATATTTTGGATAGATACTATAATAATAGATAGTTTAAAAAGTTTAAAGTTTACAAAGATGTACATATTATTAAACAGAAAGAGACTGGTGACTGTGGTGACAATCATATTTTTGAAAGCTTTTAAATTAATTTTGATTATAATTGCCAAACCCTCCACTGTACTGTATGTGGTGTCATCCATAGCCTAGTCTAGAGGTCACTGGTTCTATTCCTGGCTGGTTGACCTTGTGTTCTTGGTGTAAAATGGGTACCTGACTTCAGTTGGGGAGGTAAAAGGCAGTGGAAGGAGAGGGATGGGCTCTGAAACCGTAGCCTAGACACCCACCATCCCTACAACAAGACTTTGGGAGACTACCTTCAATTTACCTGTTTTTGTTACACTGTACTTAGTAGAAATCCTGTGTGTGCACTTTGTGTTGTGTGTATTTTTTTTTCTGAAGATAGAAAACCAACTCCTAGCTCAGGAAATTTCAGCATATAAATTTAGCGTAGACATTTAGCTGTAGTGAAATCAGCCAACATTTGTTAACATACGCTGGTGTGTTACGCTGAAGGGTGGTTATACTGGCAATACCGATACAGACACAGAACATACATTTAAGATGTATGTAGATATAGTGAGAAATGGCCCATAAATAAACTGTTTTTCTCAGTACTGCAGTAGAACTTCTGTTGTTTTTTTTGTCTTTTGTTCTTGATCCTGTTGAAAATAACTTCACATACACTACAGATTATTCCCCTTTTTGTTTCCATCTATTGCAGGCTTCTATTTGTAGGGCTCAAAATCTTTTTTTCTGTAGGTAGACATCAGAAATACCTGCACATCCCATATTTTACCTGCACCAAGGTGCATATGAAGGTATTATTTGAAGCCCTGATCCGTAAGGATTGTTTTTGGATTGTCCCTTCTGTTTCTCACTATAACATTAGCTTATCAGTCATGCTGATTAATCTTTAACATAAAAAGCCTCTAATACAAATGTTGGTGCGGCTTAGACAAACAGAACTGACCAAAGTACTGGAGACACAGACACGTAGTCCATGTTGTTATTTAAATTGCTACACATTCTTTGTTAACCTTTACTGCTATGCCTTAACGAGATGGTTTTTGGTGATATTTTGGTGAAATTACATCCAGTAAACTACAGATTCAAAAACACACGATCACACAATCATATACCATGTACTGACAGATTTAATTCAGATTCTTTACAACTTATTTAAGTACTATGTACATATTCCATGTTGCGTACATATTTCAGGAGTTGCCAGGGAGTTTTACTTCCACCATTCAACAAACTAAGTGCCTATGTTGCTGTTTGAATCCATATGCCAGAGTGTGTCGAACTAAGGAACTATTTTTTCTTCCTTTTTAGGAACTATACTTTGAGTATGACCAAGTAATAGGTGACTTAGTCAAGTTGATATTCATATTTCCAGCCCTTTTAAGATGATTTTAAAGGCATTTGGAATCCAATCGATAATCCAAGTTTTTAAGGCATTCCGAATCCAAGTTACACAAAGACATTTGCTCATATTCACATTAATTGAGATGAATATTCTGGCAAAATTCATGTTTTAATTCATTATAGATGACTATACCGAAAACGTCAAATTAGATATTTCATAGAATATCAAAGATACACGATTCTTATTTTAACCTTACAATTTCAGCAGATATTGTTTACCTTGATAACAATGGTTGATTGTTTTTTCCTTAGATAAGATCACTACAAACTCTTGTAAGGGGCAGCCCCAAGTCCTCGCCTTCTGCGGTAGTACATGAACCCAGCTATCCCGATGATGATAACGACGAGAGGCACCAGGATTCCGGCGGCGATGGCGCCTCCGTTCCCGCCATGCTGGGGCTGGCTAGTCGGTGCGGGCTTGGAAGTTGCAGGTGGAATAGTGGGAACATCCTCAGAACACACTGACTCCTCCCCAAACTTACCACCCTCCACTCCAAACGGTTGAATCTTGGTGAATCGGAACAGAATTTCTGCTGACTTGTTGATTTTGACCTCTACCTTCGATTCGCATCGGTACGACTTGCCAACTTCTGTCTCGAACAAGTTCAGAAAGCCTTTTTCCAAGTCCACGGTCTTGTCGGGGGTGATGGTGCCGTCGAAGATGGAGGGATCCTCTTGGTATCTGAGTCTGAGAGACTTCAGGACGAATTTCGAGTTGTTTGGCGGTGGTTGGGTCTTCGCGAAGCCGAGTTGGAGTGAAAAGTTGCCGGGTTGGAACTCGAGTTGTAGCGACGACGACATTTCTTCGCACGACCCAGACGCGGTTGCGTTGGTTGGGACAAAGAAGGTCGCTGTCTTGGTTTCCTGCTTTGAGACGTTGTACTTGAGCTGGAGTTGTATTTCTGAGTCTGCCAGAAGGCATGGTTTGCCGTCTCCGCCGGTAACATGCCACTTGCCTTCAGCGGGAGGCGGGGTTGGTGTGTAAGGCGTTGTAGTGCTGTTTTCTGGAAGCGGCGTGGTTGTAACATTGGGTGTGGTGGTGTTACCTGGGGTAGTTGGCTCAGCGGTAGTCGTTGGTCCGGGGGTTGTACTGGGTTCTGGTGTTGTAGTCTCTTGAGGGGTTGTGGTTGGCTCAGGAGTTGTGGTTGGCCCAGGAGTTGTTGTAACGTCAAACTCACAAACCGTCTCCTCCCCAAAAGTGTCGTTCACAACTTGAAACGGTTGGATTTTCAAGTCGTAGATGGTGAGGTTGGCGGCAGAGGAAAAGGGGAAAGCTTGTTCGCTGTTGCATCGGAACGATTTTCCTAGGTCAGCGAGCGGTCCTTCCATTAGATTGTATGTGACAGAACGAGTTTCGTTGGTGACGTTGGCACCGGGAAACAATGGCGGCCTCTCAACATACATCATTTTTAGTTGGGCTACAGTGAACGTTCCGTCTTTTACGTCGAATGTTGCGCCGATGCTACAGTTTTCTGCGAACGCCAGCGAGATTTCGGTGCTGTTCTGACCGCAAGTCCCCGTCGGAGTGGCATCAGAAGGCAGGTAGAACGTTGCCCGTTGTGTACCCTTGGATTCCGTCTCGTAGTCGATGGAGAACTGAGCTCCAACCTGGAGCAGAACGCAAGCGTCTCCGGTTGCCTTGTCGGTGAGGTTGAAGTGACCGGGGGGCGGTACCGGCTTCAGGGTAGCGGGCGGGCGAGTAGTAGGTGGGACCGGAGTGCTGTCCATCGCGCACTCCATCGGGTCGGAGAAGTCGTTGTGTTTCACCTCGAAAGGCTGGATGTGTACATCAGTAATCACGATGTCCACGTCTTTTACAAGGGTTCTCCTTTGCTCCGATCTACAGAGGTACGAGTATTCCTCCGGAGCTTGGAACCACTCAATATTGGACACCGACTCTGACCCTTGCGTGCCGTACAGATCGGCCCGAGCGTTGGGGAAGCGGTTCTGGGTGTACACGTACCAGACTTCGAACTGGGAGAGGAAATAGATGCGGTGGGGCAGAGTTTCGTTCCTCGTAAAGGTGAGTTTCATGCCCAGTTCGTGGTTATCGTTGATGTCCATTAATGCGATGTTGCGGCCGTGTTCAGCGCAGGTACCAGTCACCACCATGTTGGAACCGCCTCGGAACATAAGAGGGGAAGATCCTGTGGTGTTGTCGACTTTCGGGTACCGTACGGACAGCAAGAGACCGAATTCAGCGAGCACGCACACGTCTACGCCCTTCTTCACCTCATAGCGGACCGCTGGAGCCTGGCCCGTTACTCCGTACACCAGCACGGTCACAAGAAGCAGGATTTTCAACATGGTGGAACCTTCAAGCTGAATATCCAACTGCGCAACGTGTGGACTACAAAACTCTCCTGGCCTGAACTTTATCAAGGTAAATGTAAACTTCCCGTCATCGATGCAATCTATGGAAAGTTCCATTATCTTTGAAAGGGGTGGTTTTGATTCGTGTTTTTTTTCACCGCAAAACTATATGACTTACTCGATGAATAGACAAACAAGAAGACAAATACTTCTCAAAGACGAATACAGTAGATAGTATGACATTTCCAACGAAATACAGGAAGTGTAGAAGAATGTTGTCCGTTTGTACCTCCCCCAATTTCGGTCCATGGAATAGCCGGATTTTTGCACCTTCGGTGAGTAAACATCACATGGTTGTGTAATGTGTGACGGGCTGGCAAATAGACGCACCTGTGACCTCCTGTGACCCTCATTCCGGTGTGGGGGCGCCACTGGTAAAGTTCGTGAACTCGTTTTTTCAGCCACCTTTTGAACTTTTCTGAGTTCAATGAACTTTTCTGAGTTCTTGCATTGAGACACGTTAAGATACTATTGTTCTTGTCGCAAAAGCTACTGCAGTTGGTGGGGGTAGCGACACACAAAAAAGGGGCATATATAAAAAGCTAACGATCTTCCCCCATCAACCTCTGCTTGGAGAGTAGCAAAAGCGCCACCTTCATTCTGGTGTAGGGAGCGTCACCGAAAGTTCACTGGTGTTCTCAGCCACCTTTTGAACTTTCTAAGCCACGTTTAAGATTGTTATTGCCGCAAAAGCGCCACCCTCATTCCGGTGTGGGAGCGCCACTGATAAAGTTCACTCGTTTGTCCTGTCATTGACCGACATTATCTGAGATGAATATTCTGGTGTGCTTTAATTCAAAGAGTGTCATTATAAATGACTATACCCAAAACGTCAAATTAGATATTTCATGTAATATTTAAGATACACGATTCTCACTTTAGCTTTCTGTTTTAGCAGATATTGTTTACCTTGATAATAATGGTTGATTGTTTTTCTTAGATGAGATGATTACAAACTCTTGTAAGGGGCAGCGCCAAGTCCTCGCCTTCTGCGGTAGTACATGTAGCCGGCTATCCCGATGATGATAACGACGAGAGGCACCAGGATTCCGGCGGCGATGGCCCCTCCGTTCCCGCCATGCTGAGGCTGGCTAGTCGGTGCGGGCTTGGAAGTTGCAGGTGGAATAGTGGGAACATCCTCAGAACACACTGACTCTTCCCCAAACTTTCCACCCTCAACCCCAAACGGCTGAATCTTGGTGAATCGGAACAGAATTTGTGCCGACTTGTTGATTTTGACCTCAACCTTCGATTCGCATCGGTACGACTTGCCAACTTCTGTCTCGAACAAGTTCAGAAAGCCTTTTTCCACGTTTAAGATTGTTATTGCCGCAAAAGCGCCACCCTCATTCCGGTGTGGGAGCGCCACTGATAAAGTTCACTCGTTTGTCCTGTCATTGACCGACAAATGCAACTATGCACTTCTTTCAATGAAGGAAGGAAGGAACGATTGAATGAATGGACGAATAAATTAATGAAATGCGGCCAGAACAGCACCGAAAGTGAATGAATGAATGAATGAACGAACGAGTGAATGAATGAATGAGTAGGCTAATCACTGCTAAACTATTTCAACAGAGACGAAAGTTAAAATATCATTATCTGTAGTGTTAATGAAATGTATGGTTGACTTTTATATTCTATTATTGTTCTAATTCATATGCCAAACGTACACTATATATGTTCTGAACTTCTTTGAAAATGTGGTAGTTTGATTTTAATGTGCGTTGCCTGAAACTTGACTTACATCTGGATTTATACAATGTATCCATGCTACCGTACGGCATAGATAATATAGCAGACTTTTAGGGCTTAGAAATATAAATGTGTACGGTTTACCAAAGAAACGGGCATGGTGATTGAAGGTCATGTGAGTGTGTATTGTCGACAGGACGAGGTAGAAGGAAAGGTCGGAGGTAGTGTGTGCTTGAAAACGTGTCCCTCCGGGGCGACTTTTTCTGGAAGTCGCGGCGTTTGGAACCGCCACACGACGAGCACTACAACCTCTATATTGCCTTCCTTGTAGAATAATCATAACTGTCGTGTAGGTTAATTTAATCTTTAAAATGTCTAATGTGCATTAGTAATATTTCAGTTTATGTACATCAGGTATGTGAGTTTTATTTGGTATAAATGGCACGTTTTAGAGGTTATTTGTTCCGTGAATTAACTGAAATGAGAGAAATATTGAGTAAGAGACTGTTTAGAATAGTGTGAAGGAGGTATGAGAGTTTTATTTTCAACAAAAGGCACGTTTTTCAAAGTTTGTTTGGATGCGTGAGAACTAAAATGGCAAAAATATTGACGAAAAAAGCTTCATATTCAGTCGCTCGTAAAAGTCGTTCTAGGAATGTTTGTCTCAAAATTGATAGATTCAAGACTAAAATGGTTCTGTCCTGATAGATTCGTGATATTTAGGTAGTCGAGAGGAGCTTCAATGTCAAGAACAAGAGCAGGAAAGACCTGAAGTAAAACCCCCATAAGAGCCCATCGCGTTTCCCAAGTCGCGAAATGGCCAAATCGTTAGCGAGATACGGGCCTTTTCGGAACGGGTGCTCCAAAACGGGGGTGTGATAGGGGATGCAGTTCCGCTTTTTCAATTTTAGAAAAATCAAACTTTTGGCATTTTCCAGCCCTCTTACTTTTAGAGTATACTCCTTATGGTCTCTTATATATTCCTACTTGTTTTCTTCCTACAAATTTGCTTCATTCTGTAGTTATACGTCAAAACGTGATTTTGCGATCAGCTGATCGCTTGCAGAAGTGGTCACATCGTTTGCAGGAGTGAAGTTTTCGGAGTCAATCTCATTACCATATGAATGGAAACCAAGCAGACGTCAGGCGTACACTATAGCGATCCTCAAGCGAAGGTACGTTTTTGCTCCCATCATCTGCTTGGTTTCCATTCATATGGTAATGAGATCGGCACGGAAAAATTCACTTCTGCAAAGACTTAAACCACTTCTGCAAGCGATCAGCTGATCGCAAAATCACGTTTTGACGTATAACTACAGAATAAAGCAAATTTGGAGGAAGAAATTAAGTATGGATAGAATAGAGACCAAAACGAGTATACTATGAAAACAAGGAAGCAAAAAAGTGTCAAAATTTTTATTTTTCTAAAATTGAAAAAGCGGAAATTCATCCCCTATCACACCCCCGTTTTGGAGCCCTCGCTCAGAAAAGGTCCGTATCTCGCTAACGAAGCCTCGCTCATTCCCAGATTTGGCCATTTCGCGAGTGGGGAAACGCGATGGGCTCTTATGGGGTTTTTACTTCAAGTCTTTTCTGCTCTTGTTCTTGACATTGTGGCTCCTCCCGACTACCTAAATATCACGAATATATGAAGAAAGAACCATTTTAGTCTTGCATTTGTTCATTTTGAGGCAAACATTCCTAGAACGACTTTTACGAGAAGCTGAATACAGAGCTTTTTCGTCAATATTTTTGCCACTTTAGTTCTCACGCATCCAAATAAACTCTGAAAAAAACGTGCCTTTTGTTGAAAATAAAACTCCCAAACCTCCCTTAGACCATTCTAAACAGTTTCTTACCCAGTTGAAATGTTTTTAATTGAGTATAAGACATTTATAGATCCGGTTGAGTGTGCAATGTTAAGCCCCTATGCTCTACTGACTAGGTTGGTATGCTCCGTACTCAAACCTGTCTTTCCTATACAAGTAAACACACAAAAATATAACACACAAAATTGGTGAGAAACTTTATTTTCTGCCACATTAAATTTCCGAAATGCAAAACAAATCAAGCAACTGGATAAATTCAGTAAAGACATTTCAAATAGCATCAACATCCGCTATTTTCTAACAGTGACTATATTGGCCAGTACATTGTTACTAGCTACTACTAGTACTAGTATTGAACGAGATAGTTATTCTTATCGATCTTATATCATATCATATTCCTCCGTACAAATTGCCTTAGGAAGCTGAATTGAATTACGAATAACATTCAGGAGTAACCTTGAAGATAGCAGATCTCTACATGTCACTACATGTTACTAGAACTGGTGAATGTCCACCCTAAACTATTATATTATGGCGATGGAAAACGTTAAACTAACTCCCATGCTCCTGTCCTTTTGAGAACTCGAAAAGTCGTTCCTAAAAGTTCCAAACTGATCGAAAACTCTGTTCCTTACTCTAATAATATCAAAAACACGGGGTTCTCTCCATGTCCTGAGTGTTAACCACCTTGTATGGAACGGCCATGCACTAGAGGCCGGCGTCGCGGTATCTCGCCCCTCCCCCTCAGGCTGAACTTGAATTTCTGCACCGGTTCCCTCAAGTAGGAGGCCGCGGAAGATGGCTGCTCACGGTCCGCAGAGGCTCAGAGGCGGTCCGGCACTGCAAACACATGCACAGAATAATATTTGTTCACTCTATCAACTTCAGAAGAAGCCAAGAAAGCGCGAACAATCACAAAGTTCTAAAAGTTGCATAGCGCTTAACATCAAATTATGTAAACAAACACGCCACCATTGCAAAGTTTTACCTGCGTTTTCTTCGTTGTAATATTGCGGTAAAGTAGCTGATAATACATCTACGCTTCTTGTGGGGCGTAGTTTACAGATCTATCACTCACCTGGCCTTGAAAACCCACGTCAAGAAACGATATGACCACTGCAAAGTTCACAAACGGAGCTTCGTTCATTCAAGGACATTTTAATGTCCATGGTTTTTTTCAGTCAAAAAGTTTGTAACCTTTGACCCCTAATTCCCAATTTTGTCGCCTGATAACCACTTTATGTCGCAGTATATCAGCTTATATGACTCGTCTGCACGTGTCAGTGGGGACCTCTAGCGATTCATTTCATTATTGCCCCTGCTGGATGCGCGTGCCCCTGTAATTTAGCCGCATGGCGGCGCTTCTAGACCGTGCACTTCACCGCTGCTGGATGCGAGTCTTTCTGCAATGATGAATTCAGCCGCTCGGCGGCGCTTTTTTGAGACCGTGTGTGAGGCAGTTTCTTGTCCAAGAAACTGGCAATTTCAGTATTTTTACGTATTATTCATCAGTTGAAGCATTAACTAATTTTATATCATATAAATAAGGTTATAACAAACACAGTTCACATCCATTTATCGTCTCTCTACCCAAATAACATATTGTGCGCCTTGAAACGCGAAAATAGGGGAAAAATCTATCTAAAATGCAGTTTATTTATTTAATCTGGTTGAAACCAATACATATCACTATCATAATATATGTCTGCAGCTGATTTTCATGCAATGGCACCTTTTCGGACTACATATAGCTATAGAATACTGTATCATTTCATAAACTAACATAATTCACCTACATTCAATGTCCCCTCTACCCAAATTACACAGTGCAACTTGATAATGAGAAAGAGCCAGGAAATATTTAAAAATGTAGTTCCTTTATTAATATCTTCAAACCAATACATTTGTACAAGTACATCTACTTTCTTGTATCTCATATTATCCAGCCCCAAATTCTCCTTCATCAAAACATACACATCAGCGAAAACAATGGTACTTGGGCTTGCTAAAATTAGTCCCCAAATTCTTGTGATTACATCTTGAAATACACCGCAAACATTTGTATCTGGAATCATGTCCGTTGATATGTAGTCACACTTTCTGTGACTTAAATTGGTCCCACTGGTAAAAATCAAATAAAACATTTCTTGCCTTTTTCCTCCCACTCCAAAGTTACAACACTTCTGTAAGCTGCCATTCAATTCAATTACATTTAAGTTCTAAATGTAAGGTCAGGAAAATGTTGTTACAAATTCTTTATATAGGATTGAAGCTCTGGTGCGACCATTGATTTTAAAGCTAGTTAAAGGCATCCAAATTAATTTCAGGGAAGCAAAACAAAAAATATTCTGGATGAGGAAATCTGTCTGATATTCACATTGACATTTTTGCCTCACAGATATCAGTATGCTATAGGATAGGATGGATTTCAACTTACTACATTAAAATAATGACTAGAAAATTGACTTTGAAAATCCAGTTTTGCTGCCGTGAAATTACACTGGATGCCTTCAATGACTGAATTCTATTTATGTCAAACAATCATGTTTTTGTTGTCCTTTCCTCATTGCAATAAGGTACATTGCAACAGTGCTTCACACATGCAAATATTCTAAAGAATGTCAGAAAAAATTTACATATTATGCCTCCATATATAGGCATAAGTAACAGAAGTTCCATAAAAGTCAGATAAATTTATGAACAAAAATAGAAAGATGGTCCCCTTGAATATCCTAGTCCACAATACGAACCTCATGATTTTTCTTTTATACTTCTATGTTCGTAATAAGGCACTATTTTGTTCATCCTTAAATATGTGGACAAAAATACATACATACTAACATAGTCATATGTAATAAGCTCATATATGCACAGAGTGTCTGGCTTTTAATACACTATACATGTCCACTGTTACCTTCATAGTTATTACTCTTTTAATATCTAAGAAATATGCAGAAATGTTTAAATTTCTGCCATTTGCATACAACTGTGTGTTGTAATTCAACAGACACAAAAACCAAAAAACTTATAAAATCACTAAAATACATGGTGTTTTCACAAAACTAAATGATTTAGAATGATAGGACTAGCCTGGGTGGCATACGCACATCGGCAGAATGTACTGCACCTGCGCAAAACCCTGATTTTTCACGTTTTTGTTGGATATTTGGTCAACACTGCACCAGAATTTTGCCTGTTGCAGATGATATCTTTTCTAACATTTGAAAACTACTGACAGGATGTTAACCTCATATGCGACCGTTTCGCACAGGTGAAGTACATTCTGCCGATGTGCTTAGTTTACCAGGCACCGAGACTATTATAGGGCAAGAAAAGTCTCTAGTTGTCATCGCTGAAAAGATCATATGCGTCGAATAAATCGGAGATCCCTTCGCCGGGCGAGAGGCTGAAGAGATAGTCGTCTTCCATGAGCGGCGGGGAGAGCGCAACAAAGTCTTGGATCTCCTGGTCCTGGTCTTCGGTCTGCGGGAGGAGGCTTCGCGCCATCTCCTGCGACGGGTCGATTTCCTCGTTCTCCACCAGAGCAGACTCCAACCTGGGGTCACCTGTGGGTGGAAGGAACAGCTGTCAATCAATCAATCAGACATCACAGTCAACCAATCAGAACAACTTGCTGACACCTGGTATGCTAATTACCATAATTAGATTAATTTTTGGGACAACACTTCACTATTTTATCATTATGCAAAGATATACAAACCTCCCTAGTACAGAATTTCTCAAACCACTAAAAACTACTGGTTCTACAGACTACCACCTCTTGTAACAAGTTTTATTTTTCCAAACATACTTAAGTAGCAGAGTGTAATGTGTCTTTGAACTTCTCTTGACAAACTAAATGTGTTTTTCTTCAATCAATGGAAATAATTTATTTTCAACACTTCTCAGCATGAAACAGAAAATACAGAAAATGTTCAGTAAGGTAGTCAAGGGGTCAAAAACTTTAACAGGCATCTTTAGGACGTGCAAGCTTCATAAATAATGTCTCCTTTCTTAACCATATAAAGTATATTTAGCCTTTTTCTGTTAGTATGTACTTTTCTGTCATCACATCTACTCCATTTGTTTCTCACTTCTGAACTAATACATGTATTTCCAACTGGTCTTATACATCAATTTCTTACATTCAAGAAATACTTTGACAACTTCTTTCAGTAACGTCTCTTTTACAATGTCTCTCTCTCTTCTACGATCTTTTAGTTCTGCCAATAAGAAAAAATCTTCAATGGAATCCATTTCGTGGTCTGCATGGGGGTTTTAAGTGCCATGGATAAAGGCACGGATGAACTCGAAATCATAATTCTTTTGATTTACAACTTGTTTCATCAACGTTTCTCTCTTCTATAATCTTTCAATTTCACCAACAAGAAAAGCCTTCAATGGAACCCATTTTCGACAATGTTGGGGTCTGCATGGGGGTTTTCAGTGCCATGGATAAAGGCACGGATAAACTCAAAATCAGGAAATTCTCCCACATCAAACGTTTCAAGTGCAACAGGTGGTGCTTCGGCCTCACCGGTGTGAACCGGTTTACTTCCAGAAGTTTCAACAACGCTCCCGCCATTTTCTACCTCAAATGAAGGAGCGGAGGTGATATTTCCGTCAAAGAAGGTAGCCAGAGAACTTGCACCCCCCTCCCACGGTTGAGCAAACTCCTGACAATCGTACATCAAGAACGGCGCCGTCGGGACGACAACCTCACTTCCCTGCCCTTCAAACTTGACCTCGGGATTCGAACTATGAACCTTTGGTGGTACATTCACAGTCCTTACATCATGTTTCTCAGGGACACAGCCGCTACACTTTTTACTTCCACCGTTACAATACAGATACTGCCCGCCTACACCCATCCAGCTAAACTTACAGCACTCGCTACCACCCTCCGCCTTAACGCTACCCTTACTACAAGACATGACGTTGGTTTTGAGTTCGCTACCTTTTACGCTACACGGGGAACCGCTGACTGAACTCGAGCCCTCGGAACCGGTGGTCTCGGAGGAAGAACTCCCAGCATCCTCGCTGTTCTGTTCCTCGGGGCACAGGTAGACTTCGATGGGGCCTTTACTGCTCTTCAGCCAGATCTGAATGCTCTGCAGGACAAATTATTTGCTAGTTATTTCTAATGAGCTATTAAAAAAGAAATTTATACGTCCCAGAGTGCAAATTATCTGCTAGTTATTATCAGCCAGATCTGAATGCTCTGCAGGACAAATTATTTGCCGGTTATTTCTAATGAGCTATTAAAAAGAAATCTATACATCCCAGAGTGCAAATTATCTGCTAGTTATCATCAGCCAGACCTGAATGCTCTGCAGGACAAATTATTTGCTAGTTACTTCTAATGTGCAATTAAAAAATCTGTCTCAGAGCGCAAATTATCTGCTACTAGTTTATTTTTTAATGAACTCAATAACCTGATCTAAATTGTAGACAAATCATTTGCTCATTATTTCTAATGAGAAAAGATATAGATTCAAGGCAATTATTTTCTAGTTTACTTCTAAAGAGCCAATCAACAATCTAAACTGTACTGACTCATAAAACCAGCACAATGCACTAAAAGAATTAAAAATGGTGCTACTACTAGGAACATTTCTTTGAACGTTTTATTTCGTTTGCTGACTGACTAAATCCAAAGAAAAGAGTTAAAACTTTTGATCCTACACAAAGAAGTTCTCTCAACTAGAGCTTAAAAGTATTAAAACCAGTCACTCTGATCTTCCTCAGCAGAATGATCCAGTGAGACTTGTTAAGTGTGATGTTAACACTGGGTCAAAGAAGCCATGTGACAAGTCGCACTGGGTCAGTCTACTGAGGAAGACCAGAGTGACTGGTGGAAAGCTCTAGGTGAGAACACTTCTTTGTGTTGAATCAAAAGTTTTAACTCTAAACATGTAACTACCAACACAAATGAATTTTGATAACACGGGCGCAGAATAAACAACAATCACCTCTCTAGGATCAGGAACCTCCAGTCTGGTTTCTGGCGGAGCCTTGATCGCGATGACTGTCTGCTCCTCAAAGGTCCTGATGCTGCGAATGTCCTGGTACGTAACATACGCATGCGTGCAGCGGAGTTAAGGGCAACACACTTCAAACAAAGTACAGTCGAAACAATGTCGTGAAGGTTAGACATCCAGGTAATAAGATATGCCAAAATAACATAGGGGAAGTCTCCAAAATCATATCCAGTTGCTTGAGTAATTGTTTTTGGCGTATACAATCAAAACTGCCCAAGAAAACAACTCTTCTAGGTGGTCACTATAGGCAGGATTATGTCAATGGGAAAAAGTATCTAAGGGACCACCAAAAAAAGTAGTCACGAATACTATTTTTTTTCTCAGTGACACATATATCAAGAGCAATTGATTGAAAACATGAGCAATAGCAAAGCTGCATTGCACTACTATTGGTTACTTGGAAATCATCATACTTCACAAAAAGACGGCTTCACCATTTAGCTTTTTGTCAATTTTCATGGGTTTTGACATCAAGGCTAAGCTACTAATATACCCTCTAACTCATGCATACAAGAGATCGTCACAGAGTTTCAGATCTTTACTTACTGGGTAATCATTGTAGGAGGGTACAGTAGTTTTAAAACAGCCAAAAATCAACCAATTCATATTCACAATCTATAGCTAACTGCAACGTTATTGTATACCACGTTGAAAAGGATATTTTTTATTTTCTGCGTCCTCTGTCAGATGCTTGAGTTGGGTACTGGAGTGTCGTATAAGCTCATCCAACAGGTTCTCCTTGGCTTCTAGATCGGCAAGGTCTGGAAAGGGGTAGAAAAAAACATTCAACAACTTTATCTAATGACAGACCAACCAAAATTCTACAGAACTTGTTTCTTAGTTTTGTTAGATACTGAGATACTAGTTTTATTAGATGCTTTGATACTAGAAACATGGTATGCATTCCTTGTTTTTTGTCAGATACTAAACAGACCAACCAAAATTCTACAGAATTTGTTTAATTTGTTAGATACTGTGATACTAGTTTTACTGGATATTAGATACTAGAAACATGTGGACAATAATTTGTACTTGGAAGTTATAAGAATAAAAAAAAAATAGCTGGAAATGATCAAATTATTAGAAACATTAGAAGCTAAGTTATTACTACACGTGACTATTTTAAGTCATGATTTGATGCTAGGGTCTCTCACCTGAGTGTAAATCCATGACAGCAGGTGTGGCCACTCTTGCCGGGCCATTGGGCGTGATGGGAGAACCTCTGTGTGATACCAACACAGCCATATTGTCACAAAATCACAACAACTTTTACGTGCAAAAAGATGACCACAAACTCCACACTGGTACTATATACAGTTACCCTAGTCTGCTGAGGGTTAATAGTTTGTTTTTTCTTTGATTTGTTTTTTCTGTGAAACAATTCTCCACATAAATGGTTCTATACTTAACCAACAAATGAGTGAACTTACCTCCATTCTATATGATTCTTTGACTTCTTCTTGATCAAGTTGATGCCTTCCAGCACATTTGTGATGTCATAGATTCTTCTTTTCTGTACATTTAATACCTGAACAAGAAGATTGTAAGTTGTCATGTTGTTAATAACAAGATTGTAAGTTGCTATGTTGTCATTAACATTGTTCTTGGCTTAAAACTAATGTTTGGGATTAGGTGCACTGGTGTATGTCACCTTAACATTCAGGTAGACGCACAATACAAATGGGGGACAAAAACATGAAATAAAGTATCTTTACCCTGCAAAAATATCTAGGTGCACCAGTGCACCCTCAGCCAAGGATTGTGTCCAAAAATTGGCTGACCGAGAAAAAGTGGTTGTCATGGACAAAAGCGGTTGTCATTTTATAGTTGTGGTTACTTTGGCAAGTTTGACTGAGCCTATTGGAAGATAACACGCCCCTCCAACTGTGAAGAGATACCAACCTCAGCTGCCTGGTTTAAGTCCACGATTCCGTCAGGAGAACTCCCAAGGAGGCCAACAAACTTCTTAGTCAGGAGGCCGAGCGATGTGTCGTATCTCGTCTTCTCCAGGGGCGACTTGGCTGAAAGGTCAGAGGTCAACAACTGTTGGTCAGCAGCTTTTAGAGAGGTCATAGGTCAACAGAATGGGACAAAACAACTCTTATATTCTACTGCCTCAAAATGGCTAAACAGGACTTATTTCATCAAATATTACTATTTCTTAAGACCCAAATCTACAATTTTGATTTACATTTCCTTTCCAATGATATTTTCAAAATCTCTTTTTTTCATGTCTTATTAAAAAAACTTATCAAGACAAAATAAACTGGCCAAACAAATACAAGACAAACAGAAAACAAAGCAAACCTTTTGGACTTCCTCTCTTCTTTGTACTTTTAGTTGGTGACTTGAAAGTGTCGTCCAAAATGCCTCCATCTAATTCCAGCTTTCTCTTGGCCTAGAAAGAAAGACAGAAAATACAGAACACAATGACTCAGTTTGCAAGAAGTGTATTGTGGATAATAAATGTTGAACTGGACGAAACAAATTCACTGTTTTCACAACACAAAAGTATTTGACAAAAATCATGCATCCTTGTTGATTACAGTCAAGCTTATCAATTTGTATCTGATACAAATGCTATTGTGAATACATTTTATCTTCTTGGGGGAGGGGCATTTTAATTTGAACATCCTGTTCTTGTTGCCGTGCTCAAATTTCACACTTCAGGTCAAAAACAAAACAATACCAGGATCAAGGGATGAAATTTGATCATGTCTTTCACACCCCGTCTCTTCACCATTCAAATATGGACTTCTCATGCATACATTAACGACATTCCTGATAATTAGCTGCTAATTGCTAGTCAATCAACTTTCATTGTCTTGCACAATTGCAAAGTCACATCCTTTTTGGTCAAAATACAAAACAAAAATACTAAAATACTAAACAAGTTGTCATGCTAAAATCTGTTTGACAATGGTGTCCTTCTCTGATTGGTTGAACTGCGAATTTTGATTGACAGCCAGGATTGATCTACAAGAGAATTCTTGTTCATTTTGATAACAAGGTTTGCCAGTGCTTTGTATATGGTTTCAATGTTGCTGTGTCACTAGGAAAACTGCATGCAATGCGCAGCACAGAATTTTTCCAGTGATGTTGACCAAAAATGAATAAAATGTGAAGATTTCTATGATAACTTCACAACAATCCCTTAAAACATGTCTGTTAGCACATCAACAATGCTTTTGCAAGAGTCAAAAAGTGTCTTCTTGTTGTTGATGACTTATTATAAAAACCATCATCGTGGCTGATCATGTAATTATTTTACAGTCAAGTTATATTTTCAAAAGTATATCATGATACCCTCCCCTTTCAATCACAACCCAAAATTATGTAACAGAATATTCAGGGCAGGTGATTCGATCCTGTTGCATCCTTGGTAACCATGGTAACAGATGGATTGCTATCTACTAAAGCGTGACTAATCTCTTCTGCATACAGAAAGTCATCCTCTCAAAAAAACAGATGTGTACCAAAACAGCAGGTATTCCTGTACCAAAAATCTTGCACAAATACACCTATCAATTGAAACCATACAATCATATTGACAATTTGCAGTTTTAGCGTACATAAAAATCAATTTTTAATCTAGTACACCCCTTTTTTTCTGAGCACAGCAAAAAGCCCCACCCAGCTTCAGAGTGCAAAGTGCACAAAGGTATGTCTATTGTTCTGCAATTCTGTAAGATAAAACTAGATCTAGGTCTCAGTTAACCAACTTCTGCACGTACCTTTAAATGAAATCCTCGTATATCAAACTACAAACACCCATTTCAACCTATAAACAACCAAATACAGCAATGCCAGCAAAAACTTGCAGGAAATAAATTTGTGGGCGTATTCAAGAACTAGAGTAACTCCCGCCATATTTGCAAATGCGCCAGTCATAATTAAAATCGACAGTACATGAGGCATTTTTATAAGTATGCAAGCCTTGGCAATCAAACTAAAGAATTGTACGTGAAGATTTTGGAGTGTAAACTCACCGGAGGTCTTCCTAGAGCAGGTCTTGGTCCCTTATCGCCGAAGCCATTGCTCGGGGTCGTGAAGCTTTGCTGGGCGGTAGCTTGTTGCGGGGTCGCCCGAACCTTCACGTCCGATGACCCGCTGACGAAGTATTCAGCGGTCTGGAGCGGGCTGGTGATCCCAGACGATAGAATAAAGTACTGAGAACCTGAGAGTTTTTTCTGTGCGGCCGCTACAGCGCGACGGGAACCAGGGGAGGGTCCTCTCGGCATCTTGGTGATATCGTCCTTTGTCCGAAATCCTAAACTCTGACCTGTCAAATCGGGGTATTTTAGTCGTCTATTTTTCCGCTTTCTCGGTAAAATTTGCCCGAAATTTTGACGCAGTATGGTAGTGGTATTCTTTAGCTTGCTTTAGGGTTGGAGTTAGGCTGGAAATTTAGAGAATTAGCGGAGGATGGGACAAGATTTCTGGAGGTAGTCTCAGCTATGGCGTCCCTTCTCACTCTGCTTCTACTCCAGTTTGAAATCCATTTGGCGCGAAATCATATTTCCCGCGAAACTCCGTCACGTGGGTTTGTTGTCCCTTTCACGATTAGGCCCCGTACCATGCATACACAACATAAAACTTTACCAAAATTTTATCACAACAGACTTAGATTAGGACAAAAAGGACAGAATTGCATAATATAATACTCATAAAAGGGAAATAGTTCATAAAATTGGATTTTACTTCACGATTTCTCACGATTTTCTGCAAAATTGTTGTTACATTTTTGCTCATGCCCAACACGGGGCCCTGGACTTGGTTTCCTCCGATTCTTGAGTGGGTCAAAATCCATTTCAAAGGACGACGTTTTCCTTGCGTTTAAAACTTCTCATCAAGTTATCGTGGTATTAGATATAATTTTATCCGTCTGACTACGCGCTGAATGTGGGAAAATAGGCCGAGAGAAAAATAGTAGCGTTCGCGCGCTTTAGGTCATGGGGGCGTGGCTTATCAAGTGGTGCATAGCTAATCAGGGTGGCCGTGCCGGGAAATTTGGATTCTGACCAAATTTGGCGGGAACTTTCCGCGGTCTATCAACAATTATGATGAGAAATCGCCATGGAGACTTCGATCGAAAAAGAATCAATGACTGTCGCGAAAAGGTTTGTCAGGAAAATCGGTTAAATGCCTATATTTGGGGTCATTTTGGACTGACAACAAAATCTAAAGACATTTTGGCCGAACCCGGAAGTAATGTGGAGCGTCCTTGCGTCATATTCAAGCAGATGTAGGGGTCGGCCCAAACGAGTTTTTTTCCAAGCCTTTCCGCTGGTCGAGGGTTTAAAGAGAAAAATGCACCCCCCCCCCCAAAAAAAATCTTTCCCACTGACACAAGCATATCCAATGGAAATACATGTATTGAAATATTTTGTTGAAAAAAGTCTTCGTTTGATTCGATTGCCTCACATTTCGGACATTTAACTTTAAGGTTGGCGCACACGAGAAGCACTAAGAGGCACGACCAGAAATTACCAGAATGTAAACAAAACAGCTGTATTTTCAGTTAAACACTCGTAAGGCGTCATATTTCGGCACCTCCACTTCCTGAATGGCACTTTTATTTGCAATAAATAGTAGGGTTGATTCAACTCACTTTGTAAAGAAATGACCAGAAAATTGGCTTTTTGTGTCGTTCTATTGTTACTTTTGATTGTAAAATGCAGCTTTAACCCCTTTTACGATCACGTGACCGAAAAGCGTGAAGGTCAAAGTTAGTTCTTAATTTATTCAAAAAAGCACGCCAGTCCATTGGTACATATCACCAGATGCTTTCCTTATACCCTGCCAAGTTTCTCCTAAAGGCGACCCTAACTGCGATCATGTCTGAAGCTCTCCACAAGCTAATTCCGGACGATAAGGTAAGAAAATGACGTTATCCGTATCCATAGCAACAGTGCCGTAACCGCAAGTCATTCAAAACCTGCAGAGGAAACTATTTGTATTTGTGACGCAAACATTTAGCGAACAGACACATACCGTAGGGTGTCGGCCCTTCAAGTTCAACTAACTTACAAGACCGTGGTACAATGTTTTAAAGGCACCCAATGCAATTTCTATCTGGGTGTCAAAACTGCATGGATTTTCAAAGTCAATTTTCTGGTCATTCTTTTAATATAGCAAGTTGAATCAACCATATCCCATGGCAAACTTAATTATAATTGTGATCAAAAAATGCGATGTCGCTGACGGAAAAAGGTTGCTTGTTTTTGTATCGTACGCTAGGTCTACTAGGTATTTATTGGTACCCAAAAATAAAGGGATTCATCGCGTAGCTTGTTTAGGGGCTATTTCAAAAGCTTCAAGTATGAAATAATGACGAAAACGTTATAAGAAATGGCAGTGAAATTCCAATATCAGACCAATTTCCTCATCCTGAATACTTTTTGTTTTGTATTGAAATTCTTAATTTCTTAAAATTGCATGGGATGCCTTAAAATTACACTCAAAAACTGATCCATCTCTGCTTATCGCGATAAAAGATCTTAAGATGATTTCATAGTCCCGTGCAAAATCAGACCACGGAAGCGGCCACCAATCACCCCTGACAACCGCCTTGCGGGCGCGCCCTTTTGCCTTTTACGTCTTGGTGTAACTAGAGACGCTAAACACAGAGGGGTGAGAGGTCACGAGTCTTAAGGGCGGGCTGCCTGGCCGTCAACAGTACGTTAAGGGACGTTTTGGCGGTCCTGGTGTGTGTTTACCCCCGCCTTTTGTCTCCCTTATTGTCCGATTGAATGTAGCCCGTTGCCATGCGGGTTTAGAACCGGTATTCAGGACTCCGCCTTCTAGGGTGACACACAACAACCTCCGGGGGGGGTGGACCGCCCGAAATCCCCGATGTCAAGGCAAAAATGGGGATCCTAATGTCTCCCGAACGCCTTGAAGACAACCAACTGCGGGTAAGTGTTTTTCAAGACGCTAAGGCAACACTTTGAAGGTCCTGTGGAATTTGAGACAAGCTTTGTTGTTAATTCAATTAAGAGAGTCGTGAGGGGGTTTTCTTGAGTGGGTGTGCCCTTGGCCTTGGGAGAGGAAGTTTCGAGACGTTTCTATATAGCCGTGGCCTTCAAACCACTGTTTGATTTGTGTAAAACTCTTGTTTGGGTTGTAGTTCCAGAGCGTAGCAACGCTTTCAATCGCTTATAATTTGGAATTCAGCACACACGAAAACGTCGCACAAAAACGTCAGAACATTATGACCCCCCAGGATTTGAAATTTTGAGAAGTGGAATAGTTTTTCAGGCAATGTTTTAGTGTTTTAGGCTAGCCCATGTCTTCCTGCAACGTCCTAATGGTATACTAGACGTTCTAACTGCCTGTGTGTGCTATGTCACATACAGTCACGTATACCATCTGCCAATGTTTATACTTTATACCGAAGAATTTCTTGCGTTTGCTTCTATACAATAAATTTTACATGCTATATACAGCACTGTGCGTACTATAGTATAAGACCTGTGCTAATGCAAATGATCGCACCCAAGGAAGTCAAACATTCTTATCATAGTTGTTTGATAGTATCACCTGCTTTTAACAGTCTTAGCTAAATATTTACACTTTTTCAAGTACAAAATTGTTACTGTTCTCGTTCCTGTATTTGAATGTAGAGAAAAATTCTTCTGATATAAACATTAACACTAGGTGTTTAAGGTTTTTCCAGATATTTTGCATTAAGTATTGGCAGGTTTTTTGTTTGTCTTTTGTATTGTTTTACTTTGTAAATTGGTACAGCAAACATCGTTGATTTAATTGCAAAGTTTGGTATTCTACTAAGTAATTTGATGTTATGAAAGGTCAAGTTTTGTTTGTCATGCACATATTTTTAGAAAATAATATTTACATTTCTTTCATAATGTTGGTGACCTTTTCAGACCTGATCTTGACAATTTTATTGGCAATTAAAGCCAGACATTTTCTGATGTTGTTACATGTGTTATTACAACTGAGCTCAGTTGTAAGCTACATGGGTGATACATGTACCATATTACAGTAACTATAAAAGTCAGGTACTCTCCAAGCAGAGGTTAGGTGGTTAGGTCTGTTTCTGGACAATTCTTTTTTTTAGTAATAGCTTGGATGTTTTCTCGGGCCTGAATCTACTTGAAAACCAGATATGATGTCTGAAAAGGTGAAAAAAAAAAAACATAGCGAAAGTACTAATGTTCACAAAGATAGACCCAGATCAAATATGCAACTGTAATTTTATGGACCATTTTTAAGCTTCCGACACTATAAGATTTCAAGATTCTTAAGACTTATAAGATATGCTTGTTAAGTACAGTATAGCCTTCTTGCAATTCATAATCACAAAGTGCTAAGATCTATAAATCTTAAATCTTTTGCGGAAGTTTTGTTTTGGCGGTGACCTCTCCACAATGATTTTATAACACCGGAAATATGCATTTCAATGTGTTACTACTGTGTAATGTGTATCAGATTCTGTACTGTGGGATTAACTAGTTGTGAAAAGTTTCGTCCCTCCAAAATAACCACTGCAAGAGTAAAGGAATATTATAAAGTATCAAGAATGGCAAGTTGTGGAAAACAGAAATGTGACACCCTGTGTGTGTGTGAAGTTGTGATATGTACCATCCCACTTCCTGCAGATGTGCCTTCAGTTAGTCTTGTGACTGTGCAGTTAGGCCAGATGAATGTGACTACTTGGTTGCAAAAAGGTTGAAGGGTCAAAAGATATTGAACTTGAAGGAAATGTTCTGAAATATTCTTCTTTCTTTTTTTTTTTGTTTCCTTTTACTGTGATGTTTTTGCAAGTTTTTCTGAGCATTTTAGTTCATATAACGTTAATGTCTATGTAGACTGGGAGAAATTTTTAATTCAAAAATTTTTGGCTATGCCACAGTGACAAAGCCAACAGTGCCTTATTTCGGTTGGTATATTTTTGTACAACGTATATTATCTATGTCTGTAGGTTGGGAGAAATGTATAATGATAATTATCCACACATTAATTACATCTGTACAGATATAAAATTTTTTGGCTATGCCACAGGGGCAGAGCCAACAGTGACATATTTCAGTTCATATTTGTCTATGGTACGTCGGTGAAGGTTAGACATCCACGTAGTAAGATACGCCAAAAAAACAATTACTGTAGCAACTGGATATGATTTTGAAATGTCTGAACATTTCTAAAATCATATCCAGTTCCTTGAGTAACTGTTTTTTTGTGTATGTTTATGGTAATCGACACGTTTGACAAGAGACACACCACACTTAAGTCCCGTGCACCTTTATTTTCTCCTCAGGTTAGTTTTGTGACCTGCCAGGTGTTGGCCCTGCTCCTCTCGCTCGTGTTCCGTTATGTCCTGAGCGCGGGGAGGGTGGGCGTCACGGCGCGACACGTGTTCGCGGTGGCGGTCGGCATGTACATGGCATACTTCTGCCACAGGTGGTGGGTATATAAGGGCTGGAGTGTGGAGACATTAATATACTTTATTGCAGTCAACATTGTACAAAGAATATATATGGCATCGATCTTTTGCTATATATATTGCTAAATATATAACAAACATCTTCTTTTCTCTCTATTGTAAGTTCTAACAAACAAACTAGTACCTCTCTCTCTCTCTCTCTCCCTCTCTCTCTCTAGATCTCCCTCTCTCTAGATTGGCAGAATTGGCAGAATGAAATTTATTGTAGTTAAAGAAGTATTCATGTATCACAGTACAGTACACAATGTCATGTGATACTATGTGATATTGTAGGCTTAAGTAGTTTTATTAGGGTTGCTTTTTACAAGTTACTGTAATAATTCTGCTTCTGCAGTATTCCTGACAATTTACATACAAAATTGTATTTTACTATCAGTGTTTCTTTACTTTTCTATTCAGGAAGCCTATAATGACAAAACACCATAAGATGAAGTTTTGAATAACCCAAATCATTCTCTCTTGCACCTTGTTGTCACACAGTGTGTTTACTACAAAGGCTTAAACCTGCGATTTGCAAATTGTTAATTCAGACTGTGATATGTGTATTCCTGTGTTTCAGGCAAGTCATCCACTTTTTTATCCAGTCTACAGTATGTTACGTCATCATTCTCAGCTCCAAACCCAGCAACATGCACAAGTGAGTAATCATAGATTGTAAAGTCTAGAAAAATTAATGTTCCCAGTTTCAGTCCTGAAAAAAAGTAAGGATCAGTAGGTGGAGATTTTCTTTTTTTTAGTTTCTTGCAGATTTTGGCTAAAATGATCCAAAACATAAAGTTTGACAATGCATCAAATTAAATGCAGCACAATCCAGCATTAAAGTAGTCCACCCATCTAGCATTACAAACCCCTTATGCAATTTTCTCTATAGAATAATTTAATAAAAGGCTCAGGGACAAATACAATTAATCTATAGTAATGTGTCCCTCGAGATCACAGTGTCTTCCACTTCTGCTCATAATTTTCTTGACACCTGTGACATTTTTTCATGTCAAATGTAACTTTTTCTACAGATATGTCTTCATCTTCTCCATGCTGTACTTGACCTTGTGTCACATCTACAGAACATACTACAACTTCGGCACCTACACACTGGACTTCACAGGGTAGGGACTATAATTATGATAGTGAAGGTAATGCATAATGTCCATTTCTACAGGTCAGTAATTGTTCGAGAATAGAAAGTTTTAAAGGTTATTAGCTTAAAAGTGCGAAAGTGCAGACAAGTCAGTGATCATCCAACTATGACGTTTTCTTTTCCTATGTGATCATAGATGAAAAGTATCAGGTGCTGAATATGACCTCTAACCTTTGCTCCTTGACCTCTAGCCCCCTGATGATCATGACCCAGAAGGTCACCAGTCTGAGCTGTGCCCTTCATGACGGTCTGTATCGTGATGACAGCAGTCTGTCAGCCGACCAACGCAAACAAGCTGTCCGGTAAGCAATTACCGGTATACCAGCTTAACCTTCTCCCTGCTGCCTAACCCCATTACAGAATACAAAGTTGGTGCCAAATGGCTACCTTAGCAGGCTGAATGTTAAATAGGAACTACATTGTATAAGACTTGTAACAATTCAAATTCATTGACTCTCATAGGTCTGGTCTCTGTTTTCTGTGCTGCCAAACCTACAAACAGAATAGCTATCAGTACCAAGGACAGCCACCATCTGTCTAACCAATAGAAGCTTTTGTTACATCTAACTCTAGAATCGCTTTAAGTTGTGTAGTGAGGATAGTCCTACTGTACTAGGCAACAATGGTCTCTGTTCTATAATTGTTCTAGGAAAAAAAGAGAAAAATCCTTCGTTTAATGATTGTGACACAAAAAAATTACAGGAAAGACCTTTTTTGCTTTTACAAACTGTATTTTGGTGACTTAACTATCTGAATGCTGCACCTTTCTAAGAAGAGGAATGAATGGCAAAGAAAAGGGGCATTTTTGTACACATTATCACAAACATGTACTGTTACAGTAACAGTTGTATTTCTGTAACTGTTTGTCAACTTTTAGTTTGTTTTCTTTTACCCAGGCGTATCCCTAGTCCCCTGGAGTATTACAGCTACATGTTCTACTTTGTGGGTGTTCTGGCGGGTCCGCTGACTTACTACGCAGACTTCAAGTCCTGGATGGAGGGGACTAACCTCAAACCTCTCATCAAGATAGATCAACAAGTCAGTGACTCTCTTAATGATTTATCATCATGTAAATCTATATTCATTTGTACATTTAGATACACTAAATATGATACATAAAGTGATTTGCAGTTAGTAAGAGACTGCAATTCTTTGGGTTTCTAATTGAATGTGTAATGAAACAATCTCAGTGACTTAATGGTAACTTGATAATGACACTAATAAGAAAGCTTATTGATGATGTTTTCCACTTTTAATATTTCAGGGAAATGAAATTGTCATAATCAAAGAGCCCTCAGCACTGGTAAGTGAAACTTGCATTTTTTTATACACAGTCGTGTTTGTATGTTTGAAAAAAGTAGGGTACAAAAATGTTATGTACATAGAAACTGCAGTGGAAAAACATGCACATGCGCGAATAACGGTAACGTTAAGGCAAAAAAATAATTGTCTGAAAAAGTGGCAATTATGTCACTAATAGTACATGTACCATGATCATATTACAAAATGTATGTAATTTTGATAGTGGCTGACCAAATGTATTGTCTTATTGTCTCAGGGTGTTGTTCTTAAGAAGACAGTGACAGCAGCGTTTTTTGGCCTGACCATGCTGTACGTGGGACCCATGTTTTCAGCCAGAGGAAACGTAGGTAAGTGTGTCATGATAGTAGTTACCAGACTATAAAATAAAATGTTTCTACTTTTTCTTTGTTGTTCTGACTCCCAACGATGACAGTTGTTTTGTACTTTTCAATTTTTACCCTCGTTTTCTATATATTTTTCACCTTTTTACACCAACAGATGACCTGATCATTGCTGCACCTTTGCTGACCAGGTTTGGTTATTTACATCTCAGCATCATGATGGCTCGAACCAAGTACTACTTTGCCTGGTCACTGGGTGAGAACATTTATTAAATCAATAAATTTTTGTCATTTTTTTATTTCTAGCTGAATTTGTTTTCAAAAAGTCTGTAAATTGAACATAAAGCAAGAAAAATGTCTGCCAAATTTGATCCTGAAATTTTAAATTGAAAACAGACAAAATTTGTTTAGATTTTGCAATAAGAATATCTGTGTTGATGTTGATGTAGATGTAACTATAGTGTAACTCACAATAGTAAAGCATACTTTTCTTGTTCTGTACAGCGGATGCAGTCGCTAACGCAGCGGGGTTAGGATTCAACGGGTACGACGAAAACGGGAATCCTCGCTGGGACCTCATCTCTAACCTTAACATCTTAAAGATTGAGGTACGCTTCAACTTCCTGGTGAATTGTGAGATCAGCCAATACTAGTAGCCTTACCCGGTACTACTTGTAGCCACCTGTTGATACTGTTATGATACCTGTACTTCTTTGTTTCTCTCCAGTTTGCCACCAATCTGAAGATGTTGATTGACAACTGGAACATCCAAACTTCCCTGTGGTTCAAGAGGTAATTTATGAGACATGCACAGACGATTTCTTACTAATGGCACTCAGTAATGCCAATTACTTGGAACTCATAATGACTAAATTGTAGCCTCTTCCAGGCTCCGGGAAGCAGTTGGAAAGAGCAGAAATAGGCCAAATAGACAGATAACATGCTGAGTTGGTCCGCACTTAGAGAACAGTTCAATGCCACTCCTGTACTGATTTCTTATAAAATTGTCATCATCTCCTAAAGTTAAGCAAATGAGTCCATCAGTCCAATTTTATTAGCCTCTAACAGGCTGGAAATAGAGTACAGAGTACTCTCCTCTCCCATGTTATCTGTCTATTTGGCCAATTTCTAATATTTCCAGCCTGTTAGAGGCTAATAAAATTGGACTGATGGACTCATTTGCTTAACTTTAGGAGATGATGACAATTTTATAAGAAATCAGTACAAAACGATGTATCTTTTTTTATCGCCAGGGTGTGTTACGACCGTGCGCCGTACCAGCCTGTGATGATGGTGTACATTCTGTCAGCGATCTGGCACGGCTTCTACCCAGGGTACTACTTCACCTTCATCGGAGGTGTCGTCTTAACTCCTGCCTTCAGGAAGGTGAGACCAAAATTACCTCACACAACCTGAACATTCACAGTTGTCATTTCTTCCAACCACATTTAATAACTTCATCTTAAGTAAGTATCAATTTTGGAGAGGTTCAAAATGGAAAAGAAAGAAATTAGAAAAGAAAGTATGTGTGTTTTATTAATTGTGTTTTGACTTTATCAGTTTGTCATTTATTGACATTGCATATTATCCCTTAATTTTGTTTGAAACAATATTGCATTCCCTTGAAAAGGAATGAAAAGATGTGATGATATAATTTATTCAAATATTATTATAAATTTTCTAAATTTACCACAGTTTTTGGATGGAGAAACAGTACATTGAACAGATGAGTGGGGGAATGAATGAATGCATGGATGAATGGATGGATGGATAAATGAATAGAAGTTAGAAAGGAAAGAAGGAAGGAAGGAAAGAAGGAAGGAAACTTAAGGAAGGAAGGAAGGAACTGAATGAATGTTTATTTCTTGTCAGATGCGGCGTCACCTGAGACACCATTTCCAGGGCACGGCACGGCTACGTCAGCTGTACGACGTCATAACCTTCATGTCTACTCACTTCTTCCTGAACTACCACGTGTTGCCCTTCGTTCTACTGGACTGGGAACCCACCATGAAATTCTACAGGTTAGTTTGGGGATAAACTGTCCATTTTGTCAATCAAAATTTTAAGATTCAAGGCCGATGTTTTACTTGAGCTGTGCAAAGATCAAAAAGAAACCAAAGATTTTTTGACTTCTGGAAAGTTCTTGAGGTTTGATAAATTTATGTATAGGCTAAGGATGAAACTGGACAGGGTTGAAGCAGATTTCAAAGTATTTAACTGAGTGTATAATTGGGACTCTATGAACAGTGCAATATTATCTCCCCCCATAGCGGAAGCTGAAGTCACTGTCAACATTACAACAGATTACCCAACTAGCACCAAGGACAGGGAAGATCACCTCTGTACAACCTCCCAACCTTTATCTAACTCAAAGAAAATACAATGTATTGAATTTCAAGTGCTCTTACAGTAACATGGTGACTCCTATGATATCACTGTAACTTTGTGGGCATGGTGGCCTTGAAAAGGTGCACTTAGGTGCACCTGTTCCACCATGCTCTCCGTGTATATTATGTATGTGGTCAATCGTAATAAATAAATAAATAAAATAAATAGACTGTATCTCCATGTTTGTTCTCTACTGATCACTGTACTTCTCCATACACATCATTGTTCTATTGGTGGTCGTCCTTCTACCACACCACAAGCCGCAGTTACATGACGAGGCAGCAAAGACCAATGGGACGACACCTGTACAAACAGACGTGAACGGCAAGGTCAGAGTTCACACAGAGCGCAATGGGATCAAAACAAACAACAACAGGTCAGAGAACAGAACAGGACGACATCAGGTCCAAAATGGCACAATCGTAGATGGTAAACAGAGTTTCAGCCTCAAAGAGCGAATAACAAATGGTATGAAAGGATGGAGTCACAACGGTGTGAGGTTTGCACTGAATTTTGTTGAAAAGAAAGAGAGCTGAGAGATTTTAAAAGAACTCACTTCATTTTCTGTCACTTAGATTATCTGACCATGCTTACATTTACAAGTAATAACTACATATACTGGTACCTCTTCCAAAGACTAATCTCCAAGCAGATACAAGGATCCCAGACAGCCTCCTGTTAAAAAGACACACTAAAGACTGAGCCATGGTTCCTTATATCTGCTTGGAGATTATGCAAAGACCACTGCGATATGCATGATTGTGTATACTGGTACATGTATAAGGTATACATTATGTAGAAGATTTATACAGCTATTACTAGTACCATATACAATCATTTAACAGATATGGAGAAAAATCAAATTGTTCCTATGGGATTTTACTGGTTTGAAAGCAAACATAAAAGACTTAGTGCCACAAAAAAAGGAACAGGAATGTAGAGATATTATAATTAGACTGAGTCTTTTTTTTATCTCTGTCTATATATTTTTGTACTTAATGTTGAATTTATATGCCTGAAAATGTCAAAATTCATAGAAGTTGAGAATATTCTGAAATGGTTTTTGAAAGTGATTTAGATTGTGGAATATCCTTCTTTAGTTTCTTTACTCTGAATTGTCTGGAAGATGGAAACTGTAGATTTTGGCAAAATATAACTTTACAGAGGGTCTGAGCAGTACTGCCACCTGGCATATAGTATGTGAACTGCAGTCCAAATTTCTCAATGCACAGCCAAATCAGTTTCTGTTTATGACAGACTTGTTTTCTTCAGTGCTATAGAAAGAAAGAAAAAATGCAGTGAAACATATGACTTTATATTGTGTGGAATTCCTTTAGATAGTCTGAAACAAAAGGAACTGAAAGAAAAAGTCTTTTAAAAGTGGACATTGATGTAAGTGTACAGTTACTGTACTTATTCTTAAATTCATTTCTTACATATCAGAATTTTAATGCAAAGAACATTAGAACTGAAGGTTTTTCAACTGAACTGTCAAATAACTTTCATTCCTGACAGTAACAGTAAAGAAACTACATGACGTTCTTTTTTTGTTTTAGTTGTTGAGTGAGAGTTGTTGTTTAGGACTTTTTCCAATCTACATTGTAGCTCGGCATATTTGACTACAATGCCAGATATTTATGCACACATACTTGTATAATTCCTGATGAAATGTATACATATATATAAGAAAACAGCAAAATGACTTATTATGAAAGCAAATGAACATATTTAGTGTAGTTATTTGGCCACTAATGCTTAAAAACTATGTATTTCTGTGTGGTTTTAAAACATGTACTTCCTATATGTTTTTGCCTCTTATATTGTAAAAAAAATGTATAATAGAGGTTTTCATATAGAATACACCCATCTACTTAACCAAGTAATTGACACATAGCCACTCTAAGATTATATTAGATCAAAACCACCTTGTGTTTCATCCCCCCTTCCCTAAATGATATATGGTATAGTCCATATGCTAATTAACTGGGCTGATGACAGTGTGAACTTGAGGCTCGGGTAATATTTTTGTGTGAACTTGATGATGTTTGTGATTGTCAATAAATCTAAACAATGGTACAAGCATTGAGTGTTTAATGAGTGTTTTTCCTTGTTTAGTTTAATCTAATTTAATCAGATTCACCCTCTTTTAAATATTTACATACTATATTTTCATGATTTTTTTCTGGTTTGCAAAAAAAAATCATGTTCAAATCTTGTCACTTTAAAATCTCCTTTTTCAAACAGGATTTGTTCGAACTCAGCAAAATTTTAAACACTAAAAATCACTGCAAAAATATCCTATCTTTAAGCATACCCTTAAATCGTGCGTAAATGTTCGATTTTTCTGACTTCTGACAGTGAAGAAACAGACACTTAACCAATGCTTGAAGGTGCACTTCAAGATCAAATTTCACAGTGTAAATGCTTGTAAATAGGAAAAAACGCCAGAAGCCATTGTTGTAAATGCCCTACTGAAGAAGCACACTTTAGGCCACACCAATTTCATTTCTTGGTTAACGGATTCGCCCGCTTCATTTTTTTCTGATTTGCAAAAAAAAAAAAATCAGAATCAACTGCAAAATGCTCATATTTTGCCCTGAACAGTTGAAAACATTCCTTTTCTTCCTAGTTGTTACAGTTATTCCATCTTTCAATGCAGTGGTATCATTAAAAGTTCAAAATTCATTGTTTAAATTTTGAACCTGCCTGATGTGTTGACTTTATGGGTCCTATCATACCATTTTGGACCATAATAGGATGCCTAGGCCTGTTTTTTTTCGCCCGCCCGCTCCATCATTTTTCTTTAAAAATCCGTTTAACCAAGAAATTAAATTGCTGTGGCCTTAGGCATGCTTTCAGATGTACTTAATATCGGATTTAAGCCTGTTGTTCAACGGTTGTTCTTCACAAGTCAACAGGAAACAAAACAGGCCCTTCTGACCCAATCATGTTCCCGCCAGCTGTCTCAATGTTTTTGTGCAGAAAAGTTGCCCTACCGGTTCTGAGACCTTCCCAAATCGGGCCGCACACGTTTTGTGCTTTGTGTAGTCAGTGCCGATCCTATCTGCATGGCCGATCCTACCTCCAATTTTGTTCTTTTCATAGCTTAAATATTTACGTCTACAATTGTCTGAGTGGTACGTTTTCCACTGTGATGATACTTATTTTATAGCACCTACTGTGTACTCTCGAAGCTTTTTTGTGTGTGTTTCTATTGTGTTTTTATTAATTTCAGGCCTTTTTATCGGGCTCAGACAGTCCTTTGACTTTGTGTACATGTATCTTTCTTTTACGCCAGCCTTCTGGGTGGCAACATGATGGTAACTGCCTGACAAATGGATACTGCCTGGCCATACTGTCTTTGCAAGCATCAAAAGATCTTCTTGGAGATTACCTACAGTGTAGAATACACATTATCCAACACATGTAATTACGAACACGGAACGCGAAACAAGTTTCTGACTCAAATCGGCCACACAGCATGACGTTATTTCAAAACAAAGGGTAGGACTGGGAACTGCCTAGCCTTTACCTGTCCGGTTGTTTCACATTTTACTCACCTGGAATTCGCAAAGTTTACACAGTTCTAGTGTTGATACAACCACGACAGGGAACCGTACATGATTAGGTGGATCTCTCTCAGCTTTGGGGAGCTGCGAACTCTGAGAAATTTGCCGAGACCATCCGACGAAACCTGGAGTACGTGGAAGCTAAGTCCTGCCGACGAGACAACGACTGTTACACGATCTTGCAAGACTCTTAACGACCTGAAATACTCTCCCATGGCAGACGACAGTAAGACAAACAGGTACTCGATCCATTCCTTGGGGAGAAATTCTTGCCACGACGACCAAATCCAGGCTTTGTTGCCGAATGAGGAACAACAGGACGGCGAGGGAAAATCTACCGATGAGAACCCCAACAGTCCTTCGGGGCAGGACGCAAGCGCCACCGAGGACGCTAAAACGTCGCCCGATGCGAGTCAGTCCGTTGGAAACGCTACAGTTTCTGTGAACATTCCAACGGAAAAGATCGAGGTAAGATTATTTTTATCTTGTACGTTCAAAAAGCTTAATACTGGGTTGACACAAATACGTGTATACTGATTATCCGTGGATTATCAATATTAACAGGCTGTATACGGACATACAAATGATATACAGTTCGTAATAGTCATAATTATCATCCCATTAACGATGTTGATAATAGTTATTACAGATGTACATGGGCTATATTGTAGTGGTTATACATTTGCATACGGTTATATATGTCTTCTCCCTTCTGTCTATATTTGCCGAAATATGTATGGCCTTTAAACCTTTGGGCCTTTGCCTTCAGTCGCGACTACAGGGCGTCAGGCGATATTGTCTTTAATAAATAATGAGAAATAATTGTGCATGAATTGTGAACACGGCAATATGAACATGATGGTTTTGAAGCTTAAAGTTATAAAGAATGTTCCTCTTTTGCACAACATTTCTATGCAATGGTTTCGGTTCCTTCTTGGAAGAAAATTTACTTACTTGCAATTATAATGTTGATCATTTCGATCATTTAAACAGTTTGTAACAATAACGTTACATCAAACTTTTGTTAACCAGCATTTAATTTTACCGTTTCTAGCTCCCTATTGTTTCGAACTTTGTCATATTTACCTGAAAAACTGTAGCTTAAAGCATGAACTTTTAATAAAGTAATAAAATTTTGTCACTTGTTTGCTGCGGATCACGAAAAGGGGTCAAAATGTCGCCTGCTACTCAATGTTATCTGAAGGTCCTCACAAAACAAATATTTGAACCGAGTCAAAGTTCTGGATCTCTTTAGTTTGACTCTTTTATAAAGTCTGGGCTTAGTTCTAACACAAAAAGGGAACTCGCCATAAATTTTCGGTCGATCTTGTCAACCTTTGTCAGTAACGTTGTGTGCGCTGACTCTCCGGAAGTCGGAAGTTTGATGAATTTATGGTGAGTTCCCTTTTTGTGTAGGAACTAAGCTCACACTTTATAGCTATAGTTTGTCTCTTGTCGACATACTTGTCTTCCCCTTTTTGACTGGAAGACTTTCGAAGGAAGTGTATGAAAAATACGTTTTCAATTCGCCTTGTTTTTGGTCGCGTTTGTGTGTTCGCACCGATAACTCACGTTCCTTTGGATGAATTTGTTAGAATTTTGTTTGAAATTTTGTATACCTTAGTTAAACTTTGAGATGCCGAAAAAAATGCCAATTTTAGCAGTATTATCAGGTAATACTGTGCAAAATGTGATCTTTAAGTAGGCCTTAAAACGTACGTAAAGTGTCTGTTTCTTCGCTGGAGTCGGAAAATGGAACATTTACGAATGATTTAAGCAAGGAGGTTAAATAGAAATTTAACGTCCTTGATTTAAGTCACGCTTAAAGCTAGTATTTTTTGCAGTGCATTGTAGTTAATATGATAGTTAAAATTGTCAGAAGTCGTTGTGAACATTATGCTTCATACACTTCTTGGAAGTTTGGAATTTCTTGTTACTAGTATTTCTTTTAACAGTTCCAACCGCCGATAGAACACAAAGAAGGCCACAACACGAAGTCCAAGTTTGTTTTCTTTAAGAGAATCCCGGCAAGCCCAGCCAGAGTTAAGCCGCCGATTCAGATGAACGCATTCGCACAGAAGAAAACCCTGGCGCAAGGCCTGATGGACATCGCACTTCTCACTGCTAACGCCTCCCAGATGAAACTGGTCCTAACAGAGGTATATTTACGTATATATAGGTTTTCTTTAAGTAGAAGTATGGATTCAACTTTATGGAAAAATCTTTACTTTTACGTTAATTTTGTGCGATGGAAAATTCAAAGTACTTTTTTCTTGCCTTCAAGCCCGCATAACATACATCTGCTCAAAGCGTAAACTTTAAAAATGCTAAATGTTAATATCCAAAAGTTAACTTTCATTGCGTAAATTGTATGAGTTGTTTTTCTTTACTCAAATAGCACGTTTGAAAGTCTTTTCAAAGGTTATCACATCATTATGCAAATGAATCTCTGATTTTGAAAGCCCTATCGTAAAAAAGAAGGCTATACATGACGTCATTGTCATTCGTTACTTGACAAACTACGATATATTTGCCCACACTTTTAGGTTGTAGTTTCGTAATGTTACTATCACATATACTAGTCTCAAGTTACTCAAAACCCACCTAGCAGTGGGGACCTCTAGCTGTTGAAGTAATCACTGCACGTAGGCATACAGTACGTATGATAAAACGTGTCCTAACAAATTTGTACACGAAGCGGGAAACTTTAAAAAAACCTTACCGATTTTCCCCAGGGTCCAGACAGGGTGTTGTTCTACCATTTCCTGATGACGATGTTGTGTCTGTCGGTTATCTGTCAGTGTTTTGTCGGGTTTTTACTGCTGTACAAGGCACGGCTCAACATAGAGGACGAACACGAACAGGTGGGTGTAACAGGCCGTCCGGCCACCCGGAGCTACGGAGCCCCGCTTGCCATATTTGGAAATCCTTATCATACTAGTAAATGGATATTGGTTGCCTGCAGTTTCCTTGACCTTGTCCTTAGGCCACAGCAAGAAATTTTTAAGGATGACATTTTCGCCTGATTTTGGAAAAATTTTGATGCAGTGTAGTATTTCATTCCTTTTATGTGATATGATGTTCTCACTGAATCAAAACCATCTGTACATTTTTCAGTGACAAATGGCTGTTGCAATAGTTCGCAGTAAACTTAGCACAATATAGGTATCATTTCTCCACTAACAAGGGTTATGATGTCAAAATTTGAAAATGTAGTAATCTCTTTTTGGAGGGGGGGGCGCCTTGAATTTTTTTGCACTATCGCATTAGATTTGGAGTCTGCAGAGGATGTCATCCATATAAAATATACTTGCTGTGGCCTTATATGATCATATCATTAGGACATGTGTTAGGTACACCATACATGGGGGTGTGTAACTGGTATAACATGGGCTGTGGTGAATGTACCTCTTATTTAGTCGGTAGGTTGGGGTTGGGATAACAAAGGTCAATTACGTCGATGAAGGTTAGACATCCAGGTAATACGATACGCCAAAAAGCAGTTACTCAAGCAACTGGATACGATTTTGAAAACGTCAGACGTTTCAGCTAGTATCCACTAGCTTTCATCAGTGACTGAGAGACCAGAGGGGAAATGCAGGTTTATAAGCACAAAAACCAAAAATTTGTCTTCACTATATTTGCATATCAATCGTTTGTGCTTATAAACCTGCATTTCCCCTCTGGTCTCTCAGTCACTGACGAAAGCTAGTGGATACTAGCTGAAACGTCTGACGTTTTCAAAATCATATCCAGTTGCTTGAGTAACTGTTTTTTGGCGTAAAGGTCAATTATATATCTAGTGGCTTTGTAGGTACTACAGTGATGTACATGGGTGTAATATCTCATGTTCGGTCTCCTTCTCAGCATGCAGCCGACAAAGCGAACAACTGGGCGACGGCCCTGGTGATGCTGATCACGATAATCAACGTGTTTATCTCCTCGTTCGGCATCAAATTAGAGGAACCAAAGGCCACAACAGCAGCACAGGCACCGGCGCCACCTAGTGGGACTGACAACACATGACAGCTACTGGTTGAACCCGAACAATACAGCGAATATCTACCTTTTTCAACAGCCATTGAACCAGAACAAGACTGTCTGGTTTGTAGTCCGTACTGTCGTATGTCCTGTTATAAGAACTCTCCCATTCCTTACTTGTGCAACCTGACCAATGAACACGGACAATAATTCTCTTCAATTTTCTCAAAAGAGGCAGCTTCTTCTTTACAGGCATAGTTGATTTAGAAGTATTTTCACACTTTACTTGAAATAAAGACAATTTCACATCGTTTTTGCTTCGATTTCTCCATGTGTGTGTTAGTGCATGTGTGTGTGTGTGTCTGAGTAACGTTAAGTGTGTGTGTGTAGAGAACTTGCGTTGGTGCATGTGGTGTCTTGAAGAACACTTGAGTTTAGAAATCAAAATCAGTCACAAATCCACGAGAAATCAACCACAATACCATGTGCAACATTTTGTATAATATAATAGTTTCCGTCTTGAACACTCCTTCTATCTTTCTGAAAATGCATTCCAGGCAGCTGCAAAAACCTCATATATTTTCAGACAATTCCTGAAGAAGAAAGGAGCAAAGTTCAGCAAACTCAACTTTGTTACTAAAAAGAAATGAACCAAAATAACAAAAATCATTTTCTCACTTAAATATTCAGGCATCACCAAATCATTTGGGCAAGTATTAAACCAGGTGAAATACGTGCCTGTTGATGGATAAGAATTTGTAGATTGTTTGATAGAAATATCTACCAAAAAGGCTTACTGCAAGTGTATGCATAAACTTCAAAATAGACTATCTTAAAAAAAAATACATGTAGTTGTCAATGAAACTACAGTTCAACTAAAATGTCCTGTTTGTTGCAACGATCAGTCATTTTTCTCAAGTTACTCTTGGAGTTACAATCATCAGTGTTCAGTCATTCTCATCCTCCTCTTCTTCTTCTTCTATTCCTTCATTATCTGCTGTGAGACTGTCTTCTCTTTCTAGCAGTTCAAACGTTCCGTCATTTGACCAGACACTGTCTAGGGTGATGTGAAAGTTGACCATGGGGGTGTCCAGAAGTTTCTGAAAATAAAAATGATTTGGTTTGCTTGTGGATAAATTCAATTTTTTTTGGAGAAACTTTTTCTGAAATTTTAGGTGCTATGTTACAAGTCTGTGCTGTTTTACCATTTCTTCTTCCTTCCCTCATTCAATTGTTCCTTCATTCATTCATCCATCCATTTCTTCATTCATTCATTCATTTATTCATTCAATCATTCATTCATCCATCCATTTCTTCATTCATTCATTCATTTATTCATTCAATCATTCATTCATTCATTCATTCATTCATTCATTCATTCATTCATTCAGTCTCTCTCTAACACACACACACACACACACACAATTTGTATGCACCCACGCATGAAAGAATACATGCCTGCACACATGTATGCATGCACACACACAAACACACACACACACACATCCATCCATGTACATACATACACACACACACACAAGAACAAAAACAAACACTGATACTGTATCCAAAAATAATTTCATCAGGTTGGTAGGACATAGGATAGAGGGATTTTCTTCTTACCCCACAGTGTAAGAAGGAAATCCCTACAAACTGAAACTTGTTGATCATACCCAGTACTTTGTGCTTATAAACATGGCATACCCAGTACTACTCACCAATATTCTGGCCTGTTCGGGCGTGAGGACGTCACCTTCAGTACAGACTGTGTGGTCTGATATCAGAGTTATCTCACCTGTGGGTACAAGAACAGCAGTGTGAGATCAGGGTTATCTCACCTGTGGGTACAAGAACAGCAGTGTGAGATCAGGGTTATCTCACCTGTGGGTACAAGAACAGCAGTGTGAGATCAGGGTTATCTCACCTGTGGGTACAAGAATAGCAGTGTGAGATCAGAGTTATCTCACCTGTGGGTACAAGAACAGCAGTGTGAGATCAGCGTTATCTCACCTGTGGGTACAAGAACAGTGGTCTAATATCAGCGTTATCTCACCTGTGGGTACAAATGCAGCAGACTGAGTGTACTTTTATTACCATTGAGTACATACAAAATGTGGGGTCGTGTGGTGTAACAGCAGGATGCTTGGCCCAAAACTCAGAGGTCCTCTGTTTGAATCCTGTAATGCCGTAGATCTTGTGCCCATGGGAAAGGCACTTTGCATGACTTTCCTCACTTCACGCTGATGTAAAATGGGTACCTGACGGGTTCAGTTAAGGAGGTAAAACTACTAAAAGGCAAAAGGTAAAAATGCCTCTACAGCCTCAAAAAAGGCTATGGACTACCTTTACTTTTCCCTTTGCATAGGCTAGATAATATAGTCTAAGGTACATGTACAAGAAAAAACAAATATTACATTTCAGACTCAATACATTTAAACTTGAGGCTTAAAGTTACATTAGAGATATACTGACTGTATGTAGAAAAGTGCTTTCCCAAATTCTAAGTACTCTATCTCTATTATCTAGCTATCCTTTGCATACTACAAATGATGAAAAAAGTAATAAGTTGTATATTTCTAACCATAAATCAAAAGTATAAAAAAAAAATTAAATCAAAATCAAATCTTTATTAAATATCAACATTGCAGACGTGCCGAGTACTTCGGGCACATCTGAATTGCATTGACATTTTACAAACATCATCACAATAGATTAAAAACATCATCATCATTTAAAAATCAACATCAAGAACACGTAGGTTAAAATAGTACAATTTCACTTTAAAATACAATATATATATACATGTCTAATACACATCACAAGTCTTTTACGGCTCTCACAATGAAGGAGTTTTTGTGTCTGTCCGATCGGCTTAATGGGAGCTTAAACTGATTGCTGTTCTTCCTAAGATTATATACAGTGTTCTCTCTTGGTGG